CTTTGTTGTCTTTCGATATAGTTTGCAAGAGTACTTTGGTCATGCGATTAGCGCACGTCAAGTTTTTCGCGAAACAATGAGCACAAGTTTCCCAAGCTTGAAATGGACGTTTGCAAAGCTAATTAAGTGTAGAAGCTTCCTCACGAGGAAAAAAAGCACAAGTTGGATACAGGCACATAACAGAGAAGTTTGCCACGGCGGCAGAGTCGAAGGCAATCGAAACTCCTCTAATCAAGCGCGTCGCTTCACCGCGAGAGCGCCAACTTGAAATTCAGCATGTAATGCCACGCTAATCAGAAGTCAGGAGGTAGAGCGCGCGAGCGTGTCTGGTTAAAACATGCACGCTTGGCAGAGAGAGAGAGAGAGAGAGAGGAAGGGTGAGTGAGCTGGAATATCGTCGCCGACACGACTGTGATCAATCAATCAGTCTAGTAGGAGAGGTTTATGCCTTTGTAGGCGACCTTTCAAACGAATTGAGATTGACAAATCCGCGAATCTCTTTTAGAGCGAGCGAAGTAATGCTCGTAACATTTTTATTTTGTTTGATGTATATAGATGGTCGTGTTTAGGTATATTTCTAAAGAACATATGCCAGTGAAAATAAAAACATGGATGGTAAAGGTTCTAGATTCATTGTACAACTTGTAGAATAACTCGCAAGTAATGTGTTGAGCCTTGAAGAAAATTATTATGCTAGGCTATTGAGTTGTACAGATGAGAAGCAATATACCGAAAGTTAGATTGCTGATACTTCAACTTTGTACGGATAAGGACTTGCGCTTTCAGTTACATTCTTATTGTTTCGTGAATGAACTTTCGTTAATTGTACTCAACAAGTTTACATATAACGAACACTGATAGATAAGTCTAATTTCTTTTTTCTAAGACAATGCGTCTAATAGCCCTAAAGTTTACGCTGAAAAATAATAAGTTTACGAGAGATGCAACACGTAAAAGCGAATTACACGAGTAAAAAAGCGCAAGACACGGGGAAAGAAGAAGACGAAGAAGAAATGAAATAAGAGAGTGAGAGAGACAGAGTACGAAATCTTAGGTAGAATTAGAGAGGCAAAACTGAGGAAAGCGCAGCTACAGCAGACGAGAGAGAGAGAGAGAGAGAGAGAGAGAGAGGCTGCGAGGGACCAGCGAAAGCTAGCGAGTATAAGTTCGGGAGCGTTAAACGCTGACGAGCAAAGAGAGCCCAAGTGAAATGACTAAGGTCTCTCTCTCTCTCTCTCTCTCGCGGCTGAACTAACTTTATGCTCACGCCGACGAAGCTTTAATTAAAAGAGACGACGCCTGCTGCTATTTCCACTATGGAATAAAAGCACCCTTTTGTCGATTACGAAATTTGACGCTTGTTAACCGCACCACCCGAAACTCTCTCTCTCTCTCTCTCTCTCTTTGCTCTCCTCACCTTATTAATTGACTGGCGATGAGGAGGCTAAAATTTCAATAAGCTCTTGCCTTCAAAAATCGAATAAGCCACATGAAAAACAAAGCAACGTTGGCCCTCTTATGAAATAAAAAAGAGGGGTTTGCTTCGGTATTATCGTCACGAGGCCGCGCCGTCTGGCAGAGGTCCAGTGCCAACGCGCCGCCGTTGCTGCAAGCTCAAATCTACAATTTCCACTCTTCCGAGTGGCCGATAACATCGCCTCGCGAGAACTTTCGCTTTGTCAGCCTTACCTCTGCGAAATGCCCTGCACTATCCGTCTTTTTTCATTCTTTTCAGCCTGGTATCTTGTAGACTCTTTAATGAATTCGATTCCATCCGCGATTGCGATGCGTGTTTTTCCTTTAATTTTACCATAGTCAATAGACGCACGATTAGCTTCATAGCTCTATATTTATTTTTCAAATAGCGATGCTCTATGAATTTAGAGTTTTCAAAGGAAGCGACGTGGATTTGAAATGTTGTCAAGTTTCTTACCTTCATGGTTATCGTCCACGCTGTTTCTGAAAGATAACTCCTTAACAAGCTTTCAACTTTCACCAATAGAGCACATTCACTTCAAATGATACATGAGCGAAGTATTGCTTCTCGAGTATATTAATTACGCTCTTGGATACTATAAACTGATAGAACGAAACGACATTTCATTGGCATCTTCCTTAATATTTAAGCAGGTTAAGTTGCTCGATTTCACACCTCAACATCACATTTAAAATCAAGTAAAATTTAATTTACATAACAACCTACCGTCACTAAAAAGCAGCACCCTGGTTCTCAATTTCAAACGCACTTATTCCTTTTGTAGCGTTAAGGCCACAAGCATTAGTATTTTACCTATTTCCCTTACATTAGTGGGAACGTCAACCGGCTACTACTTTATATAACCATCACTTCGACTTTGATAAATTCGTTGGGAGCTTTTTAGCGAACGACTTGAAAAAAAGGGGAAATCAGCGTAGTAATTGATGATACGAGGACACAACAATCGAGTAGTGCTCGAATTGCGCGGCCAACTTCATCAGACTCCTCCTTCCCCCTTCAAATACTAGAGAGAGATAGAGGCCGAAGGCTTACTACACTGGCAACTCGGGGATTTGCACAGCACGTTTCCCCCCAAGTGTTTGTCCTGCGTTCGTACCATGGCGGATCCCACAGACGGCTATACTCTCTCTCGCTGGGTATGTGTACTGTTCTCTCCAAGCCAGAACTGTACACGATCAATCCTCTCTAGCTCTCTCGCTATGTATAGCTTCATCTACTTTTTTTTACTCGCTCCCTCTCGCTAATGAGATCTCCTCTCTCGTGGTAGAATAAAAACTAAACTGCATCTTTTCAAAAGAACAATATCGCCTTCCCAGTGTAAATCGCATTCTCGTGGGGAGGGAGCATTTTTTCCTCCCAACAGCGAAGTTTGCTGCGCGCAGGTCCCCCGTGAGACTTGAACTTCTCTCGGTGCCGCGGCCTATCAATCTTTTTCTTTTTTAAGTTTTTACGAGCTTGCACACAGCGCGTTAGATTTCCTCCCCCATTGTTGCGCACGCGCAAGCTCGTTAATTTCATCTCTCTCTCTCTCTCTCTCTCTCCCTCTCTCTTTCTCTCTCTCGCAATGAATTTTTCAGAAATCCCCGTGGCTCGTTCGCGAGAGAAAGAGAATAAAAAGTCGATTCACGCGTGTGTGGAGAAAACGATGATATTTTACAACGACGTCGTAGTTGGAAAAGGAGGAAAAAGAGGGAAAAGTTGTCGGTACGACAGATTATTCGAACAGCCGGTAATTGAATTCTTTACGAGACTCTTTCTCTCTCGTTAGCATCGATGGGATGCGCACTGTTTCTTTTATTTTGCGAATTATATAATTAAGTAGATCGAGGGACTCGCAGGTGGTGTACGCGCGTTGAGAACTTGGTTAATAGTGATTTGTGCGTCTCGTTCATTCGCAACGCAATCGCACCGCGAGCGAGCGAACTAAGAGCAAAGAGATAGATTGGATGGAATAATAGTCGTCGACGTGGCTTTATCCGCCCTCCATCTGTTTCATTTACCGCATAATTAACCATTACCGGCTATATATATGCACTTTCTTCGCTCCTCCAGCCAAGAGAGAAGCGAGCTGAGGAAGCGAGGGCCAAAACCTGCGGCTTGTACTATGCCTCGCCGTGAACCATTTGCTCTACGTTTCATTTCGGTCATTTCAGAAAAAAGATAGCGAGCTGTCCTGATGTTTCGTCAGAAGGTGCTATTTATCGCTTTAAAGCGATGGCAATGAATTGCAATTATTTTTCTGGTTCGAGAAAAAGATTCTCGGGGCAATACGTTTTCCAAGCGTCGACTTTGAAAGAAGTAAGACCCTCAATCGTAAATCGAAACCACATTAAACTCAAACTTCCAGCGAAACTGTCGGCGATCTGCAAAACTAAACGTCTTGAAAAAGACATTGGAGTAGGAGTCGTGTAGACGCCGTCGTTGAACGCCGCCCGCCGCTCGGGTCCGTAAAAATTCCGTGCTGCACCCGCAAGGAATGCAAAGTTTTAATGTCGCCACGTCTCCGTAGCCTCGTTATATAGGCGAATACGCCAAGAGAGAGAGAGAGAGAGAGAGAGAATCGTAGCTCGTTTGTCACTTTAACGCAGGGCACGTGCGCTCACGTCCAAAGTTAGCCGCGGTGGCAAGAGTTTTACGGAAAAGAAAAAAAACAATCGGAAAAAATGCTGGATTCGACTTTACTTTGTAAAATTAATTACTTAGGCAGAACGTTAGTTTGCATTAATTCATCGTCGAAGCTCGTAACCCAACAAGGGTTAAGGGCTAATTCTTCGACGTCACGCCTTAGGCCGGAACTTTGAAAGGTCGGCCACTAAAAATTCTCCCGAACATCTGCCGGCGGATTCCTCGTTAATTCGACGAAAACGCAATCGCGATGCCAAAAAAAAGCAAGGAATATTACGATGCGACGAGAATTGCATAGTTTCGTTTGGCTTATTTTTGTTCTCGGCGAAGCCTTCGCGGATTATTCGCTCGCCGACAAACGTCGACACACGTGCGCACCGCCGCGCTCAAAGTTTGAACCGGAGGGAAACTGCGAGCGCACTTCCGCGAGACTGATCCCCAAGCCTGCGCGAAAGTTCCCAGGGCAGAGCCAATTCGTAGTTTTCATCCCTCTCTGTGGAGTTTAGTTTGATTCCGTCGCCTCTCTCGCTTTCTGTAATGAATTCATTTTAGGAGCGCACGCAATCGATGCCAAAAAGCTTTTTCGCTATATTACTTCTCCGCCGTGAAGTCATCGAAAAAGTTTCTCGCAAAAGTAATAGTATAAAAAAGAAAAATATATGTATACAGCCGTGTGGCCTACGTGAATTTTTTATTCACTTTCCCTCTGGCGCGTGCCAATTTAATTAAAGTTCAATGACGCAACGACAGCGACGGTTCATACGCGTTGAAATTCTTGACGTGCGATAAAAATTGCTGTCTAATGATTACGAACGTTTGGTTTTCGTTACAGCGCCACCGCAAACCGTGGAAGTGACCAGCCACCAAGCTCGCGATGGCAAATTCGAAATCAAGCAGAACGAGTCGATGAAGCTCGAATGCACAGTGAGAATGGCCAAGCCAGCAGCTTCGATCGTCTGGTATCGTGGCAATGTGCAGATCAAGGGCGGCGACATCAGTGTCACACCCGTTCCCATAGCCGATGGTGAGTTCTTCTGAAAATTGAAATTCCTTCTTGTTCGGGGAAATGCGACGAGTATGAACTTTACCATAGTGCACGCTCGACTATCAAAAACATCTTCGTCAATCGAGAAATTACCGACGAGGCAGGAGTTGATGAAATACTCCCGCGCCGTTGAAACATTATTGCCTTGCAGCAAGATCAAAGGCAAAGAAATAAGCGGTAGATTGAATTTAATCAGGTTAAGCGAAGCATTTTATTTAGTGCGAATTTTCAGTGAAATATTTCGTTTGAATATGCAAGATAGCATTACATTTTTCGAATACACGCTAACATTTTTTACGCGATTAAATTGTTGGATATAAAGCGAAAGTAAAGCAACACGCGGAGTTTGCAAAAGCTCTTTCTCGCCTCCTCGTTTCACTAATAAATTAGGTCATTTCTGTAAGTACATCCTCAGCGTTAATTAATTATGAAAATAACGTTGTAAATTAAAGCGCGAGCTCGCTCTTGCTCTGTTTGGCTCAAACGCAAAAATAATTTCATTAAATTAATTAACGCACGGACGAGAAGATATAATTACAACGAAGTGCAATTCGCTCGCAAATATAAATATATACGGATTGTCCAGCGTTTCCAAGAAGGCAATGATGCCGAGATTTTTTTCTTACTTTTTGTGTAAGTCGTTAAAAAAATTATTCATCCGCGTGACTTTAGATTTCATTTCGGGTAATGAACACGCTAGACTAGACTGTTCGAGTTCTTTTTTTTATTTTTGGGTAAACTCGAGAGGGATCATAGTCAAAAAGTCGCCGCTGTTAAGAGAACGCTTGCTTTTTCTCTCTATTTTTTTTTGTTTACCTGTTATGAGGCTTTTCTTATTCAGAAATGTTTTTCTTTGTGTGCGGGATGGGAATGGGTCGGAAAATCAGAAGCAAGTTTGCGCTCTTTGAACTGGAATTTTACATTCTTTTGTGGAAGAGAGACTGACTTTTTGAATAAAAGCTTTGCGGGATTTCTGCCAATTTTAAAAAAGACTCGTGAAGTCGTTTGTGTAATTTATGTCGACGTCTTTCCTTCCGAATTATCATTAATATTTTTTTCACTGTCAAATTGATTAATAACAAGTTCGTTGTTCTCTGTAGTTCGCTTTGAATATTCATGCTCTTCATACGGAAAATTTGTCAGTCACCCGAAATATTTCCACTATTTGCCGATGAATTATTCAGCGCTCCATTATACCACAAAGCTGCGCCTGAAGATTATTTTTCTTAGGATGACGAGGGCGGGGAAAAAGAAAAACTTTTTAATTATTTCATAGCCCAGATGAAAATAGCCTCGATGTCTCTAAAATAAAATGAGAGAGATACGCGCGTTACCAGAATTTCTCCACCAGTCGAATAAATTAAAAGAGTCGACTGACGAAGAGAGGGGGAGGAAAATGCAAGGACGTTAACCGCAGGGCATTCGTTGATTTCGGGAAAGTTGGACACACGCCAGAGTTATGTACCGAGCAATTGAACAAAAAGCGTAGAAAAAAATTTGGCTGTCCTTTTTTTCTCAGTTTTCTTCTCCTTCGCTCTTTCGACGTACATTAGATTTTAATCGGAATCGGGTAAAGTATGTTTACGCGCAAAGCAATCCTGAATGTCCATACAAACGAGAGAGCAAACAAAACAAATAGGATATACAGTGGCAAAGAAGAAGCAACAAGGTAAACACAAGGGCGAGGCATTTACAACAGTTGTAATTCGCTGATGAATCAGGCGAAATTTTTTCCTCCTCCCTCATTGGCTTGAACTCGTAAGATTTTACGGGTTAACGTTTTTTTTTTTTCTGTTGTTTTTTTTATGTCGCCCGTGCCATCGACTTTTACGGCCCCACGACGGCGACGGCGATCAGCCGAAACTGCTGGCAAAAGCCAAATTACGAGGGACTCGCTTTATTCCTCGACTGCGCCAACAGAGAAAACTATTGATTTAAAAGCCCGCGTATGGCTTTTGTTGCGTTAGATTTCTTTTTCCCAAAGTATTTCCTTGTTTATTTTATATTTCGTGAGGATATCAAGATATAACTGAATAAGATATAACTAAATATTAAATGCTTATAACGTAACTTTGAACGATATCCAACTCGAACGTTATAATACAATTGAGTATACGAACACAAATGTAATCAGACATCGTAAGAAATATTCTTTACTGTATTACTTACAATTTCACTTTAAATACAGCGTAGCTTTGAATTATGAAGACGTCGTGAAGTTAAAAAAGTATGCGTCGAAATCTCATATGCACCCAGTGGACCTCCTTAATTATCTCCAACGCTGAAAAATCCCGGACGACGACTCGAAACCACTGTCGCGCGAAATCCTCTCTCCGGACTGTTGGGTAAAGTGAAATTTCCTGAGTGGAAAAAACGAGGAACAGACCGAGAGCTAGATGGTGAAAAGTGAGCTCTTTCTCTCTCTCTCTCTCTCTCTTTCTCATTGTTTGCACCTGTGCGACGTAAAAAATATGAAAAGAGTTTTGGAAGCGGTGGAAGAAAATTGCAAATGATAATTTTTTTATGATAAAAAATTTTTAAGTTTTATTCGCATATTCAACTTGAATTTACAACCTGGAGTATATTACATTTTTTTTATTCTTCGCACTTTGCTCGTATAAAAAGAAGAGAGAGAGAGCGAGAGAGAGAGAGAGAGCGAGAGAGAGAGAGAGAGAAAGAGAGAGAGAGAGAGAGGAAAACGCAAGAGGCTCTCGTGTACAGTACAGAGATATTTTAATTAAAATTTTTTTTCATTTTTGCCACCACTTGGCACATTGTTAAGTTCTTCATCCACTTTTTTAAAGAGCGTAATGTAACTCTATTTAAAAGAAGTTTTGATAGGTCGGAAGCCGATGATAGGATATTTTGCTAGCGTTTTTAATCTTGTATAACCTCAAAAAAAATTTTTTCAATCAGTCGAGGAAACATTTTTCATATTTTACCAAGAATGGTCTTTCAATACTCCATTGACGTATACTTAGATATTTAAAAAAAATTTTTTTAATTAGCCCTTCGTTTCTCTGTGATTTTAATTAAAAATTTCGTGCGCGCGCGCATACACCATCGACAGCATAAAACAATATTCTTGAAAACAAGACATGAAAGATTTTTGAAAGCAGCGCTAAAAAGCTTCCGAGAGCATGCACACGCGCGAATGGTCAGCTTCGTGCATAAAGGGAGCGCCAAATAAAAAGAAAAAGAAGAAAGAAAAGTGCCAGAGCACGCGACAAAACGCAAAAGACAGACGAATAGAGTGAGAGAAAGCAGCTAGCAGCTCTCGCGTGCAAACGAGCCGCAACTAAAAGCTCGACGCCCTGAGGGCGCCGGGGGAGCTTTTAGCTCGGCGAATTCAAGTGGCCGAGAGCTGATGCTGCTGCTGCTGCTGCTACTGCTGCTAGCTGCAAAAGCGCGCCAGGCCTAAAGCGATTCTCCTGCACAGCTTGCCAGAATCTTGCCGTTAGTAGTTGTTGTCTGCGTTTTTTTTTCGGTACTCCGGTACGCTAAGCACGGTAAAGTTCAGTTTTAGTTTTTGGCTTGCTACTTATTTTAACTGAATAAACTTTCGTCTGTTACGAGAATGAAGAAAACGAATCCTTTGATTTTAAGAAAGAAAGTCTTCTATATAGTAATAATTTATAATTATTGCATCTCAAGATTCATCTAAAAAACAGTCTAATCACTGTTGTTCGAAATGCCTGAATTGTCGGTTTACCAAAATATCAACAGCTTGCTCGACGGATAATCCAATTAGAAATTCAAATAAGCAACAACACTCTGGAGGGGAAATACGACGTCTATAAATAATGCAAGACAGAGCGTTTGATTGGTCCGTTGATGTTACAGACAAGGACATACTGAAAGCACCGGACCACAAGGATGGTAAACTCGAGAAGTACGACACGCATGGCTCAATTTTCATAACATCGACACCCGACGACGACGAGATGAGTTACACGTGCGAGGCCAAGCATCCTGCTATACCCATCGAGAAACCTATGCGTGCTACTGCGGTACTCTCCGTTTTCTGTAAGAATCACTTCTATTTTTTTATCGTGTCATGTAAATGTTTTAAAATAATAACTGACTTCGAAAAATGAAATAAACAGTGTGACTTGTAACTCTTTTAGAAAAAATATGAGTAAAATCCTATAGAATAACGTATTACTTTTATCTATCTTATCTAACTTTCAACTCTTCTCTCTCTTTCCGGAGTCGTAAAACGGATACGAATAAACGTGACGAGCGTGTAACTTTAGCTTTGTAAAAAAAAAGTTGAAAATAAAAAAAAGTGAACTAATAAAAGATTAAATCTGCACTTTCTTGAATTATCATTTGTTTTTTTTCTGATAACGCTGAATCTAAAGAAAGAATCCGTCGATGAACGTGTATTCGTATAACTGCTTGCGAGGATACAGGGAAGAGAGAGAGTGAGGAAGCCGGCAAAAAGTGTTTGACGCCAATGTCAACGACACTTAGATACGACGTTAAAGAAAACTCTGAAGCTGAGAAAAAGTTTATCTTAATTTTTAACTCTTTCTCCATCGAGAAGGGTTTACTCGGGGTACTCTCCTTAGGGAAAAATAAGGCTAAGCTAATCATTACATCATATTACAAATGGATGGGTTTTGTATCATTCCGTGAATAAAAAGATCAATCAAGTATTTGGGTTGATTGTACGACCGCATTTCGCTACCGTTATTCAGCATATTTCATCCAGAATGATCTTGTTTTGAATATTGCACATAAACACACGTTAAGCATAGCTGTACGTACTCATAAATATGCACATATCGTAAAATCATAAATAACGAACAACACATTGTAAACTAATACTTCAAAGCAATAATCGTAAAAAATTCATCAACAGATGCACCAGGACCGCCATATATCGAAGGTTATGCCGAGGGTGAAACATTGCGTCGAGGTCAGCAAGTCGAACTGACTTGTAAATCTCGTGGTGGCAATCCACCAGCGCAAGTAGTATGGTATAGAAATGGCGAGGTTGTGCACTCAGTATACACGACCGAAGGTAGAATCTCAAAGAATGTACATTCTTTTATCGCCACGGCGAGTGATGACAAGGCCAGGTTCGAGTGCAAGGTGTCCAATGTCATGAGTGTCACTCCTATGATTACTCATGTTGATCTCAGTGTGTTGTGTGAGTATAAATTAATTATATATAACGTGTGAAAATTCTTTGTTTTAAGATACGTAGTATTGAGAATAAACAAATTTGTTCATTTATTTTTAACACAAATTGAATGTACTTCGACCTCGTTTGCACGGATTAATAATATATATTATATATCAATAGTAAAGATATTTTAGGTGGCTGTATCGATTTATGAATAAATGAAATTTAAAGGATCACAGAAATTTTAATCTTTAATAAAGTAAATACCATGGAGACACTGTTCAATAATTTGCTTTTTGCTAAAAGAAAATACTTTCAATTTGTCGGTTCATTACTTCAAAAATATTTACTCGGGCATTGTACTTATTTGCACAATTGATTGAAATTGTACATTGATGTGTTTTCAAACTCATGTCGTAATCGATGTACAATTTCCAACAGTAAAAAATGAAAATTATATTTTCAACAATTATTAATTTTTCTTTCCATCGGACTCCCGTACTATTGCATACGCAATTCGCGAAAACATTTGTCATGTGAGTGCATTTTAATCATGAAAGCACGGTAAAAGAAAGCTATTGCAGTATAGTATTGAATGGATAAAAAAAGTTTATGGTTACGACATGAAAATTATTTAATTGAATGTAATATATTTTCTTTAATATTTCTCTTGAATTTTGGACAAAAACAGTGCTTTCAATTCGAAAAAAATAGAGAGATTTAATCTTAACGTTTGATTATAATGAAATAATTAAATTCGTATCTTCGAATTTCAAATAAAAGAAACAATAATTCGATTCAATCTCATTACAGTTTCGCCAAACAAAGTAGACCTCAGTGGACCAACGGAAGCGAAAGCTGAAGAACAAGTAACGATAACTTGCACGACCGACATCTCGAATCCAGTCTCGGAAATAAAATGGGTTGTCGACAATCACAAGATAAACAGTACATCGCAAGTAATACCCGCATCTGAGGGTGGTTTTATTACAACCTCAAACATCACCTTTACCATAAACAAAATGGCACAACGTGCAGTAGTCGTCTGTCATGCCTTTAACTTCAAGCTGTCGGAAACCATCGTCGGCACTCACACCATCAACGTCATCTGTAAGTTTAAAAAAGAAAAAAACTAAATTTCGCAATATCGATACTCAAGGAACCTGGTGTAATCCAAAGACGGGTTAAAGCGGTCTTTGGCCATAAAGAAAAAGTAATTGAACGTTGTCGGGGCAAACACGACAATTAATCTCTATGTGCGTGTGTATTTGTGTGTAGATCCGCCGTCGAGGCTGGAAATGGCTGGTTATGAGCAAGGAGCTCCCATCGTCGCCGGCACCGTACTCAAGCTCTCGTGCACTGCAATATCCGGTAATCCCCTGGCCACTATAACATGGTATAAGAACGACAACAAGGTACGTAAAAAGGTAATTGATCGGCGCTTATCCTCCTTCTGTCTTTAGTCAACGCACACACGCGCAACATGTATTACATACACCACCATCACCATCTGCTTTTGATTTATAATCTTTTTGCCCTACTGTGGTGGATAAGTATAATTGCATTTCATTCGTTCTTTGACTCATTTGCTTTGTCAATTTATTAGAATTCAGAATTTCATCATCACTATAATATAAATCACCTACCGATTGCAAACAGAAAAAAATTTCTCGCACATCACCATCAATATTCCTTTGTCACCATAATCAAATCCATCACGTCATTCACGCGCTTTCTTCTAACTACGATTCAAAAGCTACGTACTAACCCGCGTAAAGATTAAAAGATCAACTTTTGCGCGGAAAGAAAAAAAAATGAAGAGAAATTTTTTTTCATCGCGAAATCGAACAAAGGAAAAATACATGGGTAGGCAAGTCGGCAGCGAAACAGAGAATAAAACTAACAGTTTTGGAAATTTGGTGTTTTGAAACGCGCAGGTGTCGAGTCACGCACGACCACGGGACCACGCTGTCACGAGTGAGATGATCCACCTGGTCAACGCCTCCGACAACAAGGCTGTCATCCGTTGTGAGGCTAGTAACTCTGCTACCCAGATTCCGCTTGTGCAAAGCGTTCATCTCAACGTGCATTGTGAGCATTTGTTTATTGAAAGACGTTCTTTTTTTTCTTTAACTATATCATTCGCTTTTGAAAAAAATCCGTCACTTTTACACACACAGTTCTACCGGAGCAAGTCAAAATTAGCACGGAACCTAAAACATTCAGGGCGGGTGAGAAGGGTCGTTTAATATGCGAATCGACGAGCAGTAACCCGCCGGCTGAAATGTCGTGGTGGAAATCGGGCAGTCCAGTACGCGGTACGACAAATAGCACTAAGGAGGGTCTCTACGGTGGTTACATATCCACTGTCGAACTTGGACTCGAGCTCAGCGAAACTATGAACAACGAAGAATTCACTTGCCAGGCCAAGAATCCCGAGATCGATCGCAGCATACATGACTCTACCATGCTCAACATTTTGTGTAAGTTCCTTTTATTCAGCCAACTTATTTTTAGCCCCGGCTGACCATATTCAGTTTGTACTACTTGCTTTACTTTCGAGTGCAATATTCGCGGGTTTTATTAAGAAGACGCGATCCAAGTGCTTTTACAAATAATATTAAAGCAAGCACGAATGCTCAATTTGCAGACAAACCAGTATTCGAGAAAATAGCCGCTGGCGACTTGGTTGGCTTAGAGGGGGAGCCGTTTGTCGTCTCGTTGTCAGCCCACGCAAACCCAAGTGCAATAACATACATATGGTCGCGGGATGGTTTACCTTTGAGTAACGGTGCTGCAGGTGCAAGAATCGCTGCTCGAGGCTCGACTCTCAATATTACAAGGCTCGAGCGCAACGACGCTGGTACTTACAACTGCGAAGCTATGAACGAGGAAGGATCTACCTTTTTTGAGTTGAATTTAACTGTGCAATGTAAGCCTCAGTTTAGACGCTTGATTCCCAATTTATGTGCGATAGGTATATCATACACATTTATCATTTTTAAGTTGACTTTTTTGTGTGTTTTTTCATATATTGTTTTCATTTCTCTCATACATCTGTCTCTATAGTGTTTAACAGATTATTTGCAGTGAAAACATTTTTATTCAGTACTTATTTTCATTGTGATACGTGCGAATATTATTCAATAACCATTGCATGAATTTATTTTCATACACAATTTTTTTAAATTTTGTTTATATTTTCTCTTTTTTTTTAAGATTTTATTTTGAAAGCTTCAAATACACTATTCATCGCGTCTTCTGCATTCATATATATGTGTTATTTAAAGTTAACATACTAATACACAACACATTACATTTACCAAACATTTATGTTCAATTTTTTATTTTTTTCTACGATACACCCCGCCAGGACATATGCTGTTTGCACATACTTTGCTTTTAATCCAACTAAACATCCAAATGCATTGAAAGAAAGTTGTTTTACTTTTACAAAGCGAAATAAACACTGTTATAAAAGCTCGAAATGTTATTGTGTTACTCGTGTTTGGTCGTAAAAAGTTTAAACGAACTTAAAAGTATCAAACACGCGGATCCAATTAAACTTTGGTGATAAAGTTTTCGGCCAAAAAAAAACAAAGAAATTAAACTTTCTTTCGATGATCCAAATCTAAGAACTCTAAAATAAAATACTCAACACAAATCATGCGTGTGCTTTGAACGTGTATATAGATCCAGTAACGTTAATCCGTACGTCGACATCGGGCGTGGTGTACCCAGCGGGCAACGAAGCAAAGCTATTTTGCGAGGTTGAGGGTTCACCTTTAGGTGCCGAGTACGTTAGTTGGTACAAAGACGGCACGAACGTTGCCGAGCTTGGTGGGCATTACATCACTTACTTCGCCAATAAGACGTCCTTCTTGAGGATTCGCCGACCCACCGAGAGAGATGTCGGTGAATATAAATGCAACATCAACAATGGCATTAACAATGTTACCTCCGAGCCCATACTTTTTATCACGAATTGTAAGTTTGGCTTTTTCATTCGACTCTAGAAGCGGAAACACGATTAATTTTTTTTTTATTTCGACCGCAGTTAAACCAGAAATGGCGAATTCTCACTTAACGAAAAAGGCTGCCGTGAATAGCGGTGCGAGCGCTCAGCTTTATTGCAAAGCTCGCGGTTCACCGTTGCCACAATTTACCTGGGTGTTCAATGGTAAACCCATACTGTCAAACATGACTGATTACAAGTACAAGCTGACCTACATGAACGTGAGTGCCCGACCGAAATAAAACTCGCGCCACTCAGCCTGCGAAAAATTTGTTGCAATGAAACTTTCGTTTTTTTTTTGTGCCGCAGCTGTCGGAGCTGTACTCGCAATCGATCCTAACGGTTCAGCATGTAAGCCAGTCTGATTACGGCAAGTACGAGTGTCAAGCGCATAACAATATGGGCCACGCGACAGAGCTAATCGGCCTAGACGTAACCTCACCGCCAGACGAGCCAACTGACTTAGAAGTGGTCAACGTCACGCACGACAGCGTCACCCTCACGTGGAAGCGTGGCTTCGACGGCGGATTGCCAACGTCTCATCAGATTAGATGGCGAGAAACTAACGACGAATATGACGTCAACTATCGCTATCTCGACGTATCACCTGGCAACTACACCGCTGTTGTCAAGCACCTAGCACTCGGCACCTCTTATGTCTTCAGTGTCAGAGCTAAGAATTCCAAAGGGGAAAGTCCTTTCTTACCTGATCTTGTCAAAGCTCAAACTTTACGTAAGTTCAATGCAGTATATTTGCATCAGTGGCAATCGCGGTAATATAGATATCTATAGTGCTCTTGTATTTAGTTGCTGCGCTTTACGAGGATTATATATTTTTTATTTTTGTGGTGGAAAATCGGATCTGTATGGTGGTTGGATTATTAGGTTTCACGCTTCTTTTTAAGACTAAACAGGTGGTGCGTGAATTACTTTTTCTATTTTTTACAGGATGGAGATTATTTGAGAGAGCTGAATATAAATGTAATCATTCTGTCTAGATTGTGTCAGTCGTCTCGATAAATTGTATTGTTTTAGTTTTTGTAGCAATTTCATATTGTTCGAATTTTTAAATCTCGCACCACAGATGATCCATCACATTTTAGTAGTAAATATTTGTTATAGTGAATAGCGTAGAACCAATAAATGTAAATGTGTCCGATTTTCTACCTAAACTGGTAAATGACTATGCAAATAAAGTACACATTTCGCAAATATCGAGCCATTACAAATCGAAACGCGATGTTGATAATTAAAGCTAACATCTGGATATTTTACTTTGCTATTCAGAAACCGTCATACATTAGGTAATCATAGATTTATAAAATATATCAGCCTCTGGTCTGTGGTAATTACATAAGCGAGATACACAGATACATATACACGTTACGTTCATAAACTCAACTCTTGGAAAGCTTGCGTGCATTAATATAGTTCATAAATATGCTATTACTGCCAATCATTCGTGCATATTACCTTGTTTATTCATTGAATGTTTATAACACACATAATGCTTCGTTTTCGGCGTAACGTAAAATTTACTTCATTAATTTACGATGGGGAAAAACCGAACGATGTAGATTTTAACTATTTCCGTTCGATTTACGCAATAAACATTGTATTTATTAGCCATGAGCTATAAAAATAGCCTATTATAGTTTGAAAGAGAGAAATAGTCGCAGTTTTCGAATAATACGTGGAATTTCCGGACGAAACGAATCGAACTGTCGAGTGCAGAGGCTAAAGCGTAAACAAAGCGTGAGAGCATTGTTGCGCCCCCGAGAAGGGGAGGCATCGCGCATGCATGCGTGAACTTTTGGCTGTTGCATCCCCACACGTACGCAATCGCTGTACGCCCTCGCCTCTCTCTCTCCCTCTCTCTCTCTCTCTCTCTCTCTCTATCTTTATCTGCCTATTTAGTGTTGTTGCTTTAGTGTTGTTTGGGTGACGGGGGCATTTCTGCTTGGGTTGCAGGTGAGGCACCGCCCAACGAATTGATCGTCAGCGAGATCAATTCATCGTACATCATCGTTATTATCATCGCTGTATCCGCCTGTGCTTGTCTTCTCATTGCCACGCCAATACTCTATAAGGCCTTCGTCTCGAAAAAGAAGGCTCAAAGATCTGGTAATTGACATTTATACGAATTTTTCTTTCTTTTGTTTTTTCTTTCGGATCGCTTGCGCTCTCATAGGACCCGAGAGCGCGGAGAATCATCCGCCAGATGTGCTGAGAGAACGTGGCGAGAATCCCATGAAGTATGTTTACACGATTGCCGCAACATCGATCGTCTTTTTTATTATTAATGTCTTCATCATGTTGTGGTATATCGTGAGAAAGAAAAACAAGGATCGTAAGTCCAGGCATTTTTGCCATTACATTGATCTATCTTCGAATCATACATACATACATTTACGACATTTATGCATTTCCACCTTGCATATTCGTGTAAACTGATCTTATTGGTTTTTATCATGTCAGAGATAACTTTTTTTACAATATAGCGAACAATTTTTATGAAATTTTAATTGGAAAATAATATTGACTCGTTCACGGATAGAATGAAATATGCATTCATGTATGAAACAATTTAATATTGAACGTACCAAGAATGCATATAAACTGCAACAAATATTTGCAAGAACAATATTCTGGGACAAAGCTTACACATTTTAAAGCAATAATTTCCTCCATCATATTTTACATTCCATACCTTTTTGCGAAATTCTAACGTGATTATCATTTTCCTTGCAGGTATAAATAAATCACAGACGGCAGACATGTACGCACCATCAACGGTAAACGGTGACACGATGACAGGCGAATTGAGTTCAGTGTCAGACGAGAAAAGCGACGTCAACTTCGACGCAAATGATTACGTGGTCAGTGCGATCAGTCAGTATGTTCTAAGTAACAAGTAACTCCGGAGGGTAGGTTTGAGTTCTGTTAACCCTTTTCATTTTCTTCCTCCTCCAAAAGAAAATTTTTTTTGTTTCATTTTTTTACGTTTGATTTTCACCCTCATTAGCCAGCTTATACAATCCTTACTATACATATATCTATTTCTCACTACCTCTACTCTTTCCTTTACAAAGTCAAATCTCTAACTAATTAATCAGTCCTCTACGTAATATTTTTTCTTCTCCTGCTCCACTTTCTTCTTTCAGCCAAACGCTTAGATCCTCCGGGGGTTAGTATCAGAGCCAGACTATTATTTACCGAATCAATTATTACACATATCTCGTACATTTGTTTTGAATGCAAAAACTTCAACATTTTACATTCGAACAACTGATAAAGTTGTAAACAATTGTACGGCATATTTAACAATTCTAATTTGCACGACCAACATCAAATAATAAGATTAACAGTTTTTTTTGTTTGCACGTTATCTTGACACTAAAAATTAACTCGACCTACTTTCCATCGTATTATTTATTATAATTTTCACGTAGAGCACATTTTGGCTCCTCAAATGATTATGTAAAGAATATGTCATCGAAAACATCGAATGTGAGTGACAGCAAAAAATTGAATTTTAAAAATATAATGAATAAACAGGACGAAGGGCGAAAAACCGCGGCGAGCACGTACCTGATAGACCCAACTCTGCCGGACTACGGTAAAAGCGGCCTGGAGATGCAAGTGCACCAGCAGACTGGTACCCTGAATCGACGAAGTAATCACATCCCAAGTATCCTGAGCATGGACTCGCCGCCGCAACGCACCACCGCAAGTGGTACACTATCCGGTGCGTCACCCACCCAAATCATCAACGCTACTACTACTACTACTACTACTACTACTACTACTACTACTACTACTACTGATATCACCACTACTACTACTACTACTACTACTACTATTACTTACTGCGATACCACTAACTGCACCGACAGTCTCACCACGATGATGATGATGCCTAGGTGCCCAAGACAAGACCTCTCAAGTTTTATATCGCTCTCTCTCTCTTGGTGTCTGTTCTCAACGATATATTTAATATCATCCATCGCGAAGCTCTATCTTTACTTTGTTTTTTTAACGACACTGGTCAGACCATTAGATCACTTTGTTTATTTTCAATTACAAAGTACTTTGTAGCGCGGCTTCCTACTGCAGCAAGATCATTTGCTTTTTGATCATCATGATGTATTATCGGCTTTTATCATATATTTTTTGCCAGATTTACATTGTGCTCTATTTATTTTGTGATCGATCGACTATCGTAGACACTTCAAAAGTTGTTATTTTTTTACGACACTTGTACACGCTGACTTAAGCATGAGAAATTAGCGACACTCATACTCGGTCTGGCCATTTTTATTTTGTTTCGCTGTTGCCCCCCCCCCTTCTTATTCGTATCAAATCCCGAATGTGACTGTTCACTTGATGTTTCATCAGCATTCATTAAGAATGAAATTTTCAACGTGCACCATTGTCATTATATTCAGAACAATTTTTAATTCACTTTGTTTGCACAATTGTCCAGATGTATCGAGGCGATTCTTTATGCACAATAATAATCTCTCTTTTTCTGTCTTGATTGTTCTACTTTTGAATAACTAATAATAGAGACAATAATGATACAAAATCAATATACGCGATGTTCTGCCGCTATAGAAAAAGATTGCTTTGTGAAAGCTTAATTGGTAATTTAAAAAAGAATCTGGTGTAATGACGTTGATATAGAAAATCAATGACCAAGACGCCGCATTCAAGTGAAAGTCTATAGTCACAAATCGACTGCAAAAGATGATTATGATTTTTCTCGAGATTCGCATTAGTCTACTTTTTTCTTCTTTTCCTTTATTAAAAAGATGCCAGAAAAGGCTGCAGCTGCAAGCAGAGCATGATAAAAGAGAATATTAGAATTGAGATACTTACTTTGTTAGCTTTTCGATACAGTTGATATCATAGTTATTACCGCTGAAAAAGAGTATATATATTTCGATATGAGAGAAAAGGCACGTAAATGCGCGAGCTGATATATTTATGCTTGTGAGGTTTTTCTCTATGATTTTTGCATGTTCGTTTTTGTAAACATTATTTATGTTATATTCCATATAATTATCATGAGAACATGCCAACAAAGATACACGATTATTGTTACAACGACTGTGAATGAAATCTGGCGAAATGGAATTTTTGAGAAAATTGTTTCAAAATTGAAAATTATCAAATTTTTGAAAACGTGTATCTTTTATAAAACATTCAGCAATGATTAATGTTTATAAAAATTAGCATAGTTTGATAATGTATAAACTGTATTAAAAGATATTGGGCTTTGCTAACCAGCAACTAAGTAAATCTAAATGTTTGTAACAGACTTATACATTGTCACTTAGTAATATGGATATTCCGAACCATGATTAATTGCATAGTTGATTGAAAGTTGATTAAAACTTTAATTTGATTAAATATCTGAAAACATAAAAAATGTATCAGGCAGACTTATCGAAGATACGGTCTTTAAATACTCGACACCTGCGATGCCTGGCTGATTATATTTGTGCAACAAAATATTTAACGATAATACGAAGTAGCCAGCGAGCATGAAAACACATGCTGAAAGTCTGCACGCTATGCAAAAAGTCATGCGCCTTGTGATCGAATGCAAAGCGGCGTGATTGGAACAATCAAAAAAGTTCTACAGCAAGTTGGTGTTGAAACTGTTTCAGCTTCGAAGTCGAGCTACATAGGCAACCCGAGCCCAGCCCCGCCTGCCGACGTAAATTTTTACAGCGTAGAGATGGAGAGCGGTCGCTTTATGGGATATGAGGGGACGCCGAGCCCGGCGCCGACCTCGACGATTCTCGAGGTGGCGGGGCCGGGCGCCTACTATCCTTCGCTCAGTCCTTCGTCGGGACTCATGCATCCGCACCCGGGTGCGCCAACCTCCTCGGCGCATCCTCATCAGCATCAGCAGCAGGCGCCGCAGCACCATACGTCGTCTCAACAATTGGTAATGGGAGTGGGCACGCTGACGAGGACGAGGACGCTGCCGCGGCCGGTGCCCCCCCCAGACGTCACTGTTATGACTGCCGGAACAAAGTCACCCCTGCCGCCGACGGTACCCCCCCCGCCAGCTACATTTGCACGTGCGGCCCCAGGCCCCGCACATTCCCACGGGCACCCACTGTCAACTTTCACATCGACGCCGCAGTACTCTGATATTGACGGACACCTCGTCTGAGCCCCCCTTGTCGTCGTCTTGCACCCGGCCGCTGAGCTGCCGCCGGGCGATCGGACCGCTGCCGCCGCTGCAGTCGACGACGACAGCGACGAGGACAGCACGAGGCTGTAACGAGCAGAGCCGCGGCACGCCCACCGCACGTCGAAGTTCAGTTAATCGCTTCGCAAAAGATCACCGAACAAAGCGAGCCCACGGCCCTTTGAACTTTGCACTCGTCTCTCCGGCAAAATCAAACCAACAGAAAAACTCTATCTGCGGTTTAGTCTTGTAAATAGTGCGTGCGCTTCTTCGTTCTACATATATAAATATACATATTAGATACATTATGATGGCGATAATCGTATAATGGTGAAACCAAAGTTTTTTAAATCTTGAATGGTGAATGACGACTGCGCGTGTCGCCGACGGTGCGTTGAACAAGTCAATATATGTATGTATTCTTTCTCCTCGACATTCACACATTTTACACACACAAACACGACAAGTTGTAAAGTTCTTTTTTTTAGCGTTCGAGGAGTGCGAGAGACGATAAAAAACAGTCCGCGCGCGTTGCGCGTGTATGTCTGTATGTGTGTGTGTGCGTGTATGCGCGTGTTTTGCCTTCCCCTGCTGTCACGCGGAGAGAAGCGGCGAGAAAACATCGAAAACGATATATTAATTGTGTATTGCAACATTCGAAAGACGTGAAAGTGAGTGTCTAAAGCCGTAGTGATAAAGACAATATGTTAGTGTGCTCGCGACACGATATACGTGTAAAAATTCTTCGTCTGTATCTGTTGTTTTTTTCTTCTTCCTTCCTCGACCATCTCTACAGTACGACATTTGTGTGCGCGCCTTGTTTGTACATGGTACGGCGATACTTCCTTTTTTGTACATATTATTGAATCTGCATTTGCCCCCTCCCCTCCCTCTCGAAACAATGTGTCCAATGAATCTCATGTATGCGCGTGTACACGTGCGTCCTGTGTATAATCTGTGTGTAAGACTTTTTTATACACGTGTAACGCGTAAGCATACATATATTTTTGCAATTTAATTTAATTCGTTCGTTTTCTTCTTTGTGTACATAAAATAGCGACGTGCGCGAATCCGATTTTCCTAAGAATAGACTCCGCTGGTGTTCGTAAGACTTAAAAACAATGGATAAAATGAGGGTCTCTCTCGCGCATCTTTAAGACGTCGAAGTAACGATCACACTCTACGAATTTCCGAAAGTGTGTGCGTGTTGTGTCGACGTTGCATAGAATGACTTCCGTTCGTTGCGTTGTCGCGCCAACAACTCTAAGTAGCCGGTAATATTATATTTTTTAACCGTTAATAGGATCGAAAAAATGGTAATTTGAAACGTACGTTTTTTGGCCTACTCATTGTGAAAATAATAGTAATAATACGAGCGACACGCGATATGTAAACGTGTAACACTGTTTTAACGACATATGTGTAAGCGTGTACTATGCGACACCTGAAAAATAATGTTGAATCTTTTTAAAAATTTGATCGAATATATATGAATATATTTTTTAACGTGTTTAAAATCTTTTTATTAATCCGCTATGGAAAACAAATTTTCTCTCTACGATTGTCTTCGATTGTGATTATGTTTCCTGTTTGTTAGGGAAAAAACTGTATAGTTCGAGTAAACGATCTGTTGAATATTTTTCAGCTGTCGCGTGCTTTAAATAGTGTGTGTATCGCTGAAGGGGGAAAAAAACATTTATGAATGAGACGTTTCTATAGGATAACTGCTGCAAATATATTGTTAAATTAATTATTGAGATAATTTGTTATCATGTCAAGAGAGAAAACCTGTGAAGCTTTACGAGTAATTGCATAATTGTTAAAGGATGTAAAAAGAGAGAGAGAGAGAAAACCAAATGTTACATGTACGTGGAGCCGATTTTGGCGCGAATTAGACTGATGGATTAGAAAGAAGAAGAAATCATGTGGGAAGATTTATACGCTCAATTAGAGAACGTGTTCGCGCATAATTAAGAGGTTCTATTTACATATACATGTTTTATATTTGTAAAAATCATCTATTAATCATTACCTAAAATAATAGAGAGGGATGACTCGAATTTTCCAAGAGCTGTGTGATTTTCAAACTGCAAAGAATGTAGTCGTGTTTTCGTAAATCATTAATCGTCTATGTGTTCAAAACTACACTGATTTTTAAATTACTCGTTTATAGACAACGAATTAAAATTAATTTTTCTAATTGGTAGATCTTTGCACCTTGGAGATGAATAACGCTCTGGAAAAACGATACAACAAGGATGATCTTTTATATATATAATAATCGAAGAAAAAACTAATAATTCTGTTGATTATTCTAAGGCATAGTCAATCCTAATTATACAATCATTAAGATTATGAGAATCCAAGCGAGCAACGCTAAAAAAAAGAATGTACGAAGTGAAGTAATTATTAATCATTTTAACGATGTAAATATTGTAAATAACTGATTCTTAGATAGATATTGAAAATTGAAAAACATGCATTACGAATTACATATATCAATAATTACATTGAAAGAATATGATGATGATCGAGAGCTTTTGTATTAAGTAAAAACCGTATAAAGGTCGATGTTTTTTCATCGCACACTTTGCAATCTTCGCGCAATTTTTTCCTCAAAAAGAAAAAAATACTCTTTGTATATTGGTGGAGGTCCTTTTAAACAGAAAATTGAAAAATACACATACACACAAAACAGATAATAAATACTGTGTATTATGAAACGAAAAAATAACTGCGTATGTGCACACACAGAATTTAAAGGCGGTGGAAAAAAATACATTACGAGATTAAGAGCTGTATCATTTTGACGAGAGTGTATTGTGTATATGGATACTATCGAATAACAAATCGCTAAATTAAGTAAACTTTTCATGCTCTTTTCTATTTATGGGAAAGAGAGAGAGAGAGAGAGAGAGAGAGAGAGAGAGAGAGAGGGGGGAAAAAACAACCAACAAACTTGTTATCACGCGTTATCTTAATAGAAAAATAATATTCGAATGGAAAAATGCTTGTTATAAGCTACAAAAAAAATAATGAGGCACTATAAACACAAATTTAACTCTTCCATTGCGTTTTTTCTTCGATTTTTTTGTTGTTTTTGATAGTCAACTCTTGCATTTTTGAAATAAAAAATTCAATGCCAATTATTATACTCTATGTCAATCATTTATTAATTTTTCAATGAATTTTAACAACTTATACACTGTATTGTCGGACTAATTTTATACTGTATAAGACTGGAAAGTTATAATCGAGTATACGGTGAACAAATATTTGTACATAAAATGCAAATCTTTCAAAACCGTTCACATTTCGATAGTTCAAAAGCACATTTGTTTTTTAACTGATCTCGATTTGATACCAATGATATATGGGTAACATGCATCATGTGCTAATAATTCGTCCGCATCTTGTCTCGAACTGATTTTTTCAAAAGCTCTTTTTTACCACATTGAAAAAAATATCCTGTTGGTTCGGTACGCACGAACGCTTCCACCTATGTGCCAATACATTAAGTAAATGTTTTTCGATGTGTAATGTAAAAGTCAAAAAAATGAAACCAAAAAGTTAAAAAAAAAAACAAAAAAAACATAAAATAAAGTAACGTGCGAGATGTGCGCGAATGACACATTTTCATCATCAAACTCATTTATATTCGTAAGTATTCTGTGTAAACAGAGAAAATTTTTAAAGAAATGTAAATCCTCCGTCTTAATTAAGGGTATAAAGAAAGGGGAAAAGTAAACGGGAAAAGTAGATATTCTGAAAAAGGCACTTGTGAAAAAAACCATGTAATGTTGAGAGATAGAAGACAGGTAAATAGCAGAGAGGTTATTGAGAATGAGAGAGACAGCGTTAGAAAAGAAAAAGAAGAAAAGCAGAAAAAAGCTCTCCGATAATGATAGAAAAGAAAACTTGTATAATATAATTAAAAACAAAAAATCCATCATACATTAATTATTGTACATATATATAGTATTTTTACATTCTAATTCTAAATTCCATTTCCGATTCTAAATGGTACAGTACAGCTCTGTGTGCTTCGCCTGTCATCCTTGCATTATAACACACCGTCTAAAAAAAGAGAATCGATTTTTGATATATTGTTTTTGTTTTCCTTTTTCTCGAGAAAAGTCACTATTATATTATGTACGCGTCTTTTTAAAAAAATTACGTTACGTTATATCGTTATCGATAGTTCGTAAGTTCATTTTGTTCTATTTTAGTTTGGCTACTTTGTTACTCGATAATATGTACAAAAAAGTGCACGAGAAACGTACGTTTCCTTCGGCAGTCGGCTTTCATCTTTTTATTTTTGTGCGTTGATTACATTATATCTACGTCGAAGACGACTGAAAAGTTATCAATGGAAAGAAGTGATGAACGCGTTTCTTTGTATTTTTCGATGGACGTCAACGAAACAAATATACACGAAGACAAAGTGAAAGCTCAATACGCTAGTCCTTAATTTAAAACCAAAGTACGACGAAGTTATAGTGAATTTCGAAAAGAAAAATGAAAAAAATGCCAGAAAGGAAAATGAAAGAAACGTCACTCTTATAACCGTCTTCGCGGAGCATAAAAAACGAACGAACAGAGATGATCTGTAATATGGATTATGATAATTAAATGATTCAATCATTGTAAGTAGTTAAAAGGGAACGAACGAATCCGAGGTTAAGCATTTAAGCCGCTAAATATTTGAATAAGCCAACTATTTTACACGTACGTTTAACTTACAATCAATTCTCATTTTTATTATTATTATGATTATTATTATTAGTTATTGTCTTTTTATTACACGATGAATTTGTAATATGTTATTTTACACACATAGGACTTTTGTCGTTTAGCAATACGGAATCTGTCTCTGTACATTGTTTTTCTATTGCGACTATTAAAGTAATTATAAAAATTTACTTTTGTTCAACATTCTTTTCTTTTCCTAACTTTTCCTTTTCCTTCACTTCTAATATACCTAACTTTGAACATTTCCATTTACTACAGTCTTCTTTATTAAATAAAGAAATAATTTGGTTGGTACCCGAATAAAGATGTTTAAATTCAATAATAACTTGATGGCTTTTTACTTTTTGAATTAAAAAACCAATGCATATGTACAGTATACGCTGCAGAATCCACAGAAGTAATTTACTCACCTGTGTGCGAAATTGATATAATAATAATTTAAAAATAAGGAGACTCTAAAAACTAAGTGATATACATATCACCGAAATTCAACAAATTATTTACTCGTTCTTAACCATCCAATTTTTCAATTATCTTTATAATGTTAGTATGTATATATATATTTTTTTCTAGTATTTTTTATCCAAGAAACAAATTTAAGTCTTTTCAAATCTTGGTAATTGACTACTTCTTATTCTTGCTTTACTATTCGAGTTAAATAAATGATCTAATCTTAATGGATAGGATTCTTTTTACTTATGATCTTTAACAACCTCTTCTGTATGTTACGTAATAAGTGAAGCTTAGTTGAACGTACACTACCCTAATTTATCAAACCATAATTTAAGGAACCTTCGAAGTAAGCGTAGTACAAAAACAATAATACTTTTGTACTTGCAAATTTTGATAATTTGTAAAATATGAAAATTAAATATTTAGTTCTATTAACCGCATTATTTAAATCATAGCTCTATTTCAAGGAAAATAAATGATTATATCTAAATATTTACATGTTTCTACTCACTTCAATCGACTATTATGAATTATTATTTTAATTTGACTATAGGAACGCTATCTATGTAGCTTCCGAAAATTATATAGATGAGGTTTTCTATGTTCAACTATATTAATATTATTGTCATCACGAATTTTCATTTTATCACTTATATTTTTTTATCATTTTGAATTTGCTTTTTATAATATCCTCATGACAATTAAACAAATGATCAATCTTTTCTTTATTAGTAACTATTGCCAATTATTTTGTTGATATTTTTCCATTACTTCCGAGGATTTTTGTTACTATGTTCGGTTTGCTTTTTCTCGTGCTTCATTCTAACATCTTTAACTACTTTATTCAAAAATTTAACGTAGTGTTTGTATTATTTTTTCAAGCATTCTTTATTTCGTTACAACCTTCATAATTCGTACAATTATTCATTCTAAACGAAAGAAACTATAATTGGCTTTGGTATTGTACCGGAAAAGCACGGAATTTCACAATAAAAGTGAATAGTCCCGCGAACTACCCAAAATCACTTTGGCTTTCTACCAGAAACGAATGTAAATTCGCAAATTCACTTAGAATCAATTGAAATCCATGGAGACGTGTTGGTGGAGAGAAGTGTCGTGAATGGTTTGCATGTAATTAGGAGACGGGCAAAAACGTCGAGCCATTAAACTACTCCTGGCGCAGTTACACCAGGAAACTGCAATGGCAAGATTGAAAATCGTGCTCGTAAATCGAAAAATCTTCTTCCGGCGTCGCGAGAGAGATCCAATTAAACGGTCGCGCGCGCGACAATTCCGCGACGAAGACTAACGTTGCGATCTCTTCTTACTTGGCACGTTATGACTTTCCAGCTTTCTCCCGAAATTCTCCGTATATGTGTTACTCCGTTGCGATTTTTTCTGGTGTGCAACGAAATAAGAAAAAAAAGGGATCGTTGACCGCGCTTATTGGTCTTATGAAGGAGAAATGAAATCGAGCGTTTAACGTTGCTTTCTTGTTATGATCTGAGGTTTTAATTGTCGCTCGAGTCGGCACACGGAGATTTATTTTTATTTTGCACGCTCGCGCTTGTATCTTAATGGAGGATCTGCTCGATTGAATTTTGACGCTTTGCAATGAAATTTCTTCTTTTTTTCTTTTCTCATCTGCTATTCAATTTCCGGTTGCGAGTAATTTGAAACTTAATTTACGTGTTATACAATGGAGATTTCCGAAGCTCAACGAGAAAAAAAATTGTTACGATCGACCACTTTCTAGTCGAAAAATCATTGATCATGTGGTCCGGTGCCCGAGACATTCCTCTTCAGTCCAAAGGCGAACTACACTTTCATAGTTTTCTATTCATGTTTGGGTATATTAGCGAAACTAGATCATTTTTCTACTTTCAAATTTCGCGATGTATAACATACATATACATTGCGTGCATATTTATTTGAAAATTTTACATCGTCTGCATTAGCGCTCTCACACTTTCGCCTCCTTCGATAAAAGAAAAAGGGTATACACGAATGAACAATACCCATAATCAATTCACCAATGCTGCAATTGCATTTCAATAAACTAAAAGCCCGTTTTGAACAAGGATACAGTATGTTCATGAAACTGCGAAATTAACAAGCTCGTGCGGTCATACGCGTATAGAAATCGACAAATTAGAGAGGCCGGAAAAAAAAATGAAGGCGGGCATTTACGTAGTTGAAAGAACGGACGCTCGTGTCAGCTGCGCGAATATCGCCCGCAGAAAGGACAATGCAGTTTTCACTGGCGCTCGCGCGCTCGACTTCGCCGTCGTCGAGAAAATGATTTTCTCTCGCGCGCTCTTTTCTCCTACGTTCCGCGTGTCATTGCGCATGCTCGCGTGCGGTTGTCAACCCCAATGGATTATCTCCGCACTTTTACTCTCTGCGCGCGTACGCGAGGGCAATTGAAATATCATCCACGGAGAGAGAGAGAGAGAGAGGAGCAGGCGCAACGCATTGATTTATCGCGAGCGAGCGGAAACTGCGCGGAAAGAAAAAAAAAAAAGAAGAAGGAAAAAAGTCCAACGGAATCTGTGATCGATGCTCACTCTCCGTCTTATATAGCTGCGCATACACGGCGACTATCCTAAATAATTCAACGGGCTTGGAAAACTAAAGTGCGCGCCGTCGCCACGCTCTTTCGCGCGGATCTAGATTTGATGGACGCGCTCGAACAGATGGAAATCGTGGTCCGGCTCATCTCGCTTTTCACCGCCACGTCGTCGGCGACTAAAAATGGAAAGTGGTCGTCGTTGTAAGCCTTTTGTGCGATGCGTAATTGCAGCGCGCGACCGTGACCTTGGCACTTTGAAGCGTTCGTGCGTTCTGCCAATTACAATTGAGAGCGAAAACGGTTTCCCTCGCGCTCGAGACTGCGCGCGTAAATACTGTCGCGGTTTTTTTGCCTTTCCTTTCCTTTGGCGAACTATACGCACTTAATACGTTTGCCCGCTCTTGTCGTTATCGTTGTTCTTGCAAGGCGATTAAATGAAATGGGAAATTCATTACAAAGAATCTTATCTCTTATCGCTGCGTAATCGAGAAACGTGGTCTACTAGTTTTGACTTCACAGTGAAATTTCTTCTCATATTGATCTTCAATCGTAACTCGAGTGTCTCGTTAAAAATGTGCTTTAATTTTATTGCAATACCGTAAGTGGCTTTGAATTTTAAAAAATGGACATTATAAACGCATACGTGTTTATTTTACCCTGAAATTTTCATCTTACGAGTGTTAATCACATATTTTTTATGTAGAATTTTGCTGCATAAAATATCTCGTGAAAGTTATTTATTAATCTTCATAATTTTGCGGTGGAAGATTATGCTTTTCAACTACGTGATGAACAACTTATACCCCACACCTTATTAGAACAATTTTATATTTGATTCTCACGTAAAACTTCTAATGATAATTATTTATGATTTGTATTAAATTAGCACGACATGATACAAATAATAAATAAATTTGAAATACAAGACTGTTTTTAAATTGCTATGCAAGACTAGTAGTCTTACTACAGTCAAACAAGCTCGGTATGTTCAGAAAAAGAAATGCATAACTTTCATATCTAAGATCAAGTTTCCGGCGCAAAGCAACGTACAACAATGTAACTCGTAACGCAGCTCCGTAAAAACCAGCGAGCGATGCAAAACCAGAAAAATCTCAAAGTGTGAATGAAATGTAAAAAGTTTCTCTTTTACCATATCCGAGGAAAGTTTGCTGTGTCGCTGGGCAAGGATACGGGCAGAGAAGGCGAAGCGAAAAAAGTCAAGTTCCTGCAAGTCGTCCTTACGAAACGCTCCTCGCTATTGCCGTAGCGTTAGGGAGAGCACAGTGTCATTTTTCGGAAGGATTCAAAAGCCGGCTTTCGCTCCACACGAAGGTGGAATCAGGTTGGAGTCGTGGCGCCTTCTCCTTCTTTTTTCCTGACGGACAGTCGGGACTGGAGAGTGGGTCTACTAACTCTCGCGCGAAAGGTGGTATAAAACCGTAATGCAGCGATTTTTAGAGGTCAGTTGTTCTTCGGACTTATATTGCCTTGTATCAGAAAAGATTCCTTTGTTTTTTGTTTTTTATTGCTTTGCGATCGTTTATACATGGTTTACGTGCCAAGAGTGAAGACACTTCGAGGAGATATGATGATACCTGTGAGTTATCGATTTTTCATTTGTAACCGAAACATTATAACTGCTGTAATTTTTGTTCAATAATTATTTAATGAAAAGAACTTTAGAAAATAATATTATCTCAAATGAAATTTCAGAATTTACCAACATAAAAAAATATTAATTTTATAAGTTATATCCTGATTCAGAATATTGCGTACACAAGTATCTTTAATTTGAGGGATATTGAAATTCATATATTATGTGATTTTAAAGGGGAAATCATCATTGAATGAAACTAGTACATATCATTAAATTTCAAGCGTATTTTATGCATATACGAACATTTGTTACAGATTATTTTCGCGGCCCTTTGCGTGGCCGTAGCGACTGCTGAATCGTCATCAGTCAGCAGTAAGTTACTTGAATATATTCCACAATAATGTAAATAAGTAATATTTAAATAGAATATTCAATGCTTCTAATAAGAATCAACCAGAAAACTATAAAGGAGAAAACCAAGCTTTCAATTATTTTACTCATAGTATTCTCTCAAATCACACAGTATGTAATATACACTTTGTATTATCTATTAACCCTAATAATTCCGTTCCAGTTTCAAAACAATTAACGTTGGTTCTAAATACTTTTCTATTGATTTAAAATAATATAAATCATTTCAACATTTTTCTGTTACTCCGTAAAAGACTGAGTTGCATATTGCGAAATACTTTACTTTTAATTAACAGGATAGAACAAAATTATTATACTTAACATTCATGGAAATGAATGCATCGTGTTTTAAAACTCGAGTAAGGCATTTGAGAATGCAAAGTAATTAATACAAGAAAAATACTTTTTATGGTCCCATGAAAACCCTAAGAATACTTTTAAATTTAGTGAAAAATTCTAGAACGGAATTGTTGATAAAAAATCATGAAAAACGATTAAAATGTAAATGCATGAAAATTTGGCTGTATATTTTATAGTATCACTCTTATTCACACCACAAAAACATATTTTCCTCGAAAAATCAGTGAAAAGCCATAATAAAGTCATAAACCACAGCCACACCTCATCTTTTAGTCGCGCACATGCATGGAAAGATTCGAATGTAGAGTTCACATGTGTACGCTCTACTTTCATGCTCGCCCCTGCGTGTAATTACATTCACGACACACATGCACAAGTGCCAAAGCAGAATTTGCCCGGCGAAAAGTGCGTCCAAGCTTTCACCTTTTTCCTGGCTGCTTTTCAAAAGATACTGCTTTGGAAAAATCAAGCCTCTACGCACTTGGCAATTAGCTGCGCGAGAGAAATCTAACAATTGATTCCAACCTTTCGACCGATCGATAAGAAAAAGAAAATTCATTGCTCTTGGTCTTTTCTTCACTGTATATCATTTGGTAGACATCGCTTGAACGTCGAATCGTAGCAACGGAGAAAGGCTATTGATTTTCTAGCTTTTGCGTGTAATTGTAGATTGACAGGAAGAAGTGCAAGCTAAATGCATGCCACAGAATCAGTCGTGTTTTTAACGCCTGCCGGTCACGTAAACCACCGCATCGCTTTAGAAAACATTACTAGAGAGTCAATGTTAGAGATATCTAAGTGGCAGAAAGTGAAAGCATGTGTAAAAAATACGATTCACGAATATTTATTATAAGCTACACATTTTCATTTTCTCAATACTATATAATAGCTTATAACAGTTGAAAGAGCATCCACGTGAAAATCTCTGTTTTTCCCAATAGGTCACTCGACAGCATCGAGTAACATGCGAGAATACGAATACCCGTCGACAAGTTACTTGGGCAGCAAACCCAACTATGGCGATCTCAGCACCACCTCCTACATTAGTTCCGACAGTTCACCTTACGCTAAAAGTGATTCGCGCCTATACTCCGCCGTTGACCCCAGCTCTGACAGGTACCACAATTTCGTTTAATTGATGCACGATATTTACATCAACCGTACATTTGAACAATATTTTTATCAAACTCGTTATTAATATCAGCTATGATCACCTTTGAGATAATGAAGCATTAAAAACTTTTTGTTAATGATCCTTGATAATTACAGTGTATCGATAACTTTTAGCATGTGGTATTTCTCACCTTTTCATGCGTTAATTAAACATTATAACAATGAAAAATCTTCGTCACTTGCAGATTTTAAAACATTATTTTTCTATCAGAGCGTGGAGACCCTAATGCAAAGACGCACGTACAAAAATTTTTACAATGAATCATGATTATAACGAGTTATAATGATTACAATTATTTTTGCGCAGCGAAACATGAATATCTTAAATATCTAGATTTTTAAATATCTGTGTAGTAGAGCTTAATATAGAATGAAAATTGAAAATACTGAAAAAAATTTTTCGAGTTGAATTACAATTTTGGTGTATGCTTGATTCACGATATTGTCGATTTAAGAAACATAACTCCGAACTTTTTTATTCAATTGTTCTATCGCATCATTGGTTCTTTTCGCTACGTAGATACGTAAAGTTTTTTGAATTTCATGTTCGAATAGATTTTATGTGTTGCATATAACTCGCGGCGAGCCGACCGAGTTGAAAAATAAATTAAAAACAAAAAAAAAAAACGTGAAAGTGAAAGTTTAAGACTTCTAATTTTCAAGCAGCAACAACAACAGCGAGCCAAGAACCTCACCAGGTCTATCAGGCAGCTACTACAAGAGTAAATACGCCACCGACACAGTTGTCAATGCCCTTCGTCCAACAAGCTTTCACGGCGGTTCATCTTCCATCTCCTCGTCTTCATCTCCCTCATCCTCGTCACAATCATCGTCTTCTTCAGCTTCATTGTCAGATATCCAATCGAATCATTATCCTGGCAACAGCAACGACTTCGCCTCGAATCATCCATCGTCCAGCAACGACTACGCGTCGGGTAGTTCAAGTTTTACCGTGGGCAACTACGGTCAACGCGCGCACCATCAGGCTTACATGCAAGCCGAGGCACAACAACCAGAATACGTGGGAAGCAGACCTACCGGTACCATTTACGGATCGTACACTGGCGCGGAATACCCGCAGACTCGTCCTACCGCTTACGCTCAGCACAGGTGAGAAATCGGGACGAAAAAAAATAAAACACACGAAAGTCGGCTGCTTATTAAACTTGATCGCACGTGAACTCAGGTGCAAATCACTTCGACGATAAGCGCTTCGTTTTTCGGAGAAACTCGCGTTGGAATCCAGGTGAATTCTGCGCCTGTGACGCGCGAAAAAGATTTTAATTGCAATTAGGCTGTTGCTTCTCAAATTGCGAGTCCGCGAGTCGAGAGAAAATAATGTGAAAAAAAAAAAAGAAAAAAAACGAAAGTACATGCGCGCGCGTCGGCTACTTTCGCTTCATCGGAATCGGGCGTCATCCCGATTTCGCGCGAGGTATAACTCTTTTGTTCTCCCTCGAATCCCAGTGGACTAAGCGGACCACCAATGCAGCAACACACGTTGGGACATTATCCATCGGCCGAGGATTATTCATCGGCGGTAGCTGCGGCACCGCCGCCACACTACAAAACCTACATTATGAGCGGCGCGCCTTCGTATCCAACGAGCAAATATTCGACGGTTCTTGGTGCGATCAAGAGCTTGTTCGGTGGTGGCAGCGGTGGTCCAATGCTATCCGACGCGGCTTCAAGTCCGACTCACTTGTCGTCTTACTCGTCCATGGGACCGAGCTCGTCGGCTTACTACTCGCCTAGCTGGATGCCCGCTGCCACTCATCATATGCCTGTGTCTGCTTCGTCAGCAACTGGCGTTGGAACTGCACCGCCGAGCTATTACCTCGGATCCGGGTAAGCTGCGCTCGGCGAATCAAAATAATATTGGAGCAATCGCATCTCAACGGAAAGTCTTTGCTGTGCAGTCTCGCGCCATCGACATCGGCGTACTCCAAGAGCTACGCACCGATGCGTCTTATGAGCGGATTCGCCGGCAGCGGTGTACCCGGTGGCAAAGTCATCGTCGTCAGAGACAGCGGTTCCGCACACTTGGGTGCCAGTTATCAGCCCACTGCTGGACTTCTTATGGCTTCGTCGACCAGCTATCCAGTGAAGAGTAAAATTTCGTTCGGTCCTAGCTCAGCTGGGCCGACTTACTTGGCGTCGCCGAGCTCGCTGGTATGTACATTGTATTTGCGATCATTTTTAATATCTAACGTCTGATCATTATTATCGCAGCAAAGTTATACGAGTGGACCACCAAGTAGCTCGTTTCCAACGAGTTATTCGAGTAGCAGCAGCTTCGCCGGTGGCCACGGGGGAAGTCCCTTTTTAGGATACACGATGTAAAAATAAAAACTAACTCATCACACGCACATATACCGTCATTATCCGTGGAAATATTTTTCATCATTACAGAAGTAGAGATTTTGCTCGAGTCTTTACGCGAATTTTGCGTGTTTTCGCAATATTATTTTTGTTGTTTGTTTTTAATAATCGCGAAAGATTATAATGTGTATATAAATGTTACTTTTGCGATGGAAACGACTTTATATTTAAAGATAATGGCTTGTGCAGTATTATTACAACGAATACGATTGTTGTGATATTGTGCATCAACTTTTTGACTCCGGTGAAGTTTTTTTTCTTCGGAATGCGCGATCAGAAATGAAGTATTATTGTTAATATTTTTGTAACTTTACTACTTTTGAAAGGTACGATGTACGAACAAAAAAATAGTACCTGAAGCAATTCCTTGCATATGCGTTTAAAAAAAATATTTCCACAAAAATTAACGAAGCGATACGTACGTTAAATTAATTTCGTTTTTGTTATTCTTCAATCATATTATAATCTCTCTATTTATAACTTTATTTTATTAATCGCAAAAGCTTATAAATGAGCTAAAAGAAATACGGCAAAGGCATTCTACATTCCAAAACACGTAAATAGATATCGTTAAAATTCGTTTTATCGCAACCATAAAAAACTACATTCTCGAGTGCTGCGTTCAACTGCGAAAACTAGTGATATATATTTTATGTGTGCTGAGGATGCGTTTGTGGACAATATTTATTCAATAATCAGTTGTAACATGTAAGTACGTATATCTATGTATCTTTCTTTCTAGTTGTTTTATTTTATACTGAATTTGATATAATAAAATAAACAACTGTTGCGTTGACGTAAAGTCACTTGTTATTTTTATTTACGGAAATTAAGACAATCTTTATTTAATTCTGTTTAAAACTCTTTTGGAAATCTTCTCTTGATGCAACTGTACTCGAGCTGTTGTCGGTGGAGTTCGTTGTATTTTTGACTTTGCTTGAAAAGCAAACTCCTCTTCATTGTCTTTGGTAGATTTCGAATTATTTTTAGTCAATGCCGCAAATATTTTGTGCACTTTACTTGAAAAAAAAAAATAAATAGAATTTCAGACTTCCAGTACTGAAAATCTAATGCATATATCATTATAAAGTAACACTGCATATGCTGTAAAAACGCATTGATGTATAAATGTTTAATGAATGAAGTGAAAGCAAAGAGATAATTCGAATCACGAACATATTGCTATACGATTAATTGTCCAAACGTGTACATATACACGAGAAAGTAATTATCAGCGCGTGAAGATTCACGGTGACCGATTTATGGATCACGTTACGTTCGAAAGTTTCCAATCTTACTGCGCGTCTTTGCTTAAATATACATATATACTTACCTTACGTCCGTGCTACTTTTCCTGTCAGCTGCTGAAACGGAAAGAAATCGCATTTTTTTCATATTTGCATCTGTTTACCTGTTTATTAGATTTTAAATTACAATGATTTCAAATTGCGTTACTTTAGTGCGTACTTTCTGTCCGAGAATTATCCGGTGCAGTTTCACTTGTGACGATGATTGTTGCTGACGTGTTGGATGATTCACTTCTACTTTCACTGAAAACAATAAATCGTTATAACAATGATGAATATATGATTGCTCTCTAAGTTGATTGAACTATAAGTGGTTATAATCAACATAATGTGAATAATTTATATTCTTCAAGTAGTCATAATCAACGTAAAGTGGATACATTATTATTACGTAACGAGATATTGATAAGCAAAGAGTGAAAATAAAGTTGTTGCTGTAGACATAATATCTACTGATAATTATCTGATTATGGATAAAATACAAGTCTAATTAAATTTACTTGTGTAGTAAATTATCAGTCTGTGTAGAAGTAACGCTATATTTCGTAGCTTTCTCTGACTCCAAACTATAGAATGAGTAATGGGAAATTAGTAAATCATCGCCTTGAAGTTCCTCATTTTCAAACTTAACCGGGTTGTCTTCTTCTAATTCTTTTTCTAGAACATCGAATATTTCCTGAAAATTGTAAAGAAAAATGTCATCTAAAAATTGTTCAAATCAGTTGCATGAAATATAACAAAACTCACATCATCTTCATCTGGAAATTCATCGTCCGATAAATTCGCCTCATATTCTCGTTTGTGAACTTTCAAGGTGTGGGAGAAATGCTTTCTGCAAAATTATAATTATACAAAAACGATTTTTTCACGAAACAATTAAACCTTCTTATTACCTTAGCTCTTCTCCACTTCTCACACAATAGTACTCTAAAATTTTAGCAAGATGCAACTTTTTACCCTCCTCGTTAATTTCGTTATTTAAAAGAAAATTTTGCAAGGCTCCGTTTACATAAGGCAAAATCTAAAAAGAAACATCTTATGAATTTACTGTACGTTTATCTCTAAAAAGACACACTAACCGAAACACAATCTGAAGACAATAAACTGGTCAATATCGATATGAAAAGCGGTGCAATGGCCTCTGCTCTAGAACGAGCCGCACTCTGCAATGAAAGATTCATTAGCAAAGCGCAGGTGTACTCTAATCTGTACGTTCCCATTCTGAAATTTTCATTACTTAGGTGGTATATGAGCCACTCTACTAAATTAGCCTCCACCATAAAATTTCTCTGCTCCTTTCGTAGAGACATTTTTTGGAGTGTCGCTATGAGCATGTCCAGAGTCACTACGTCACCAATTCCGTTGTTACAGCTATTCAAGTATTTAATTATCTGTGCACGAATAAATATTTTTAACCAATTTATCGAATTACTGGAATATTAATCAACTTACCACATTGAGAACGACTGGACCTGTAGTTAAATACTTTCGACCGGAATTCAGTGATGCTAAAGCATTTAGGAGTCGTGCTGCAGTTTGCTGAACATAACTTACAACTGCAGTTGAATTTATCGGCATCAATATGTAATTTAAAATCGTATCTTCATCGTTGTTCGCTGATTCGTCTTTAAGGCCTAATAAATCATTATCAACGTACGAACTAACTATTGAACCACAATTTTCGGGCTCCGATGACGTGAGTTTCTGAAATTAATTATTCTGTTAATAAAAGTTGATAACTAAAGCTGATTGAATGAAATGTACCTGGCGTAGAGCTACAAGTATTAGTAATTTGGTCTTGATATCCCCATTCTTCAAATGTAGCTTGAGCTTTCCGTAATTTAACATTTTGCATGAAGCTGCTGTATAATCATGTTTGTCTCTTTGCTTGGAGCTTACAATATCTTTTGATTTTTTTTTTGCTTCGGTATTTGTATCCTATTCATAAAACATTCGTGAATATCGATGAAGTGAATCACAGTTTTCAAATATCAATTAGTACCTCAGAGTCAGTTTGAATATCCATCTTGTACCGATTTGGAAGAATTTCCGAACACGACTGCAATATCATATCCAAATCTACACTCTTTCCCTGCACTGAACTTTCCAGCGCGATAGTTAATACTTCGGCAATCTCGTTCATTTTTTGGTAATCTTCGTGAAGCTTATGAAATCTCAATTTCAATTTCCGATAGTGTTTGAGTACACTAAACAATCGTGTTTTAGTCATATTTAATTCGTCATTATATAGAACAGATTGTTTGCTAGGAATTGCAAACACGCTTGGTGTAACCAAACTCAAGACGTGATGCGGTTCGCTAATCATTGAAAATCCAATGCCCGTTTTTAAACTACTTATACGCGTTTGTGTATTTCTATTCAAACAATTTTTTTATGTTAGAGATTCTAGGTTAAAGATGGATATATTTTGCTTGGAATATAACTTACTTGGAACAAAAATTATTTTGATGATCCACTTGATGATAGTTCGTCATCCAATCTCCAATTTCTTTACTTTTAACAACAGATTGAATCAATCGATTGCAAGATATCAATTCACCTTCAGTTTCGGTAAGTTTACTTTTGTGATCGGTCACTGTTAAAACAGTTTCGATTACAGAATTTTCAGATATTTCATATGTACAATTTTTTGATTCTGTCTCATTTGTGGATTCTTCGTCCTATTAAAAACTTCAATATAGTTCCTTGAACGTTGTTTTAGAAATTCCTTTTTTACCTTTAATTGTTTCTTAATAAACTTGTCTAAATCTGATATCAATTCTTCTAGCCAATCGATAGTAAATATTTTTTTCACAGATTCATCTTCTTGTGGACTATCAAGATATGGTAGAGCGAAGAACGCTATCAATGGACTATCTTTCAATTTTTCGATTAATTTCCGACCGTCATAAGAGTTTAAAAATTCTTCAAGTTGTTTCATGTTATCAATGTAAAACGTATTGCTTTCGTCTTCTGAATCCTAATAGTACGATTATTAATTTTATTTTGAAAGAAAACTTGAAATTAACGTAAAAATTTGCATACCTTTTCGTTATTATCCGAAAAGTATTTATTCGCGGCATTATCAAAAATTATATTTACAGGCTGAGAACTACTGAGTCCTAAAAGACATAATTTAAATTAGCATATTTTTAATTGATAAAAATGAAACACTTTCAAGGGTCATACTGTAATTAATGTGCTGATTTAATTGGACGATTCGGATCGGTAGAATGGCATAGTGCACTCGCAATTTCAAAGTCATAATTTTATATTCCATCGACTCCTTAATATTTAACGAAAAAGAGTTATCCCAAACCTAAAGTAACGATATTTTGAAATCATACTCTACTATTTTTTTCATATTTTCTTGAAAACGTTTTACCTCAAAAAACTGTTCATAGTTTCCAGACAAATATTCTGAAATTATTATGCTACCGTTTTTTAATGATTCATTCTCATAATGCTTCTTTTCAAGGATTGATGACTCGTTGTTCCTACTCTCATTAAATATCTGTCTTACGTCGGTACTGAATGTCAGTCTTACGTCATTCGTTAACGACTCTATTGTAGGGCTATCTGCCTGAAATAGATTAATTTTTTGCACATATGTAATTTTTAGTTTTCGTCAACTAATCAGAATGTTTTGAAACTACAATATTGCAGACCCTTTTTTGTGTAGTCGTGTTGAATTGGTTTGGATCATCATTATCGATTTTACAAACATTGCCCATCTCTTCTAACATACTAAACTGTGTCATAGTTCATACTCTGCCGAGTCGTTGATCCCAGGTATTACGAATACGAAAATCAATAAGCCATCAGTGATCATCTAGAGAAGTAGAACGATATACTATTATTTAAATCTAATTGCTATTATTTGGATGCGCAAAAACTTTTGCTTGTCTTATAAGCTACATGTATAATCGTGAAATTCCTACTATACTATCTACGACAAATAAATACAAAACACGAAATTTAATTTTTATGAATCGCAAATAAGCTTTATAAATGATTGGATTATTGTCATGTTTAGATGCACGCTTTGTCTAAAGTCACACTAATAAAACTCTCATCGTCGATCAACGATCAGTTAAAAAAAGTCATATTTTTCGATAAAAAAAATTACAAGAATTAAAGAGCGATATAGTCATTAAAATACCTACATCTAAAATAGAACTCCGAAAAGCCGCACTAAGCTCGCACCTGTCAACGCGACCACAACAACAACAGTAAGTGCAGCTGTATATTATGAAGTGTCGTCGTATCAGCCACCGCGAGATGTCGCGACACTAGCCTGTCTGCCCCCTCTCTTGGCCTTTAAAAAGTCAAATATTAGATTACGAAGTTCTCCACTCCGCGTTGTTGTTTATTAAATTGAATGAAACCACGCGGCTTTATTGTCACTGACCTCGCTCGTGTGTATTCACCTTTTAATTCAGTGTTGTTTGCCGAATAAAACAACCGTTACCTCGCGCGTGAAGTAGCAATGCTTTGTTTAAATGTATATCACCAAAACGAACGTCAATTTCTCGTGCGCGTGTAGCCTGGAAAAATCAACTCTCTCGTCCCCATTCGCACGCGACTCCAATTAAACTGTCCTCTATTTGCCGCAGAGAAAAGGACAAGAAGACGGGCAGAGAAAAGCGCCGTGCGGCAACCTACATATTGTTTGTGCGCGCGAGGTGAGAGAGTTAGGATCTTCCAAAATAATCGACCGGAGCGCTGTACGGCAGCGGCGGCGCCAGGGGCGCACATCGAGCAGCAGCCAAGCAAAAGTCAGTGTCGCGAAGTAAATCGAAGTGGACGTTCGCTGCGTCCTCCATCGACGACGTTTATCAACAGTGTTGTCGTCCGCCGTGCTAAAAGTTTCGTCTGTCGACTCGATGACGAGGAAGCAAGCAAGCAAGCCATCGTCGTCGCGTGGTCTTCTTCGTTGATTGTGATATGTGATTGAGAAAGAGAGTGCGAGTGTTTGGCTGCGTGAGGGCAGCGCCGCAAAATGTCTACGAGGTCGCAGCTAACCAAGGATTTGAACGGTAAGTCTTCCCTTACTGGCTTTACTACTGTTATCTTCGCCCCGTGTCTGGATAATCGCGAGGATTGAGGAATAAAAATTTCACGGCTTTTCGGAAAGACAGAGAAATATGGACTTGCCTGAAGGGGGTTTTTGCTCGTATAGGCTGGATTTTTTTTCGGGTTGACTGCCCCGCCCCCAACGAAAACGGTTGTTTCTATCGCCGTCTCTCTTGCTTTTATTGCCGGTATTGACGTGCCGTCTTCCTCTCGCTCACGCTTGCACGCTAACACTTATTAATCTTTTATAACGTTCGGCTGCTTCAGTATGTACCTTTCTTCCCATACTTACAATGATACTGCTTGGTCTACTTTTATTTTCTCCTTCTCGTAAGACCTTAGGAATGATACGACGGCGTATGATGCAGACACAAACGAATAAACCTACTTGCGTCGTTGAATAAAATAAAAGAAAACAAAGATAGATCGATGAATCATTTCTCAGTCATTTACTTTTAAAATGCCATCAAGAAGATACTAATGGTAAAAGTGGCACACTTTTGTATGTGCACGTACGTACGTACGTACGTTGAAAATCACTGAATCATGCCTTGCAGTTTGTACAGTCTTTAATCTGATATATAACTATCATTGCCAAGAGAGCTCTTTACCAGTCAATCATTTAATTGTCTGAATTTTTCAATTGTTTCACAATTTACCAGCTATTGTGTAACAAATCTTGTTATATTCTGTGTTCTTAAACTTTCTCAAGGTTAATCACTATAATACACATAGTGTTTTTTGTCAATTTGCTACGTTTTATTGATTAATAATTTAAATAAAAAAATATTTCAATAGTAAGAATCATATAAAAATAACAAATACTGCTTTGTTATAAAATTGAAAACAAAACTTGAGAAGAACAGTAAACAAGTCATGAGTCATACCATGTACTATATTTTTTATGGAAATTTTATTTTGTTGTATTTTCATAATAATACATTGTGTTTCTTATATCATATGACATTAGAAAAATCAAGTACTCAGATATTCTTACTTAATAAAACTTGATCAGTGATTCAGAATATTATTAATCTTGCCTATTTGCTATTTTCTTCTTGAAATCACTAATAATTGCCATGCAATGCTTAAGCAATAGTGAAACATGAGTAGCTTAATAATGACATGTTGATTATACTTCCTTATAATGTCAGGCCTGTACAAAATATATAAAAAGCTTGATAATAGCCTTGTATTAAATTATATTTTGCAACGATGAGAACAAGTATTGGCTCGTTTTAGTTGAAGGTTTTTTTCAACAAATATAACAAACCTAATGTTATTCGAAAGATATTTATTCAGATGGAATCTTTTTTTTTTACAGAGTCAGTAAAGGCATTACTTGGCAAGCATGTTAAAATATTGTTGAAAAATGTTGTGAAGCTAGAAACTAAACCAGATAAACTTGAAAATCGCGTATTGGTGAGTTGAAGAATCATTAAATTCCACAATTTTTCTTATTAATGAAAATTATTTTGTTAATAGGTATTTTCACCATGTCGACTATTTATTTTAACAGCAAAGGTGCCTACAAGGGTATGTTTACTATTATAAATAAATTATTATCATATACAATAAATTTTGAAGTATATTGTATTTTTTTAGATCGATTGCCACTTCCACTATTTGGAGGTAACAGCAGTAGAATCCAAAAGAGCCAATCAATTATCTTTGACAGTTGGGGAAAAGGTCTACAATTTTGTGACTATGGGTTTAGGAAGTGTCGATACTACAGAAGTAGATGCTATGATAGAAGCTCTTCATACTGCTATTCGAAACATATTTCCAACAGTACCTTTAAAGTATATTGCAATTCCTTAAAATTTTCTTTCTTACCGTGTTCAGTGAAATTGATTAATTTGGCAATTTTTTATTACAGCTATGTAATCAGAAAAATAGATGTGATACCAGCCAGCAGATTGCAAAGCATCAGAGGTAGCGATTTAGCAAGAAGCACTGAGGCAACAAGGCATACTGGCCCATGTGGGGGCTTCTCTACTCAATATGCCTGCATGTGTGATTTACACAATGTACCTTACAGAGAAGAAGTTGCTTGGGATGTTGATACAATATATTTATCACATGATACAAGAGAATTAGATCTTAGAGATTTTGATCATCTTGATCAGAAAGACTTGATACCTATTATATCAGCTTTAGAATATAATACGTGGTTTACAAAAGTGCGTGTTTCTCACCTCAAGCTTAGTCATGAACCACTGGAAAGATTACTGCATATATTGAAGAGATCATTATCTATTCAAGAAATATACTTGGATAATATTGGAGCAAAATGGTAAGTTTTATATATTTTGCCTTTACAGTACGTAATTTTTACATGTACGCCGATTCTTATTCGATTTTTTAGGGACTTTGCACACAAATTATCATTAGCTTTAATTACCAATACAAATGCTGTATTGCATACTATAGATTTGTCAAGCAACACAATCGAAGATAAAGGAGCAACAAGTCTATGTGGTGCGATTGCAAAATTAACTCAAGGTACGTAAGTTTCATGTAAACGTCATTGTGTGTGCTTTCGTTACACCATTATTTTGTCACTCCAATAATCACTATAATATGTAGTTGTTGCACGTTGCACGTCATTAGTAAAACCGTTTTTAGATCGCTCGAATTGTAACCCATCATCCTTTTCGCGGATGCACCAATATTTTTCACCTCTAGGAGCGGCGCACACAACTGGACCGCTCGGCAAATTGCCCAAAGGATTGCAAAAATTAAATTTAGCAAGATGTGGTTTGACTGGCAAAGGAGTTGGTCAAATTGCTCATGCTTTGAGCTTAAATCGCAGTATGCCTATGAGCTTACAGTATTTGAACCTTGCAGAGAATTGTTTGAAAGATGATATTAACGTGAGTTATTATCTACTCGACAATGTATTCTCTACCTTATTATCCTGCTTTTCTCACTTTTATTTAATGTTTTTAGACTTTATGCAGCTTTTTAGCTCAGCCTAATGGGATAACCCACTTGGATCTCAGCGGTACTGATACAACATTAGAATGTGTAAGCTCAAACAAATCTCTAACAAAGTTCTCTTTGGTAATATTAAGGTGTGTTCTATAATCTGATCTTTATAGTTATTCGGTGCTCTGTTGAGGGGTTGTGCAACGAATCTAGTCCACTTAAATGTCGCCCGAAACTCATTCTCGAGTAAAAAAACCAAAGAAATACCACCGAGCTTCAAGCAATTTTTCACGGCAACGCTGTCGCTCAAGTACTTAAATATCTCGTTCTGCAAATTACCCCTTGAGGCGCTTAAACATCTACTCCTTGGGTTAGCTTGTAACGAAAGTACAGTTGGTCTAGAACTCGACATGAGCGGGAATAATCTCAGCTCAATGGGCGCTCACGTACTTGAATCGTGTATTCATGGCGTGAGGTGCATAGCTTCGTTAGATATCTCAGATAGCAGTGAGTGTCGTTAAAAAAAGATGGTTACTACATTTATTGAGTAGATACTGAAAATATTTATTTTTTAGATATGGACGTGGATTTGGCTCAAGTAATTACTGCCATAAGCAAGAACAAGTCCATCAAAAAACTGTATATGGGTCGCAACACACTTGGCATGAAAAGTAAACACATTGCTGTTGTAATGGATTCATTAGTACAGATGCTTCAAGAAGAAGATTGCGTGCTTCAAGAATTACATTTACCTGACTCACGATTGAAGGGTGATTTGTATAATCTTATCAACGCTATTGGTAGTAATACTTGTTTACGAGTGTTGGATATTAGTGGCAATCAAATTGGTGATCCTGGTGCTAGACTTCTTGCTAAAGCATTACAAATTAACAATCATTTGAAAACTATTATTTATGATAGAAATAACATCAATATGCAGGGTTACGCCGATATTGCCCATGCTTTAGAGAGGTAATAACACATACATCTTTTTTTATAAGTTTGTAATATTTTACTCAAGTCAACTATTTCTATTTTTCAGAAATTATAGTGTCAGACATATGCCAACGCCAATTTACGATCTGCAGCCTTGTATGAAAGCTTCCGCGGAGAAGACCGAGCAGTTGACAAGAAAGATACAAGACTTTCTTCAGCGAAACGTTGCTCCCTGCAGAAACAGTCACGGCCAAGCTTTCCGTTTACAACAAGGTTTCTTATTAAGTTCTACTCAGCATATGGTTGATCGATTGGTCGTTCAAACGCAAGATACGATTAAAGCTCTAGCAGCTGAGACTTGTAATGCCAATGAAGATATTAATTACGCGACAGGGCTGATTCAAGATGCTGACAATTCAAAACAACTTTTGCCAAGGTTGCATGAGGTGCTGCAAAGGCGAGACGAAAACAATCCTATAGAGGCGAAGCTCATTGAGACGGCTTGTCAAGTGCATAGAGTTGTATCTAGCTATTTGCAGGTGAACGTTTATAGTATTTTTTATCAAAATCAATAATAATAATCATAATAATAACAATAACAATGATAATCATAATAATAAGGACAATAAATTGAGTAAAACATAATAAAGCATAACACAATAAAGCTAAATATAGTTTTTATATAAAAAAAATTACGTAAACTCATCAAAATTAATTCGTTCTATTCGAATAGCTTTATTAGAGTTGACGCGGATAACGGTGGCACTAGAAACTTCAATGAAATAAGATAACTTACTAATCCGTATATGCGTTTTTTCAAATGATTTTCAAGCCTGCGACATATGTTATCGACAAAATATGTTGAATAAAATAGTTTTACTATCAGTATATATTGTGAACATTTCTATTTTTATTAAAGGATTCTTTGGAAGCAATGCTTAAATGCGCCAACGAGCAGTGTCCTGCAATTCTGGAGCAAACTGTTGTCAATAGAGATGATGATTACGATGAGAACGAATCAATCACTCTAGAAGAGCATTTGATGAAATCTTGTAAAGAGAAAAATAAGATATCTTTGGAGTTTATTCAAAACACCATAACCGAACAAGCTGGGGCAGATATAGTCAATAAAGTGAAGTGAGTAATTATATCAAAGTTGTATTGAACTTTAATATAAATGAGACTTAGAATAAAATTAGAAACCAAATATTATTAAAAATTGTTTTTTCTGAACTGACAATTCAAATTCTTTTTAATATTTTTGTAAGGTATAACAATCTATCAAGTATAATAAAATTCATTAAATAGTTTACAAATTACATTTAATATTAGTAACTTATAATTGTTAGGTTTTATTATTTTATTTACTATTAGTGGATTATCTAATATTATTTTATTTTCAATTTATGACAAATAAAATTGAAATCTAAATCAAACAACTCTTAAAAAAACTAGTTAGCTATGCAAATGTTAAACAACATGATCAACGGTCAACACTAGTTACCAAACAATTGTTATCGCCCAAGATAAAATTAGCAATAAATCATTTAAACCGTAACCATTTCTTTGCAGCGAACTGAATCTCTCTGTCGCGGCCCACATCTCCGATCGTATAACCGACCAAGTGATTGAGTCACTATCGACAAGCTACAAAACGTTAATCGGAGAGTGTGAGATTCGCACGCGGAGCAGTACACCAGATGTTTTACGGCCTAGCGCTGGTTCGACGAGCAGCGGTGGCGGGAGCGTAATCGGCGTGGGAACTGGTGGCATAAGTTTGAGCATGTCCGCTGGAACACCAGTTGTTGAGAGAACGAGCCTCGTCACGGACGAGGAGGACGATCAACAAAATAGTGAACGTGCTGATACTTCTACCGAAAAGGATAATCATGTGTTTCTGGGTAAAGCCATGGGACGACTTTCTGCTGAGGATAATTCACCGATGGTGAGCTTACATTTCCGTACGTTAGGATGGTTGAGGTTCGGATAAGTGTGACTGGATTGGGCGTGCACCATCGTTTATAGTTTTTTTAACTATTTTAATGTCAAGAATATTATGTAACACGTGCCTTTATAGCTTATTGCCATTCATAATTACATATATTTATTGTTCACTTTCATTGCGGCAAATTCCAGCTGTGCATCATTCTATACAATAACATATCCATTGCAAAAGTTTTTCGGTTCAAAAACCCGATTACACGTACGTTTTACACTTTCATCGTCTAAAATGCACTTATTACAGTTATAGTTTTATAGACTTTTATTTAAATGGCAAAGTGTGCGAGAATTTCCGCATCTATTTTAACTTCACTTTGAAAAAAGAGCTGATTCTTTTATTATAGTATTAATTTTTTGACTAATTTCGTATTATCGCGCAAAACAAAATCCCTAATAGTAAATGTACGACAAGGTGTGGATCAGGTAATTTGTTCATACTGAGATTATGTCGATTTCTCCCAATGGAAAAGACGGAACTCGAGCGTGAAAATTAGAAAATGCATAGGTATATAATCGGCATTACTCAAAGATGCAACCTTACTTTTACTTGTTTCAATCTGACGCTTAAAAGTAAACTTTCATTTACTGACTATTGGGACAGTCATAATAATAATCCTAACTTATATAAAAACGTAATCAATCAATTTACCAATAAAATGGTGTACATACATCTCGGTATTATCATTTCATTTGGGTTATGGTACTAACATTAGTTAATAAAGATTTTGCTTTTTTTCACCGCATGATATGCAGCTGGATTACTTGAATCTTGTAAGTATTAACTCTGAAAAGCAAACAAAGCGCTATAATTCTACAAAAACGACTAAAATTTCTTTGAAATTCTTAGGCAACACCACACCTGTCAAATAAAAGAAAGAGTTTACACGGAAGAAAATTACGGCCTAAATCTGTAGTAGATTCTGTTGAGGGTCTATCGGCGGATGACATTCCAGACCTTTTGCCGTCGTCTTCTTCATTGCCTAAGAATCAACAAAGCCAAGAAGGTAGATAAAAAATAATTTGTTATCTAATAATTCACAAGATAGTCGATTCACCAAGTAAAAATTGATTCATTGAAAAGGAGCATCCGAGAACGAACACTCATTAACAGAGTCACTTGATTCGCTCTCAGAGTTGCCATCGAACACAGCAGGTCAACAATTGCAACACTTGGTGAAAACAAGACCAAAAAGAACAAAAACCCGTGCTCCGTCAAGACCGATGTTGCGACCTGATCAACCTCAGTCAATCGATGGCATTGCTCTTGAAGAAGGCCTTGATGTGTTCTTCAGGCCCACGACACCTACTACACCCATTATTGGTTCGCCAACAAGCGATGACAGGTCAGTCACTCTTTGCCAAGCGGTATATATATTTTTCAAATGACTACAATGTTTATATTTTAATGTTTTAGTTCACTTACGTTTCCAACAACCGCGACCGCGAGTCAAGACGGTGGCAGCCCGAGTCCCTCTGTAACTAGTCAAAAGAGCGATGCAGTTAAGAAAAGTGCACCAAATGCACCGATGCTCAAAACCTTGCATACAGAACAACAGTCACCGCGGTCACGTTCCAGTGACGATGTGGCTAAGTTCTCACCCCTTGTTGGTCGCCGATCACACGGAGACTCACCTCTTACGGCCTCGCCGTTGGCTCGACGTAATACTGATAAAAATGATGGATCTAGCGATGAACAAAGTGGTCAGCCAATATTAAATACTTCAATGCTTGTTTCATAAGAATGCTTCAAATTAATATAGTTCGTTCTTTTGAAGGCCATACCGCAACGCCAGACAGTGAGGCGAACAAAGAACAACAAAAAAATGAACCAATCGAAAATGGAGGCAAGAGTGTCATGTCATCCGTTCGAAAATTTACTGCAGCTAGTCCAACAAACGGTGGCATGGCGAAAAATTATATCCTTGAAACGGCAAAATCTCCAGTACTACGTTCTTTGGCAACTAAAAATAATCAACAATCTGGTGATCGGCGTTCGCCACCTACAACTGCTCCAAAACCAAGACCATGGAGTATGGCAACAGATAGAAAGTCTGGTGAGTAAATTTTTATCTCTAAAAGTAGAAGAATGAATTTTAAGTGAAAATTGACGTAGGTTTTCTTACAGGTGAATTTAATCAACTACTGAGCGATGGTTCAAGTCCCAATACATCAGCAGGAAATACACCAGACTCAGGTGACGCACTAGACGAGTCAACGGATAGTGGCGTTTGTGGGCCAGCATCATTGCCACCAAGTCTTACAGCAAGTTGCATCGTGGGCAGTTCACTGAGTAACAGTGGTATTGAAAAGCGCTCTGTTCGTGAATTAGCGGCGAGTCTTTCAAAGAGTAGCAATGCATCATTGAATCCACCGAAGGCAGACAAGAAGGAAAACGGTAAAATACGAAGGAGCATAAGAAGCGTATTTTACAATAACACTTGACATGTGCAATTGGGTGTAGCACGACAACAATCGCTTGTAACACGACATCACCAGTAAATCACTTGCTGTTAAAATCCATTAGATTTAGTACATCTGATATGGTTGTTGCACGAAATCTTTCGCAAACCTTTTTTCGCATAAATGAATTATTTATTAAATGCCAAAGAAATTTTTAGATCTGAAAATGGAGGCCTACATGGAAAATCAAAGTCCAGATAAAAAATTGAACTAATGTAAAATTGTAATATTCGTAATTTAGACGTATCGTGCAAAAACTATATATCATTACACTCGGTATTGTTTAATTTTTTTTCTTTGATTTTGCGCTCATCACCATGTAACCATCCATCGAAAAGCTGTATGCACGATCATTACTGAATTTTGTTTAGCGTTGCTTTGTGTATATTTATTTTAGAGTATTCTGCAGCATGGAGATCTGTTCTACGACGTTATATTGATCCCCCACCACCGATACCGCCACCCACACTTAAGGTACTTTTTTGTTGAGATTATTTTTATTTACTAGGAAATTTTTACGACCTTGTATGTGCCTTATTTTTGCATTATGATTTGCAATCAATAGCAGCTTCTATCTTACAATGATATATCGGCTCTGAATGTTGTTATGAAATATTTACACGCTTATTTTACAAAATTAATGTATCAAATAGCAACTAACATGAAACACGCATTGTCAAAGATATCGAAATGATTCTACTATATTTTATTCGATTTAAGTCAGGTACAAATAAATTATTCAAATCCTCATTGTATATTTTTAAAGCACGATTTGCACAAATTAGCTGATCTTCACGAGTTTTTTAATTGTATGTTCTCAGGCACAGGAAGCACAGAAAGAGACTGAGCCTAATCGTCGACTGGCTTTCAAACTTCGACGAACCTCTTTTCTTCTCGATTCGAATTTCAATTATGATAACGACACAGTTGATGTATAGAGAAAAAGAAAGAAAAGCAACATTCCAATAAATGATGCAATCGTAACGATTTGCTCAAAATTTGATGCACTAGGCTGTCGCGATATATTGTTTATTATGTATTAACAAAAAGATGGACAATGTCGATATTTTAAAGATTTATATTTTCGAATTTTAAATGATCATTCAAACGATATTTTTTCAGGTAAATTAAGTGTATGTTCTACTATATAAACAAATTTTACATTCCAATATCGTTCTGCCATTTAAAGAAAATTATCTCAAGGTTATTAACGATGAGTCAGTAACTGACGTTGACCTTTACAAATAGCGTAAGACAATTGATGAGAAAAAAAACTGATATTGAAGTTACTTCTCTCGTGTAAACTGCCCAATTTAAAAAGATTTTTTGTAAAATTAAGACGTAACTGCATCGTTACCGAAAGTACTATACAATAATAACATACGAACATACAAGATTTCTTTCTTTTTCTCTTCTCTAGAATACTTCTATTTGATGAAAAAAGAAAACGAATTGACATTTTTCCATAACGAAAACGACATGCATTGACATTTTGTACTTGCATCGATTGTATTCTCTAAATCACAGAAACATTAAGTATGTAAATGTAAAGGGCCGACATTTTTAAGTGCCTGCTGTTTAATTCCGATGAACAACCGACTAATTTTAAATTATATCTCAGAATTCAAAGAATATTTATCAAGGGCAGGGTACTTAAAGAACCCTCTATTATTTATGCACTACCTCATCATCTTCCATTACTCTCGCTCGCTTAATTTTCCTTTTCGTATCATCTTTCAAACTGCATATCTTTTTTAATGAATCGATACACAAAAAATGGAATTTTTCAATTTTAGATGGTTTTTACCTATCAAAAATCTCGAAAAAATTTATACAATTTACACATTTTTGAAAATTTTCAATTAATGACTGAATTAGTATAGTTTTTTGCAATAATCAGATCGTTGACAAGATTTGTTACAAAAAGCCGTCTCAATTTTTTGTAATTAAGAATTTACACGACACGTAAAAGACTTAGTAAACTTAAATTATTATTAAAAAAGATTGTAGTTTTGAATCTATATAATTACTACCTGTGATTTTTTACTTTGTCATTTATGCCAAAATTAGCCAACAATTTTTTACACTGCTATAATTAATCAAGAGCGCGAGTATCGAAGAATCAATTATTAATTAACTTTACTCAGAGATATAGCTCTATTTTGTTTTACTAGTTTCGTAGATAATACTAGTGAAACCTACAATCACGATACATATATTAATGATTCCAGCTCGGTGCTCTGTTACTAGAGTGCTCCACTTTATTAATTCCTCTTTTTTAATAGTATGTAAGGCTTATTTCGATGATTTTTACTTTTTGTTTTTTTTGTCGTGCAAGCAAGTGCGAAAAAATCACTGATGTTGTTTTTTATGTTTTAGTTGCGTCCATTCACGTTTCTTTTTCGTGTGCGTATTTGCGCACTTAATGTACATAGGTGTGTGTATAAGCGAATTAGTTAAGATACACGAAGAGGAGAAGGTTTTACGATTATATATCTTGTAATTCTACGAGCGCCTAGTTATTATTATATACATAAAAAGGTAGATTCGAATCGAGCCGTGAAATTTTGCTCTGAGTTGATTGATGTCGTTGACCATATGTTGACTGAAATATTCATTGCTAAAGATGATTTATTTACATATATATATATACAACTGAAGCAATTTGAAGTCATTATAACAACGTATCATTTTTATACTATCAATTTTTTATACTACTATTGTATTTTGATTTAGGCTATATGTATGCGGATATTGTAGTTGATGACATCTTTTTCTCAGTGCAAACCTTAAACTGACAAACAATTTTACGGTAAGAATTTGATTAATTAACTTAAAAAAACTCACTTTAAAAATTAGACATTTTCGAATTGCATTGCTCATCCATAAAATAACATAGGCCGCAAGAATCTTATTTGTGATTTTTAATATTTTTAATATGTGGATTTAGTTACAACATTTCTAAGGTCACAAAAATTTTAATAACCAATTTGTTTTAAACTTAGCATGTAATTGAATATATATTACGTTGAGCAATCTATAACATTTTATACTTTTCTTTTATGATCAAAAATTCATTAAAATCCGAAATATTGAAAATCACTGCAACGTATCATACAATATTCATCATTAAGCCAGTAAAGTTTAACTCTTCAAGCAAACAGTTAAAATATCATAAAAATAAAATCGAATCGAATCTCAAAACTGCGTGTGCCAAATTAAAGTGAGTATAACTGAGCTGAGATTTAAACACGCGAGAAATATTGATAAGAATCCTGATTATTAAGAAGGAATTGTTTGATCAAAATTTTCTATTCAATAAAACAATTTTCGTATCTTTTTTATACTTAAAAGTATTGTTTTGAAAAGAATTCTATTTTGTACATACAGTAATTGACTTTTTGCAATATATATGAAATGTGTTTTTTATGTAAAATTTAGGCACTGATTTTTGTGTGATCATCACCAAAACGTAATTGAGTGTATCGCTTTTTTTCTCACACGATAAATCAAGTGAAACATTTTGAGTCGGAAGACAGACGGAAGAAGTGCATGGCTTATTACAAAAGTCACACGACAAGTGTATGTGTGTGCGGCCGAAAAGTGTATGTGCATGTATATAATTTTATTTGTAACGGTTGACTGAGCGCTCATGGATGTAGATCTTAGGAGCATTTTTTTGCGAATAGATATAATATTAAATTAGCTTACGCACATACAAGTGCTAAGTTCAATGATTGTTTTCTCATTTTTTTTTTAATATTACGTATTATAATAGTATACATTCCTTATGTATTTTGCCATGAGCTGCAATCATCGATTTAATAATCACTGTCTTGTCACGATTTAGCGTTATACATACAATTATAAACGATAGTAATTAATATTGTTATTACCTATTATTGCTGTATTATTTTTTATTACATTATTATCATTAATATTATGATAATTTTTTAATGAAAAAATATTAAAGTTGTACACGACGGGTGAGATGTGTGAAAAGGTGGAATTGTATTTAGCAAGGGAAACGAGATGTATTTATGAGTATATCTTTGACGAACAATAAAAGTACGAGATCGATTTAATAAGGAAACAATGTTACTTCATTATTTTTCTTTTTCCATTATTAATAAACTCATTACATTTCCAGTCGTTGAAAAATCTCGAGAACATTGAAAGTTATTTTCTAGAGTCTATCCTCCGTGCGTATAAAAAGTTACTATAGACGTATTGTAAAAGTTATGATAGGTATATCATATTGATCAAATAAAACGTCAATAATTACAATGCTATAAACTTATGTGCTGTAAATCTCGCTCTACTAAAATTCATAATAGGAATATTTAGTATGTAATGATTCGAATAAGTTCAGTTTATAAATTATATATTTATAACTTTCTCGAGTTTAAATAGTTTTTTACTGCTTGCCGACACTCCAGAAAATTTTGAAAAGTTGACAATTAAAAAAATACCAGAATAGAAAAAGCAACTAAAATCTATGGAGTAGTAAAGCTTGAACGTTTTATTTTTCAAACCAGGCCACGGTCTTCGTGAAGCTCGGGTCGGAGTAGGAGTAGGAGTTGGAAGTCGACGACATGAACGGGCTACTTGATATGCGTGTGTAAGTCGCTGGAGAGCGTTACGAGTTACAAGAGAGATAGTAAGATGAGTTCGGTGATCGTGAGGTAGCGAGAGGTGTGATTTTTTAATTTGATAATTGAGTTTTTGAATTAAACTGTGAACAAGAATGTCACGTACCAAGCCCAATGAGAAAAACGGTAATGGTGCCAAAAGCAGCGAGTCCAGTGTTTGGATACGGGCATTTACTGCCAACTCGGAGTGGCCGGACAAGGTAAACATAACCTATGCATTAAAATTATATTTTCACAAGTACACGTATCATTCATGACATTTGATTAGCTTATTCACAATTATTAAGGCTTAAAATCAAATGTTCTCTTATGAGGCTTTGATTGATATTTTGAAAGAATGATCTTTTAATACATCATTCATTTAGAAAAGTGGTTTGGAGTATCAGCTGTTAGCTGTATTTTACGTAAAACTCATCAAATATTGATTGATTCATTTCGAGTAATGACTCAAGCCTATTTGAATCGACATAAATATACTTATTATATTATTTATTGTTAGAACGTTAATTTTGTATAATTGCATTTTTTTTAAATAATCTAAACCAAAACTATTGTCATTTGATAATTTACATTAAGATCACTGTTTCCTATTTGAATAATTATGATTGTTTGATTTTTATAAACTAGGAAGAGTTTTTGGATGTAATTTATTGGTCCAGACAAATCATTGGAATTCTTATGGGAATACTATGGGGTCTTATCCCCTTGAAAGGATTTCTAGGTTTGTTATTGTGAGTTGACTAAGCAATTTTTCCTATGAAATTAAAAACAAGAGCACTATTTTTAAAACTTTAAATTATGCTTTTAGATTTGTTGTAGTAAATGGAGGAAGTTTATATTTGTACTTCAGTAGTTTTCAACAAGTAGATGAAGAAGAATTTGGTGGGGCATGGGAGTTGACCAAAGAGGGATTTATGACTTCATTTGCTGGCTTTTTAGTAAGTAAATAAAATCAATTTTTAATTGTTTTGCAGTAATTTTAAAATCAAATAAATATACTGATATCTGGTAATTTTATTTATTGCAGGTAACATGGATTATAATATACTCTGGTTTGCATTTTGACTGATGAATCTTTCTTCCAAACTTAAGCTTAATGAAAAGTGTCAAAAGGTGAACAAACAATTAAGCAATGAATATGTAATAAAATTCCTTTATAAAGTCGTTTACAAGCATCGTTTTCACACAAGCCATTACATAAATTAAGTCAAAGTATGTACAAATATACATCTATCCACTGAGCACATATAGAATGTGAACAGTTAGGTAAAAGCAATCTGACTTCATTGTTCACTTGTTACCCAACCATTGTACGTTTACGTCCGCGCGCTTTGACGTCTTCATACTTAATTATGATTTCTTTCAATCTAGAATTATTTTTGAAAAACTTTTGGTAACTTTTGTAAATGAGATTGAATAATTCGGGTAGTTGTGCGTGCGCACTGGTTAAGGATCTTTCTAAAACGTATAAATCAACAGCAGCATCCTCAGCTGTTGCATCAACTTTGGCTAAACCAAAATCAATAACTATTAGTTTATCTACAACTGAATAAACATTTAAAGTATAAAGTATATTTAGATCATACAATAGCATTTATATATAAATGTAAAAATCTTACAATCAGCACCAGATTTAATATTCACTTTATCCTCTGGATTCTTGAAAAGGATATTGGACGTCGTTAAATCTCCGTGAACTATATTTTTAGTATGGAGTTTGGTAATGGTTTGACCGAGTGCACTTGTAATACTGTCTATCAAATTATTAACGTCGGTCTTTCCTGTCACGTATTGATCAATGAAAGTTTTTAGCGTCACAGCATTTTCAATAAACTGCATAAAAATACTGCGACGGTTATAGTCGACAAGATACAAAGCCGGCGTTCCAACTCCTACAAAATAAAAAGAACTTCAATTCAACTCAAATAAATAATTTTCGTTAAATGTATTACCTGCTGATTTAGCACGAACAATAGCACGTGCTTCAGCTTTTATTCTTTCCTTCGTCAATCGCGCATCCAAATCTGAATGTCTGTATTTTTTCTCGAATCTCTCTTTTATCAGCGTTAATTTGCCAAGATAAACTCCTTTGTACAGACGAGCTTCAGCTCCTTGCGCAATCAATTCTGATTCTGGTAGTTTATAAACCATGATCTCTGTTTATTGATTCCATGTTAATTGTATTTTTTTGTAAGTATATTTTATGAAAAAAATATTTTCATGTTACATTGTGTTATATTCTATTATATTTCATTTGAAACTTTGTAACTCTTTATGTACATAAAACATGTAAGAAACGGACTTGGTCTAATACTCGATTTTTCTAGAGTTACAGGCTTTTTTCGTCGAAACATTCAAATTACACGCTTGTAATTTAAATTAATCGTAATACAATCAAAGCGAAAGATCAAATTTTTTTGATAGAATAAAAATTTGTTGAAAAAAGATGAACTCTTCAAAAGTGAAGCAACAACAAATTTTTATTAAATAGTAAATTAATTAAAAAAAAAGTATTTTATTGAATATGACAATGACAAATTTGAAATTTGAAATAACTTTTGAACTTTTTATTTTTTATGAACAACATTGTCTTTCTGGCAAAAGGATTTGATCTAAGCTTTCATTCGATAATATTATGAAAACTATACAAACTATCTACATTACAAAAACACCTTGTTGAATTGAATGTTTCAACAAAAATAGCCTATAACTCTGAAAAAGCCAAATATTAGACCAGGCTGCGGCTTCTTGTGCGTTTTTATGAACAACAATATTCCTTAAAGTTTCAAACAAATCGATGACTTAAGCATATGATACTTTCTTTGTAAGGAATCCTTTCATTTAAACATTTGAAAAAATAGTTCTACTAAAAATATATAATTTATTTTGTGTTTAAAAAATTTATAATGCATTATATTTAAAACAAATTAAAGTTTTCTGATACAGCTCATAAAAAAGATAAATCGTTAATCAAATAACATTTTGCAATTAAGTAAGTGGAAAGCAAAATATCAATTAGAAACAATGTAAGCGAATACGGTAGCTGTTCGCAGCGCTAAAAGCTCATCATGCTATCTCGTGCGAGAGAGAGAGAGAGAGAGAGAGAGCGGAGCGAATCGATCGCCAACACATGCACCATTCGCTTGCTTACCCGCTCGCCACAGGCTGTTTCCGGGAACGCGCAAGTGAAAAAGCGAGAGAAAGTATATAGGCTGTATCTATATACGTGCAGGAATCATACAGCGTCTTGCACGCAATCTTGAGCTCGTTTTAAGCCACTTGCCTCGTAGTTTTTGTCATTTTATAGTGAAATAATTGAAGATTTTGCTATTGAAAATTTACTGATAGTTGGGAGATGATTCTATGACATGAGAGTGGAGTGCGTAAGAGGTTAAACAATTAATAAACACTGAGTGGTTTAGTGGGCAAACGGGTTTCCAGTTTTTTTTTTTACTGGTCTCTAACGTATTGTTGAAATGAAAAAAACTCACAAGACGAATATTAGTGTGCCATAAAGATTTGGATAATTGTATATTCAAAGAAAGATGAAATCTTAATAATTTCTACACACTTTTTTCAACAAAGCATTCATTATTACCGATAACGTTAAACTTTTTGTGGATATGAGGGACGAAATAATCATGGATACAAACAAATTTATAACTGAAATTCATAAGAGGCCAGCTCTTTGGAATCAACGGCATGTTTCTTATCATAATCGTGAACTAACAAAACGAATTTGGATGGAAATTGCTGCAATGTTCAACTTACCGAGTCAGTATTCTGAATATTTGTCTATTTATAAGAAAACAAGATTCGATCGATCAGATCAGGAGATTTGGCGAATCCATTGTTTCAATTGTTTACACACTTGATGCATTAATGGCAACAAAAGATTGGTTATAACTTGTACGTTTAGAAACAAATACAACTTACTGATATAATTTTGGTTTTTTCCAATTTGCCTACGTCTTTTATTAAAACTCTTTTTATTACTTCAAGAATTAGTTATTTATCAAAAAAAACTTTAAGGTAAATCAATTGCATGTGCTCTTATGACTGCGCGTTTGTGGATGATGCGATGGGAAACTTAACCTAACCTAATCTGAAAATGTTCTTTGTTATCAATCTGATAGGTATATGTATATATACACACACTAGCATCTGATGTCGATATTTCATTTTTTATTTTGATCAGTTAAAAGTTATACAAATTATACAAATTGTAATTTGTGTTCTTGAATTTAATAAAAATGTAGTCGTAAATAGATAAAAAATACATTGACTACGAAATAAAATCATTTTCTAACAAGTGACAAACTACTTTCTTTGGTTAGAGCCTATTTTAAAAGCCAAGTGGAAAGGATTGAGGGATACGTATCGCGCAGAGCTTAAAAAAGAACAGGTTTATCTCAGAAGCCACTGCGAGAGGAATCGTCCGATTTGGATTCATTATGAAAGCCTATCATTTTTAAAAGAACAAATGTTACCAAAACCTCCAGTGTGGGAACGCTCATATCACACCAGAGATGAATGTGATGGAACATGCAGACTATATTCAAATCATACAAATGGCAATGGATGTAATGGTAATCATGACTCTTTATCAGAACATTTTCTCAACTCTTCCATCAATCGGTAAGTTTTATTTTTATGTCAGTTGCTAATTTAAATAGAATATGCAATAACTCATTAATAAAATAATTTTAATTTCAGAATACCATCTGATCCAGATGTTGATATCAAAGATGAGCCACATGACTCAGAATATCAAGATGCATCATCTTTGAATGACGATGGGGAGGCCATGTTACAAAATCTCTCCCCAGCACAAGTTCTTATGAATTTAGACAGGAATGGAAGGGATGATTCTCAAGGAGTCAATGGAATTGACACTGCTTCAAATGTTGGTATCAATAATGACATAGTTGACAGAAACAATGATGATAATTACTTTTTTCTAATGAGTCTGTTGCCTCATATAAAAAAGTTACCTGCTGATAGAAATATGTATCTTCGAATGAAAATTCAAGAACTTGGTAAACAAAATTTATTTTGAAAGCTTTTTGTTATTTGTTATTTTATATAAAAATTAACTTCTGTTTCTCAAACAGTATATAATGAGGTAAAAAATAATCAACCAAATGGAGAGTGATCATCACTATGATCAACTTGAGTTTGTGGTACAGACAGTGTGAAACTCTTATGTGAACAATAATTGAAATGCAGCAAGACTGAAAATTGCAGAAATGTTCTGCAACTGTGTGTTTTTTACTAGCTGTATTTATGAATATTACAAACTATCTCTAAAAATGTCATTTAATCTATACTCAGATTCAATTAATCAAGAAATAAAAGTTCCTCAATTAATAAATTAGTGATTTTACAGACTAAGTGAGAATATAGCAATAACACAATCATTTGTAAAGACTACAAGTAATTGTGTTTTCAATTACCAGCTCAAATTTGGTTTTTAGTATTATCAAGAAAAGAAAATAATTTATACTATCAATGAAATAACACAAGTATAAATAATTGAAAAGAGAAATATTGTTGGACAAAGTGAAAGATTGTTTACAAATTAAAACTATAATAATATTAGGAATAGATTCGATTATATCTATAACAAAACGTAAATGATATGTAAAAATTATAAAAACGCCACATGACAACTATAATCATAACAGCATAGCATTTAAACCAACGATCAGAATTAAACAAGAATGTTTATAAAAGTCTTTTTGTGTGTCAAGATTGAGTCATATCTATATTGTGTAAAAATATTTAAAATAAGTATCTCTTCGTAGCGCATCTGCAAATGAGTGTGCTTGCACTCACCTTACATAGTGAGTTCAGTTATGATTAATTTTACGCTTAACGAAAAACGCGTCAGTATCGTCAAAATTGTTATTGTTTTATTTCTTTTTACAAATTTTATGGATATATTTTATTAAATGCTACATCTGTATCATTAAATATTAGAAAATCACTCTCACGTCCAATCGCAATAAAAACTTATACGTATAATTTCAAAAACAGCCTTCTAAATATTATTTCTTTCAAGCATATCCTCCCCTTTCCAGAGATTCCATGGCAGAACAGCATGCGAAACGGTCGACACGAGAAGAGAAAGAATCTGCATCATCCAACATTAGTCCATCCATTGAGAGCCACTGGTGCTTTCTCGTACCTGCCGCCAAGCAGCAGTGCAACTGCAACACAGCCAGCAAATCAAAAGGATAGAGAAATATTTACTTGTATTTGCGTGTGTGCAAGTGCGCTCGCTCGTCTGTATGTTAAAGTACGCGCATACATACGCTACTTGTTCGCTTCTTCTGCTTCGTTTCCACTTGCTCCGAAAATCTCTCGATCGCAGCTCCACAACAATAACGCGGTCATTTAAAACGTCATTTACCTTGTGACGTAAATGTTATCAAAGTGTCATTGATATCAGGCATATTATCATTATCTCGGCATGGATCTCAAAATGATTGATAAATAGTATAAACAAGTCTGCTGCTACTGGAGAACGGTCAAAGGTTTAGAAGCGCATGCGCCGTCATCCACTGTGTATACCTGGCTGGCAGAGCGAGCAGACTCAGCCAGTCTGCCAGTGGCTCCGCGCTCACCGGACGAGGCGAACGTGTGTGTTTAATTTTATATTCTCTGTGTTTGTACCTATTCGTGTATATATGTGTGCGTGAGAGAGTGGAGTGTTATCAAGAGAGGAGGAGAGGCGTCGTTTCTCTCATTCGCAGGTGCGTCCTTCGTCGTCGACGTTCCAACGCCGTCAGTTGATTTTGTTCACCTGTTGTGTGTGTATATGCACGTGATACCAATTGCACCTGTGACGAATTTCTTACGACTGTGGGCGCAGAACGATTGGTTAACCTTTTTTCCCGCGCGCGCTCGATCGTTAAAGCTCTGAGGAATTCCGACCCTCTGTCTGTATGTCTCTACTTGCTTTTTCCTTCTTTTTTTCTTTTGTCTGTCGCGGTCACGTGTAGGTTTAAAGAGCACAGTGGGCCAGTAAGCGCGCGACGATGGTGAAAGGTTGAAGAAAGAAAAACCCATGCTAAGGTTGTGTGCCTCCTTATATACCTGCGCTTAAGGACTTTGGTTTTGCCATCAATTGTACGTTGACACACTGGCGTAAGACATTGTGTTCGAGTTTGTGCGGAAAAAACCTATTTCTTTTGTCTAGAGAAAGGCGTATCGTTGACTTTCGAGTCTTATGAAAGATTTTGAATTGAAATTGAAAGAATTATTTATTGTTTACGTACTGTTAACAGGAAAACTAATGGAAGACAATAAATTGCAACAAATATCTGACGTAATATTTTTCAAAATAATCGAGTTACTAATAGTAAATAATTGTGAAATTTCTCATCCAATCTTTTATTAAATAATATACATTAATAGCAATGTCGAAAAAGCCAGTTGTTGACCGAATTTTAGTTTGCACCGAAAGTATCCACGCTCCCTGCAACAGTTACAGTATACTTCTCTTTGTGCATTACACCTGAATAACGTGTAACACAACTGCGTATCGTCACAATAAAGCAGTCAAACTCAAATTAGAGTTGCAGCATTCCACCCCTTCTCTCGAGCATACGGTCATAACTAGAGAGCATTGATGAAACGTCATTAACGTCGCGTTGGAAATCTATTTTCTTGTTTCGCGCATCAACTAATTACGTGACTATGCGCGAATAAATGCGATTTATATCGATCTTTCTCGTGCTAAGGTTCTTCCCTGCACCTTTCACTTCGCTGTATTCGATTCAATACCTGTCATCCGCTTGGAAGTCATATTAGAGATATATTTTTGTGACCGGCGAGACCGACACTTGTACGGCTGTAGGTCTACCGTTATAATATAAATATTCAGTTACACCAGCAGCTCATATTGTTTCGGCAATAAAAGTCAATTCAACGAATTTTCGCTTGAACAAAATAATTAAATCGCGTTTTCCGTTGGGGATTCGGTGATTAACGCCCAGGGGACGATTCGTTAAACGTCGAACAAAAAATATCCAATACATGGCGGTAAAAAAAAGAGATGCGTCGTGAAATTATTACGGAAAGCCTATGTAAAAAGTTCATTGCTTTACTTTTTTTGCGCGCCATAAATATTGCGACTCGACAGTGCGATAAAACTCGTCAATCTCGCGATCACCCTCGTAAAATGATTATTTGTTGATTTTTCTTTCTTTTTTTTTAACGAAGAAACGGGCACCTCCTTGCTCAGCAATAAAATGCCGATTTCAATCTTCCCGTTTCGAAGATCCAGTTCGAGACTTTCTCAACCTCGACAAAATAAAGATGGAAGAAATATGGGTCGAGCGGAAAAAAAGTGGCGGTGGTACGAGAATTCGTCGGGGTGATTATAAAAACCCTGTGCAACGAGGCTTTAAAGCCAGTCGTCCGAAAGCTAATCACTCAAATTGCATCGCCGCATATAAATTCAATATCAGTTCTCTCGAACTTTCTATTTTTCGCACGTAATTGAATGAAAGGCATCGTCTACCTTTGCGGACAGCGTGACTCAAAATACGAGAAAAGGAAAGAAGAAACCACATAGTAAAAAAGAAAAAAAAATGCGCGCGACGCGGATACACCCAAACGCACGGTGAGAGAGAGAGAGAGAGAGAGAGAGAGAGAGAGAGAGAGAAGAGTTGGCTGGTGTGTACACACGATTAGAAACGTCGAGCTATTCGCGTCACAGACGAAAAAACACGAAGAAAAGCGAAGAGAGCATGAGAAAAAAAAGGGACGTCGAGAGGCGCGTAATGATATATAAATGCGCGCGTAGCTATGCACTTCCGCGCATAGCGAAAACCGCTCGGCCTCTCTGCAGGCGCAGATTAAAATGTATGCCTAGGAGGAGGCGCCAGAGATTACGTTCAAATTGTTGTCGAGACCGAACAAGTGCACGTCTCGACTTCCTTTTATCTCGCCTCTACTGTATAAATTCCAATGGGGATGTGGGAAAAAGTTGGAGTTGAAAACGTGTTTTTTATAAGGAATATCTTCTGTGCTATGTTTCGAATGTAACTATCAAATTATTGAAAGTAATAATGGTACTGAGCAATTTTATGCTCATTTGTTCAGCAACTACAAATTACTAAATGTAAAATCGACTTGGCAATCACAATTGTTACATTACACCAGAGCTATTGTTACAGTGATTTGCACAACGATTGGAATAATCAATAAATTTGTTGAAATCAGTTTATTGTAACAAGAAAACTCACAACATCGTATCGATCCAACCCAATTACGTGGATTTTTTTCTATTGCATTTCAAATTTAATGAGCGATTAAAACATTGACTAATCATGCAGAAATCTCTTGGGAAACAGAACTTTTTCAATCAAACAAGGAACGTGAGAGCCATGAACCTTTTCAATACAGTAATAGTAATGAACGTGAGAGTGTCGAAACAAACTCATCTGGATTTTCATAAGCACACACCAAGGCTTTCGATATTCATCCAGCTACTTACCAAATGCAATGCACGCCGATAAAAGTAAAACGCATAGGTGGAATAATCGACTTCTCACTCTCGCAGAATGAAACAACGTAGCAATCGGCAAAAAAAAAAAATCAAACAAACAAACAGTGAAATAAAGAAAAACGAAAGCCAGGCGAGAGAGTACAGAACGACCGCGATTATAGAAAACTCCTCTCTCGCGCTCCGAAAGCGTTTTGGAGCGCGCGGGTATCGCGTGTGCACTTAGCGCGCGTACACGCGCGCAGCTATACGCGGAAGAAAGCGCGTCGAAAAAAAAAGAAAGAAAAAGTCGAGCCCGTGGTACGCGAGTTGGTTTTCCTTCGAAGCTGCCCTGCCATTGTGTCGTTTTGTCGTTGATAGATCACGGATAATTCTCGTTGCGAGGAAGAAAAGAGATAAGCAAAAAATAGCAGTTGCGGCGTTTTCGCGGTGCACATATTTCTCTGACGCTCCCGTGGCACGCGAATGTTATACCCCGACGTGCGCGCACAAGTCTCGTACTTTTCTATAAAAAAAAAGAAAATTTCGCTCATTTCCTGCACCGCGAGCAGCAAAGTATTTACCAATTCAGCGTAGCATTTCGCAATTGCACGCCTCGCGCGCGAGCTGAAATTAGTTCTGTAAATACCCGCGAGGGAGATTTCGCACGAACGATCTTTGAATCGTGGTTTCATATGTGCTCTGTCGTGCATCGCTATAGAAATATCATACGTCATATGTATTATAAAAGTATCTCTCTCTTTTTTGTGGGCGTTGAACGCTGTTTTTTCTTTTTGGGACAACAGCATTGTATTCTAATGCAATCGCGTTAAATGGCCAATGACTGAGTCTTGACACATTTCTTCTCTTTGACAGCGAGCGCAGCTGTAACTTCTTTCTCACGTTCTTTTTATGTATACACGCATACACGAGAGTAAACTTCAAGGCTTTGGTTATGCAATGTTTAATGTGAAGAAAAGTATCCTCAACGCGAATCGAACGATCGACTCGTAGCTGCGTGCGTCGACGATCTTTCCAACGGCAAAATATAATGGCCCGCGTAAAGTAAAAGTAAGAGTCTCCGTTCGCGTGGTAACAAAGCTATCAAGATTCACATCCCTTCATCTTGCTCTTTCGGAGAACAAAACTACAAGGATGCGCGTACAATGTATATCGTCTCAATCGTTCAAGGATGTATGAGCGTAGGAGAAATCCGCGTGTAAAGATATCGGTGAGCTAAGTTGAAGGAGAGTCGAGCGGATTTGTGCGCGCGCGTGACTTGGATTTTGAGTTACCGTTGGAAATCTTCATGCGCTATGTGTATCGTAACGCGACCGCTCCGCTGACGGACGATACGCTTTTCTCTTGGTTTCTTCCACTTTGCGTGCTACCTCCGCGAGCGTCCGCCTTGTCGTTCATTCTTATTTTTTGTGCAAACGAACCGAAAGAGACGAACTCGATCATCGTCAGCATCCCGCGTGCAAAAAGCGCGCGACATCGAGAAAAGTAAAAGGTGCTAAAGATGAGGGCTTTGCTTGCAGGAGGAGGCATATCCCGAGCGTGAGTCACTCTACATAACGGATTCGCTGGTCGTCTGGCGTAATACAGCGGCGGCGGTGGCGGCGGCGGCGGCGGCGGCGGCGGCGGCGGCGACGGCGACGGCGAAAGAAGTAGGCGGACGAAGGAGGTGGGAGGGATGGTGAGCTCCCGAACGCCGGGCCTGAGGAGCAGCGCCGCCGCGGGTGTCGAGGGCCTCATGCAGCAGAACCACTCCAGTAGCGTCCTCGCCGCTGGCGGACCACGCCAGCCAAGGTACATTCCGTTTGTCACTCGCCGTACCCGTCGCAGTTCCTCCTCGCTGACGACGCGCGTCGCCGGACGAACGCCGCGCGCAGTCGAGCGCGCGGTGCTCGCTCGTTGCCCCGACGATCTTCGCGGATATCGAAGCCGCGCGGCGCGTCGGCGCGACCGCGAGTCGTCCCCGCACTTTCGTTCGCTCGTCGGGCGTTCCAGCTGGGTGTTCCTGGGCCGCGTCCCATCGATATCCGCCGCGCAACGGTTTGGCTCCGCGCTTGCATTCCTCGAGCGCCCGAGGGGGACGCTCCTCTCCGCGTCCTCCGCCACGAGCGCAACGGCAATAATATCATTCGCCGCTTGCTCGCTTGTCCGCGATCTCGGCGACGGGCCGTGCGAGTCTTGCGATTTGCATTGTTGTCTGCTCGCACGTGTGCTTGGCGATCGTCCGTTCGCCTTTTTCCCACACGCAGGCGCGAGGAACCCCCTTGAAATTCGTTTGTCGCTCTCACGCGCCGCGCTTGCGTGTCGCCGAGTGTTTCTGCGGAGAACCGTGCTCACCTGTGCTTTCCATTTTTGAATAGCCAGTTGCATTTTTATCCGTGCGAATAACGAACATAAATATCCCCGCTGTGGTGCGTGAAAATAAAAGAGAAAAAGAAAAAAAGAGAGTTGTATAGTATAATGCGAAATAATCGTCCAAGTGTAGTCGGAAGAGTCGTAATCGAGTCGTAATTTGACGTGGATTATAAACACGTTCCGTAAAATTGTCACGTCCGCGCGCGAGTGTCCGTTATTACGAAAGGATAACAATTTGCGTGTGCGAATGACTTCGCGTGCGTATACGATCGATCATCACATCGACAGCACAATTCCTCATCGCTTCGCGACAGAATTATTTATCTTTCACATTTTAATGCAATGGCACATAATTACTCAGCTCGTACGTATCTTTCGAGCGAGAAGATGACTAAAAGTCTATGCACATCGGTGCACTTTTCTCGAATTGCGCGTATCGTAAAAAAGCGACACGCTCGCACCTACTCCATTTGAAAAGCGCGAAAAAACTTGTCGATAGTACGAACCACCGCAGCAATAAGTAGGTCTCTCTCTCACTCTCTCTCTCTCTCTCTCTCTCTCTCTCTCTCTCATCGGTCGATCGTTAAAGCGCATGCATACACACACGTGCTCCTATTGCAGTTCGTCGACTTGGAGCCAAAGCGAGCCAACCCTGCTGACCACTAACAGCAACAACTCGACGGCAACGTCGGTACGAGCCGAGAGCCCGAGTATAAGTGCACCAGCTGTGCTTGTCGGTCCGCAAACGCTTGGCGAGGAGCAATACGAGGCATTCGGTGTCGTCGACGATCCCGAAGATTCGCCGTCGCAAGGTAGTGGCTCGCCAGCTGCTTCGCCCATTGCCGGCGTCAATCCTAACAGGTGAGAATAGCAACCAGCTACGTTGGAAATGAAGCTTGACCACGGCAGAGCCATGTTTTCCTTATCGCTTTATTTTGTAATATTAATCCGATGTGTTCTCGTCATCGTCCGACGACGGGACGTCAACCTTGACAGAACGTTAAAGTGTATTCTTCGACGTGAAAACCATCGGGCAAACGTGACTCACAATGACTGTATCAAGCACAGTGAAAAGTAACATTTACCAGATGATGCGACGATAGAATACTCATCAAAAGTCATGCCAAACAAAGTTTCATACAAACAACTGTCGAATCATTATAAATAATTGAGCGTATGACGAAAATCCAATGGTGTAAAACTGAAATACAGATAGAAGGTCGCATATCTTGTTGCATTGTAAAGGATTAAATAGAACCAGGTCACGCGTATGCGGTGTCATTCGTATTTTTTCTTTTTAATGCTTCATGGAACTGCTCTTATTATTACGCTACATCGATAACTGCTGTTGGCTCGCAGTTTAATTTATCAACAAAATAGTTATTGGATGGCGAAGCGGTATTCGAGCTGAAAATTTTCCAAGTTTCGTTGACCCTGACGTGCACTTGCCTCTATGTTTACTAATCCGCACGATTTCACGAGACCCCCCCGGTATTGAATATAATCCTCTAAGCGGCATATTCCCGAGGCTGTATACCTGCGAGACGCCCATTACTTTACTTTCGGTGGTGGTACAGTCGCAGCCCTCCACAGTTTCAAAGGACAATTTTCCAGCAGTTTCCTTGCGGACCTTGAACTGCGAACGTCTCTTCTGACTGCGCGTTCGAATGCGCCTTGACTTGGCAACGATTCCGCAGACACTTTTGTGCTTACTCGAATTTACGACGATGTTCAAGCTCTCGTATTTTATTGATTTCTACCTGCCCTTCATTCGCCAGACGTAAGACATATCGCTTTTGGCTTTTGCTCGGTGGTCGATCACCGTCGATCGCCGCGACGCCTCTGTGACGCACAGCGACGCCGCGCGACGCTCTTGACGGTTGTCGGAGTGGCGTGTACAAACCGAGACGTGCCGATTAACGAATCGCGGTTGCTTTCTCGTTGCAGAAATCCACGGAGTCCAAACTCGATGCTCCTAAACAGAAATACGTGGCTGCGGACATCACTCGGACGCTCGCCAGCTGGGTAAGTAAATGGCACAAGCGTCGCCGCAGCGCGCACCATCAGCCGCCCACAAATTTACATAACAGTGCGGAGGATATGCTTCCGTAAAGTAACAGTGATTTTTTTGTTGTTGTTTGTTTGGCTGTCCCACGCAGCGCCAGCAGGAAGCGGCTAAGTTCCAATGCCTTAGCTAGGTAAGTGTCGCACAGTGCATAGAATAAACGCGTCGCTCGGCCGGACAGAGCGCAGTTAGCCCAGCGTTGCGCGATCGGCAAAAGCTGCAGGAGAAAATATAGCATTAAACGTCGAGCGGATTGCGTCTGTGCCCGTGACGACATTGCAAAAATAGACTGCGCGTCAAGTGCAATGCGTATAATGGGGCGGAAACGTACTCGATCTCGAAGACAACGACTCGCTCGAAATTGCATTGTTTTTTTTTATCAACTGGTCGCGTAGTGCGGCTTCGCGCGAGCTGCGACGCATTTCGCAGGAGCGCGCTATTTAGTTCAAACGTGTACGCCCACCGTTGATAAATCTTGACGTTCGATAGCTTCCACTCACCTCGACGCGCTATCGGCAGTGCGCTACAAGCTCATTTATTTATAGAAAACCATTTGTTTGTTTGTTTCTTGTTTCCCTTACAGCCAACTGTACAGGAGCAGCAGCTTTAATAGCTCCGGCCGCGGGTCCATCTGCGACACGGCCGACGACGTGTACAGCGACGTTTCCCTCGAGGAGGATGTCATCGACCTGAATCATCGAGTAAGTTTCACTTTGAGTTTTCTACGTGCATGCCGTAAGCGCGTGCGTGTCCTTCTTTTTTCCAAGTAAAAAAAAAAAGCAGACGAAAAACGCACGAACAATAGTCTTTCGGCTACGGAATGCGGAGGACGCGAGATGGCTGCGTTGGTGAAAATATATTTGGAGAACAATCACGATTTAATTATGACTGGCCACGCGCTTATTTCACTCTACCTTACGTCTGATTCGCAAAACCTTCCGACTCGAGTCTAGATCTGTTATGGCCGTTTTATATTTAAGAAACTCGTTTGTAATTCAGCTGGACTGCGTGTATGTGTGCCTGTTGGCTGAGATTTTGATCTTAGGCTCGAATGTCGGGCGAGATTATATATACATTGTAACTCAAGTTTATTTATGTAGAGTGCAATTATTGCGTTCTAGAATTCCAAGTGAAGTTTGTCAATGTATGACTTTCATTTGTCATAAGTCAGTCTTGGACTCGAAATTTTACAACCAACATCTTTTCTCGACGTAACAATAAAATTATTCGTTTCAAAATTAATAAGTTAAAAACACGTACAATGTTTTGTATGAAAAACGCTGAAAAATCGTAAAAACAAGTAAAAAAAACTAAGGAAAAAAGAGCGGGAGAGAGACAGAGAGAGCGAACGAAATGGCATGTGGAAAAAAACCGAAGTTATCGCGATTGGTAACCTGGCCAGGCTGGCCATTTTTCATCTTTTTGGTTGTGTTCACCGCCGCTGCCTACTACCTTTGGGAGAATCACCTAAAGCAAATGATTACCGGTGCTGCTGGTTAAAAAAAAAACGAAACCAAACGAAAAGAGGTTCGTTCTTCGTCTTGTCGTTTTGGGCTGTATTAATGAGCGTATGGCGATTAGGTCGATTGTTACGTATAAATATTGAAAACGTTGACATTTGAAAATACCAACTGTGTCTCCTTGGACTGACCGTGATTTGGCACGATTTCAAAGAGCCACGGTTACGCTTCCGTAACTTCCGTTTTTCCTATTCAGCGTCGAAAGCCGCATCGCGCTCTTTTACCGAAGGATTTTACTATAAAAAACCGCGAGACTTCGTCGATTAAATCTAATCGTTTGGGTCAAATTGAATCATTGTGATTGACATTTTCACTTATGAAAAGAGAAAATTGATTGGATATAGGTCGTGAGCGATTTTTTGTATGTATATAATTTATTATTTTGTAAAAATAGGAGTATTGACGTATACTATTAAGATACAACTTACTGGCTGAAAGTAGTAGCACGTTGAACTGAAATTTTTGTCAGGATTATCTACGATCTACAATAACGTGAAGAAAAAAGGTATCGATTTTTGTGCCCACTTCCGTTCCAGAAAAGTTATTGCGTTCGGCCGAATGTAAAACATACGCTATAGTAACACAATCGTGAAAACAATTGTGGTTCGTAATATATTTTTCAAAAGTGAATTTTAAAAACACAGATAAACGGCGTAGTTAGTCAAAGGTAATTATCGTAAAGTGCATGCAAACGTCAAAAATAGCTTTAAGCGAGTACGTAGAAACAAATATGTATTAGGTGATAGCAACTTATATTCGTTAGTGGTAAAGGATTCAATTAGTTTCGTTGAACAATTCTTACTGCAGTTATCTAACTTACCGCCTTGGTGAAATTGAGATTCCCTAGTTTATCGGCATATTGATTTTTTGAGTACTTCGCCAATCAATTATTCAAAACATGCTCCTATAATGATCTCAGTCACGTTTTGACACACTTTACTTTAGTTTTCAATTATGTCCTAAATTTTCTTTTAAAATGCGTCGATAACAATCAGAAAATGTTCTTTCTTTACAAAAGCAATCGACGTGTGCAAGGTAAAATTTGGCAAAGCAATATAATAAGAAAAATAATAATAGTCGATAAAGCGATTCGCTACTGTGTCACCGGTAGCCGAACGTCGTCAATATATGAAAAAAATCAACAGAGCCCGAAGGTGCGAGCGTACATACATATACGCTACACACGCCCTTTATAATCCAATGAAGCGTTGCAAAGCTTCTGGCAATAATTAAGCCACGCAAACTCGATTAAAAGCTAAATGCAGCTTACGCATCCACAACAACCAACAAACCCACCCTCTGACGCGTTCGGTAAAAATTAAAGAAAACGATTACCCAGCGTGGAAAAATCGGTACCTCCTTTTCTTTTTTCTTTTTTTAAATAAAAGATCGCGCAATTACGCAAGAATGTCGTCCTCGAACTTGCCAGCTTTACATAACAATCGATGTATGGCACTCCTACACTACACAAACCATTTCCCAGTTGAACGAAACCATATCACGCTCTCGCTTTCTCCTCGCTTTTCACGCACACGCGCTCGGTGTAATTTCGGTTAGAGCGCAGAGCTACACACACGCGCGCACGCGTGCGATGCACACTCCTTGTTTTATCTCCCTCCCTATCTCACTCTCTTTCTCTCTCTCTCTCTCGTCTTTATAACAGAGACGGCTTGTTTTGTCGTCGCGACGACGGCCGCGCTGCTCGCGCGCCGCCGCTCGAATATAGAGATTCCGCGCAGCCCGCTTTAGTACGCCGTCGACGGGGGCTTGCGCCGCCTCGTCGTCGATCGCGCTCTTCTGTTCGCTCGTGCCGTGGTCGTGATGTCACCGCCTTGGTCTCGATTGGGCGCGGACGGCAGTGCGCTTCCTTCGATCGGCGCGCACTCGGAGGCGTGACGCACACGTCGCCGACGCGGGACCGCACCACGCCAGTCGTAATTCAAATTGCACGGAGATTCAGGCGTCGCCGCGTTATATCGATCGGCATCGCGTGGTGCACGCCAGTCGGTCAGTCTCGCGAAGGTGTCCGCGACTAAAAATACCTTCGATCGCCCGCTGCCGAGAGCTTCGGTTCTCCAACAACGCGCGAGGGAGTGAAGGTGCAGTGAGATGTGGAGGCGGTTGGCGAGCGCTAAAGGAGCTAGAGGATAGATGGAGGAAGCAACCGATCGTCACCATCGATGGGGCACTGACAGCGGCGATGCCGGTAGCGGGCCAGCATCGCTTGGCCCAAGCAACAGCGAGGGTTCTCCAGGTCTCGAGTACGACCTGTGGGAGGGACAGTTCGAGTTTCTCGGACCGCAGTCCGATCTGCAGCGACAGTCCAAGTCGCCGAGACTGACGCTGCTGAATCAAGAGCAGCAGCAAGTAAGCGAGCGAGGGCTTCAATCAAATTATATTTAGATCAGCAGTCGGAGGCGCGCCTGCGAATTACACTGCTCTTCGGCGCCCAGCTCTTGGGGTCCAATCCAAACGTTTGGAATACGCGTCGCTGGTTAATTGGCGTAAACATAATCCAATTAGGATCGAGGGAAGGTGATACACGGTGGGCCGCTTGGTGGGCACAGTACGACGAGCGCATCGGCACAAGTAGGCAGGGGTTCAGCGGAGTTTAAATCGATGCAATACGCGTGCGTGCGAGCGCGACAAGCAGCCTCATCGACGTCGTCGTCGTCGTTAACGCCGCAGCAAGCGTCGAATCCGCCACTCGCAGTTGCACTGCCGCTCTGTTGTCTGCCTCACTGGTCGCTTGCTGTTGCGCCGACGAACGCTCGTCCAATTGGCATTCCGACTTAACGCGTCTCGCTGTTGCAGGTCCAAATGATTCAGGAGCAGATGCATGCCCTCGCGGATACGCAGTCGGCCGGCGAAGAAAGATACGCCAGGGTCAAACAAGATAATGCTACCCTGCAGGCGAGGATACTTATGCTGGAAGAGGCGGCTAAGGACGCCGAGGCTAGAGCTGAAGAGAGACTGGAGGTTTGTGTGACTTTTTATTGTACACTTGCTCCACGATATGTAGTATGTTTACGTATTACAGCCGATAGGTTCTTTCACGTAATCTACAAACTTACCACTCGTGCTTTTATCTTATCGCTATTTTCGCAATGCGCCTCTGCCCCCCTCAAACAGTTAATAATAATTCAAACTCCTAATGGCAGCAAGTGAAACTTCTGCATGCTGCTGTTAATATTAGATACTTTTATGTGTTTTCTCATGTATTTACATACAATTAGTGTTAATTAACGTTACATAAGTTATTAAATCTACGTTTAACAATACTCATGGAATCCAATCCACATTAATATTATTTCACAATAATTGGAGGCATATGTCTCTCGTAATTACAGACAGAACAACGAAGGCATCGAGAATGGGCATCACGCCTCGAGCGCGAAAAAGAGCTACAGCTGGAGAACTGCGCGATAAAGCTGCAAGCCGCCGAAGCGGAAACAGCGCGAACGAAGGACGAAGCGAAACATCTACGCGAGCAGCTGGAAAAGTTACGCGCGGAGAAAACGAATTTGGAATTGGCACTGGAGGAAGCACAACACGAAGTTGAGCTTGCAAAAGAAGCGGAAAGACGCGCAGCACAGAGTTTCTCCGAAGCTAATAGGAGTTTGATGAGGGCCGAAGAAGAGCTCGCTCAGAGGATCGATGCTGAGAAGAGATTTGAAGAAATCACTGAAGAATTGGCAAATTTGCGGGTCAGGAATAAAGGTATTACTTTCGAATTATTTTTATTTAAATCTTACTTCTTATTTAATGTGTAATCGCTAAAACAGAACATTATTACATCAATTCACACGAAGAATTTCTGCAAGGTAATATACATTGCGATCGAATTTAATTTAAGTAGTTCAAGTTTAAAAGGTTAAACGCTTGATACATCTATTGGCAAGTGGAAATTGTTAAATGCCTACTTGACTAGAATAATTATTCGCGATTTTCATTCGCATTTCGGACGTTTACTTATTGATGCAAAAAAATGTATTTTTCTTTTCATAACAATATCCATTCACATTTTGAAACACTTAACAAATGATAAAATCTGCATTTATCTAAAACGAATATTTTTTTTCCAGCTTTAGAAGAATCTCGAGATGAGCTGCAAGCAGCCGCAGCAGCGTTACAAGCAGGCCGTGAACTATTAATGCCAAGTGGACAAGACCCAAATGACAATACAATCAATAGGAAAAACAGTCCAAGTCTCGCGACTGAACTACTCTTGACCGGATCCACGCATGACGAGGTATATTTTCAGATTCCACTTGTGAATATTCTATTTTTACGCCAAGCTACGTATCTCAAGTCAAATGATTAATTTTCATGCTAATATTTGTAATATTTGCAGACTGATAGCGATACTGGAAAGCCTGACACCGCCGATTATTGTGATAATATTACTACTCTCGCTGAGGTGAGTTTTCTTTATCCAATAACTCATTCAAATCACTTTCATAAACTTTCCGAAAACATTTTCAATGTATTTTTATTTGACAAAAATGTAAAAGCACTTTGAAATGGAAATATTAAAATTCGATAAAAAAAATATGTAACTAATTACAAACTTTTTTTCAGGCGAAACAAAAATTGCGAGAAAAAGATGAAGTAAACGCGCGTCTCCGAGCCTACATTGACGGCATGTTGCAAACAATCGTGGAGAATCATCCAGAGCTTCTAGAAGTAAAGCGTCCTCACTGACATAGGATTCCAGTTGCGTTCGGTGTGTCGCTTAATCACCGATCAAGCAACGTCATACGAAGTAGCAGTACAATTATGCAAACTACTGCTATCGCCACGGTGCCGAAACTACAAGAACGAGATCACTATAATCATCTTCATCATTACGGCAACTGTTCAGAATGTCCACCAGTAAGCCGTTACTAAAATCATCGTTTTATCATGGACGTAATTGAAGAAAGACTTAAAACATGCAATATTTCGTTGCATAATGGAATGGATAATGAAAAGAGACGATCGAATGAGATTAACCAAATTTTTACAGTGAAAAACAAATGAAAATCCTTTGTTAACATGCATCATGTTCTATTTACACACGGAATGTGTAAAACCTGTGATGGGATTAAACAGAGCTTCGTATTTCTGTACATACGATTTTAATTATTGTTTTTCTGTATAAGCGACAATTAAACGATTCTATTTTTTATGACAAGAATAAGTGTCTTATAATGTTTATTGAAAAATACCCTCTACTGTACAGCCAATTTTTATTTAAACTTCTTTAGATATTTTGTTTTTCCTTATGATTTTGATCATCAGAGATTAAAAAAGAAGCTTGGAAAATGATTTTTATATCTTAAATACTGTGGCTATTTTCTCAAAAATAATTAAAAATAATTTAAAAACAAACGGATTTTTATTTCATTTTACAATTGTTTTCGTACAATGTCAATACGACATTGTCTAGTATATAACAACATAATTCACAATCTTTAGTAAAGCAAACTAAGAGATAACTTAATCCATTCAACAACATTTCAATTTACATAACAGATCAAATAGAATTTGTATACTTCTTTACAGATAATTGAGTTGCAAGTACATGATTAGATTATTTTTCACTCCTAGGGGCGATATCTTATCACTTTTTTATCTCGAGTTGATCCTATATTATTCATCACCTCAATCATCAGCTTGATTATTTACGCCAAAAAAAAATTATCTAAGTTCTGTAAATATATGGATTAGAATTAATGTTACATTATTAACTATTTCAAAATTTTGACTAACATATGATACAAAATATTATTTTTAAATTCTGTAATTACATTTTATAATATTGTAAAATCTATATCGAAATTAAGCAATGTCTGTATGTGTATATGTATGTATATTAATGATTTTGTAAATTAAATTAGTAATGTTAATGAAATTGAAATCAATTTATAATTTTTATAATAACTGATAATCAATTTAAAATCGCATAACTTTAAATGAATTGATGCCAAATAAATGAATTAACACTTCTTTTTAATTATTTTTATGTGTTTACTCATAAACATTACAAATGGATATACATAGCATAATCAATCTAATACCGATATTTCGTAGAATAATCTTTGGGAGAAATAACTAAACCTCTGCCTTTTCTAGCCCCGCGATACACAATTTCAACAATGTCAATCATCTCCTGTTTGTCTTCAATAACCCAATTGATCTTATTGTTGTTACCCGTACCCAAATCAATCATAATATGCTTGTTTCTGAAGAAAAACATGACAGTACATGGATCATAAAGTTCGTACATTTTATTGAAATCGGGTACTACAGTAATATCAACTAAATAGAACACCGCAAAGTTTCTCACTCTTTCAGCTATGTTGTACAATACTTCGTCAGTCTTCATGCACATTGGATCCCAATCGTGTCCAAAACGAATAACAATAACACGATCTTCTTCGGATAAAATCGCCTGATCCACCTCCCATCCGTTATGAAGATGCGCCAACATATACGACATTTTTCATTAGTTCTTTAATACTTGGTTTTCTAACGGAAAATAATCAGAAAGAAAGCAACGAGATAGATTTATGACGCTAGTAGTAGGAAGACTGAGGATAGCTTGGACCTGAGATATGGGAAGAAGGGAAAGTGTAGAAGGACAGAGAAAGAGAGAGAGAGAGAGAGAGAGAGAGAGAAAGAGAGAGAGAGAGAGAGAGAGAGAGGAAGAGAGAGAGGAGAGCGAGAGAGGGAGAGAGTGAAAAGGTCGTCGAGACAACAGGGTAAAATAATTTAAAAATAAGTTTCTCAAGGGGAGATTTACAGTGTTATAAATGTCTCTTCTCTTCTAAAGCCTTGTCCATCACAAGGCAATTAATGCCGATCTCGATGGCCCAAATTATCTAAATTGCCTTGCTATTGTTACGGTTTCGGTGGGTATTTAAGTACTTGGAAAATTTTCAAGACTAGCGTCTTTAAAGTGGTAGTTGTTCATTGTAGTCTGTCAAAGTGCTGAAGAAAATGGAATATATATATATTAATGCACTTATAAAATAATTATTTATTAGATATCTCGAATGATAAAACTTGTCAATATAAATTGCTTAAAATTATTTTTGTAATACAAGTTTTTAAATAAAATAAAGTTAAAATGTTAAAGTAGAATGAAATAGTCAAGTTAATAAAATTATAATATTTTTTTAGCTTCCTTATTTTTTAATCACAGATTTGTGGTTTTGGTAATACAAGTTTCCTTCTCTTTCTTGAAGGTACTTCTGTTATTACGAGGTGTGGCTATTAAATAACGAGACTGGTGATATAAAACATTTTATTTTGATATTATGTATATTTATTTATTATCACCTTCAATATATACCCCTCCTCTATCCCTACATCGCTCCATGCGAATCTTCCATTGTTCGAAACAGTGCAGAAAGTCTTTTTCTGTTAGTTCCTTCAGGACGCGCGCCGCTTTTTCTTTCACAGCTTCAACAGACTCAAATCTTGTTCCTTTTAATGCAGATTTCACCTTAGGAAAGAGATAGAAGTCGCACGGTGCAAGATCCGGCAAATAAGGTGGATGGTCTAACACTGGGATGTTGTACTTGGCTAGAAACTTCTTGACGGACAGTGCGGAATGAGCTGGCGCATTGTCTTGATGAAGAAGCCATGACTTCTCCTTCCACAGTTTGGGTCGTTTTTTTCTTATTCTTTCACGGAGTTCAGTAAGAACGTGAAGATAATAATGTTGGTTAACTGTTTCACCTTCAGGAACCCAGTGAAGGTATATAATTCCATGAATATCGAAAAAAACAATCATCATTGCTTTGAATTTTGATTTGCTCATTTTCGCTTTTTTGGCTCTTGGCGAAGTTGGACTCTTCCAGTGCATGGATTGGCGCTTTGTTTCAGGATCATAGGTAAAAAACCAAGATTCGTCACACGTTATTACCTTTTCTAATAAGTCTGAGTCTTTTTCAATCGCATTCAAAGTGTCAATACAAATATTTTTGCGAGCTTCTAGTTGTTCAAACGTGAGGATTTTAGGCACCAGTTTTGCACACACTTTTCTCATGTTAAAATTTTCATGTAAAATTTGCCGCACACATTCTTTGTCAATTCCTATAGATTCAGCAATCGCACGAATACTTAGCCGACGGTCAGATCGAACAAGATTACCGACTTTTTCGATATTTTCATCCGTTTTTGACGTGGAAGGGCGACCCGAACGTGAATCATCTTCAACACCTTCTCGGCCATCTTGAAAACGCTTAAACCACTCAAAAACACGTGGACGCGACAAACATTCATTGCCATACACTTGTTTCAATAAATTATAAGTTTCAGTTGCAGTTTTTCCAAGTTTCATGTGAAATTTCACAACAATCCGTTGCTCTATTTTTACGTCGATCATTTTTCCGGCAAAACAAAAAAACAGCTCGTATAAAAACGAAGGCTTCAGGCTAAACAGCTGACAGTCATTAACCTTTGGCGCATACGTACTTTTTCTGTAGCAGCGCTAGTCTCGTTACTTAATAGCCACACCTCGTATACTAGAAAGTTTTTTATCTTCTTTAATTTGCAACACTCCTTCATTGTCTAGTATAAACATTCTAATATTTGGTTACCTGTCTTACTCAAAAGATTTGACTGTTTGAAATTTGAAATATTATCAAATGTAGAATTAATTTGTTCTTCAAATATTGTGGAAAATTCTGGAGCTAGTTTCTTTTAAAATGGAACTGCAGTATTGTAATTTACTCCAGTCTTGTTCTTGTCTTTATAACTAACTGAAAATTCAACTGCTTTCAAAACATATCTTTTTTGTTCAACAGCTATGTATTTTTCTATGTACTTTTTATGATTCTTCCTTTTAAATTTTTTAATCTGAATATTTGCCAGTTTTGCTCTGCTTTGTAATATCATTTTCAATTCATCGTGATCTACTTTTTTATCAATAGGTAGTGCTAGATTCGGATTCCGATTTCAATCTCTCAAAATTATTAGAATTATTATCTTCCTTTATTATTTTTCCTTGGTTCAATAAAAATTTAAATCTCTCTATGCACTGAGATGGTGTACGATCACCCACTATTTTTGCTATAGTAGTCCATTGAGATGGCATTAGCTTTGCTAAATGCAAAAGTTTCTCATCTTCTTTACTGTTCCACTTAGTTTTTTTAATATTAGGATTCAACCATTCAGTCCAACGAGCTTTGCACTGCTTGGCAGACTTTCTGTATTGTACAGATTCTACTCGACTGAGTTGATTTCTGCCATATTTCATAACAGCTGCTTTCAAAATTTCATCCTATAAGAAAAGAATAAAAGTAATGTTTGTTTAATGTTAATATTATAAAGATAGAGCTGATAGAATTTTAGGCCAAATGATTATATCTACCTCTAAATTACACCAACCATCTCTTTTTATTGGAAAACGTGACATTCTGATAAAATTAAATACATATACTTCCTTTGAACATGTGAATCAAAAAATAAACAACTGATAAATTTAATAATTACTACACTTATATACTTATAAACAAAGAAAGTGTACTGAGATATTTATTTGATAATAAGATTATCTTGTGTTTTTGGTAATATAAGTTAAAAAAAGAGAACAAAATAAGCAAAATGAATACAAACGTGAAATATACTTATAAATTTATTAAATTGATCACACTTGATGTATAGTTTGATAGAAAAATACAGCACCGTGAACCCTGACAATAACGTATTTAATAACATAAAAACTACCTAAAATTATATATTTTTAGGTAGAATTATACAAATTTTATTTAAAAATTTGTGAAACCTACTTTTTTTGTCAATAAATAAAAACTTTTTCGTCCTTTCAATCTTACCTAAAATTACAGAATCTCGCTTTCCATTACATCATCTAATTGTTAGTAAAGTGCAATTTGTTGCAAATTACTTGCAGATTAATAAAACATCTTTGAACACTTACTTCTAACTTAAAGAATCAATGATAATTATTTTTGTCTCCAATTAATTTACTTCTAGCAGACGATGCTCAATTTGGTTAGGGAATTTATACTCTTACAGATTATATATATACACACACACACACACACACACACACACACACACACGCGCGCGCGCGCGCACACACACACGCGCACTCATACATTTGGAGGCTATATGTAGCATATAGAGACTAAGGGTGCTCTTACATGGGAGCGGCAGCGGACAGTCGATTCGAGCGGACAAAAAGAGAAAGTTTTATCTCCCCCGGTCCAGCCTGTAAATTAATGCAAAAAAAATATTTAGACGTGTAGACCCATAGTTTTTTAATTGCCCAATTCAACTGCGTTATTTATTTTATTTTTCCACTTTCACTTTACTTACAAAAATTAATAATTATATCCGGTATCACTGCATGCAAACTTGAGGCCTGCAATGGCTCGGTCGGTAAGGCGACGGACACGCACCCGGTAGGCCTGGGACCTGGGTTCGATTCCCAGTCCCTGCTGAGTGATAAAAGCGCCACTGAAAAAAGTTTCATGTGCTTTGTTCTCAAACACATTGCAAGCCTCCGTCACTGATTAGCACTGATGGAGCATAAATAGAGCGACGTTAAATAAAAAAAAAAAAACTGCAAACTTCAAGCGTTAATATCTCGATAATTAAGCAATACTTCTTAATTCCTGAAAATGCAAAAAATAGCCCTTGAAATGATTTAATTTGCCTAGTTGATTGCAATGATTCATCAATTTCTCATGTGATAATTATTAAATAGTTATAGCATTTATACGATTCTCATATTGCGCAGGTACAATGAAATCAAGTCTGTATCGTACCGGAAATATTTGACAACGCCGCTATTTTTCATATCATATTGGATGGTATTTTTTATCAGAGAAACAAATGTCTAAATATGTAGCTATTACATTATAATTATTCTAATTTGATAAAATAAGAACATTAATTAACCTCATAAGTCACTGTCTAATGAAATTCTTCTGTAATAATTTTCAAATAAAATAAAATAACCTTTATTATAGTGGGAAAAATAGTTAAAAATCGTATACATATAATAAGACCCCGGTCCCATAGCTACGTATGAATGCGGACGGATACGGACGCGAATCGCAACTCTAGTAACTATAGTAACTGTAGTAACATCAGTAAAAATATCTAGTTCGATTATTTAGTACCAACACTACCAGTAGTGAGCAAGTGACTGTTGTTTAAAACTGTAGCACCGAACGTACCACATTTAACGAACGCCTATCTAACCTTTACATTATTGCAGTCTATAAGGTGGCAAATGATAGAGAATTGATAAACTTTTAACTACAATTAGTGGAATTAGGCCTTAATTTTATGGAAGTACTTGAATATATGAGAAGAAGAAGAAAATATATATAAATGATATATATTAATCATCCCAAAAACTTTTTTTACATTAGCATACTCATCAATAAGCAATATTCATGAAAATTTGAAAAGTAAATTGTAGACCTGACATTTGAACATTAAATGTGGTACGTTCGGCGCTACAGTTTTAAACAACAATCACTTTACTCACTACCGGTAGTGTTGGTACTAAATAATCGAACCAGATATTTTTAGTGATGTTACTACAGTTGCGATTCGCGTCCGTATCCGTCCGCATCCATACGTACATACCTATGGGACCGGGGCCTTATAGGTAATGATAGTCGCATTCTCAAATCCGATGAGATACCCTTATTTGACTGCGCATGCGCAATGCGCGAATCGTACACATACTTTAGTTTTTCAATAATTTTCATATGAAAAATTTATTAATTGTCATTGCAATCGATTGGGAAAATTAAATCATCTTAAGGGCAATTTTTTGCATTTTTAGAAATTAAGAAATATTACTTAATTATCGAGATATTGATGCTTGAAGTTTACAGTGATACCGGATATAATTATTAATTTTTGTAAGTAAAGTGAAAGTGGGCAAATTAAATAAATAACGCAGTTAAATTGGACAATTAAAAAACTATGGGTTTACACGTCTAAATATTTTTTTTGCATTAATTTGCAGACTGGACCGAGAGAGGTGAAAGTTTTGTCCGCTAACGGACAGACGCTCTCCTCTGCGTCCCTAGCCGGCGTCTTGCGTGCGGTGCATCCCTCTTCCCCCTCTCCTCTTATTTATAGCGTCCCTTTCTATTATTCTAAACATGCTATAATTATAATTTTCTCGACAATATTAATTTATATGTCGTATATATATATATATAAATTAATATTATCGAAAAAATTCTAATTACAGCATGTAAAAAATAATAGAAAGAGAAGTTATCATTTAAAATGTCTGTCATATTACATATATATACAAATATATACATATCTATACACATATATATATATATAATATATATACACATGTATATATAACATATATATATACGACGTATAAATTAATATTGTCGAGAAAATTATAATTATAGCATGTTTAGAATAATAGAAAGGGACGCTATAAATAAGAGGAAAGGGGGAAGAGGAATGCACCACGCAAGACACCGGCTAGGGACGCAGCGGAGACCGTCTGTCCGCTCGAATCGGCTGTCTGCTGCCGCTCAGTCCGCTTTCCGCTCCCATGTAAGAGCAGCTTTATATTTGGTTATCGACGATTGTACTGCTAATAAACCTAATCTAACCATATTTGTTTACAAAAAATCTGACAGTGGTGAGCGCAGTAACATTTCTTTCAGTTTTCTCTAGAAAATAAATAATTGCCGTTGATTTAGTATATTTACGTGCTATTTGGAAAGTAAGTATATTGTTAATCAACAAGATTAACTGAATTATTACTAATTTTCATTTTTATCGCAAATTATTATTCTCAATACGTCGTAAATGAAAGTAGCTTTATTCTATTTACAGTAATTGTAATGAGTATGAGAAATAAAAATATATAAAATATAAGAAGTTTATTCTTAATTAATTTTATCGTTATTCGACTATTATTGATTTTCTTAATAATACTAACCTTCCAACGATATCCATGGAGATCAATTTGGATTTGCACATTTTTTTTCATTCACAGAAAAATTATTTAGAATATGTTCAATATTTTGTGACTTTAATTTCTAAATACTAAATAAACTTAAAACTTATATTACAGGATGGGTGAACGTTATAACATTCACAGCCAATTGGAGCATCTTCAATCAAAATACATTGGCACAGGACACGCTGACACAACAAAGTACGAATGGATGGTCAACCAGCATCGTGATTCATGTAGTTCATATATGGGACACTATGATCTTTTAAATTTTTTCTCAATTGCTGAGAATGAAACTAAAGCAAGAGTACGTTTCAATTTGATGGAAAAGATGCTTCAGCCTTGTGGACCTCCACCAGAGAAACCAGAGGACTAATAATTTTATAACAATATAATTTTTTTATAATCATTTGAATTAAGTTAAATTTTTTAAGTTAATAATGTAAATCTGAAAAGATATATAAATTATAATCTCAAAGTAATGTAAATTTGGTGTCATTTAGTTTCACCTTTCTTCATAATTGATTTATAAGAGTTTGTTGCAGTATTGGGTAAATTTCAGTTACTGCTCTGTTTAGTTTGTTAATAGTAGAGTAGATGCGATTCAGATCTAAACTTTCAACTAAGAAATGTTCTGATATCTGATCATGCCGTAGTAAAATAGCATGCATTACAATACCATGATTTATAGTTTTACTTTTCTTTATGGCAGCCAAACATAGTGATTCTTCATAATCTGTGGGATCCAATATCACACAATCATCATAGATACCCTATATAAATGAAAATTAGAAAACTCTTTAGCTCTCGTAAATAAAACAAGATCTTAAAAAAATTCAGATTATCCTACTGCTGTCACTGCTGATACAATGCCATACATTGGTACATTTGCATTTGCTAATGCTAAACTTGCACCCATGATAGCAGCACTAAGAGCAGAACCACCATTGTACAGTACTAAGGCATAAACATCCACTTGAAAATTTGGAAACTCATCTTGGAGGAAGGAAATTGCAACAGTTACTGTTGAATTTTGTAGATAATAAAACTATTCACTTTACTCTACAAACTGCTGACTTTAAAGTAGACTGAAAAGTATAGTTAAACAATATTTTAAAACTATTCACTTTACCCTACAAACTGCTGACTCAAGAGCTCTCTACATGAGAAGACTAAATTGTTTTTCTTCAGCATCTTGTTGATGACCTTTTCTTCTAACACAAGAAAAATTAGAAAATTTGAACTCGCAATATAATTTTCCTTGAGTACTATAGTCGTATTGATTAGGTATTTGTCTTGGATCAAACGCTGAACAGAGAACTTTGGTTTGTCCTACTTCAATATAAGCTGAACCTTTTGCTTGACTGACAACTCCTAGTTTGATAACTGTAATAAATGGAGAATAAAATGTTATATATTTGACCCAATACGCTATTTACTTACACATTTTTCTAATTTCATCATGCTTTCTAGAATCTCGCCTATTTTGAAGTTTACTTTTGACACTTAAATTGTCTGATTTTGCATTCAAATCAGAATAAATGCAGTACGGAGTTGTCTCCTCTGGACCATTACTTCTCTTTTGGTCATAAGGTATTTTTACATGTTAATTAAATAATCTAATGAATTTCGATTTGTTAATTGTTTAATTAACTGCTGCACTGTAAAAGTAACTTGTTGCTGAGAAGTGCGCATGCGCGTTGATTTTTTGAAGGCCGCACCCGACACCGCTGCCGGCTGCACCGGGCCACATGTTTTCCAATCAGCTGATCCAGCATTCGCCTGCTAAGCTATCGGTAATAAAAATAAACCACACTCGCGACATTAACATTCACGCGAGTAGGACGCTACTGGATATTTGAAAAACGGGACGAGAATGGCTGAAAGGGATTATGCTCCGCTAAGTGCGGCTTGTGTGAAATCGTTAAATGATAAACTCTACGAGAAAAGAAAAGCTGCCGCGCATGAAATAGAAAAGTAAAAAGTTAAACAATATTTATTTTTTTAATAATAAAAATTTATTGATCAATTATTTGATTTAAGAATGGTGAAAGACTTTTCTGCACATAACAATACAGCTCAGATTCAAAAGCTTATTAAAGTACTGGGAAAAGATTTTGCTGTATCTCATAATCCTCATACTCGAAAAGGTGGATTACTTGGACTGGCAGCTTTAGCAGTTGGACTTGGACCTGCGAATACTGGTAGATATGTTGAAGACTTAATTTTTCCAATATTAGCGTGCTTTTCTGACGCAGATTCTAGAGTAAGATACTATGCTTGTGAAAGTCTTTACAATGTTGTAAAAGTTGCACGAGGTGATGTTATACCTGTATTTGCTGATATTTTTGGATCTCTCAGCCAACTAAGCTGTGATACTGAACAAAGTGTAAAAACTGCAACTGAATTGTTAGACAGATTACTGAAGGTTTGTATATGTTTTCAAATGCAAGAAAATTTAATTGTATCTTTTTTATACTTGTAAGGTTTAAGTGTGAAATATTTACAGGATATTGTAACTGAAAGTGATAGATTTGATATAGTGGTAGCAGGATTTATACCACTGTTGAGAGAAAGAATTTACACAAAAAATTCGTTTGCAAGACAGTTTATATTATCCTGGATATCTGTATTAGATGCTGTACCTGATGTTGATCTTATTGTATTTTTACCAGATATTTTGGATGGTTTATTTAAAGTTCTTGAAGATCCAACACCAGAAATTAAAAAGCAAGCTGACACAGTATTTGCTGAGTTTCTTCACAGTATTCGAGCAAATCCATCCAGAGTACATTTTGCAGATATGATAAATATACTGATATTGCATGCTCAGAGTTCAGATGCCTTGTTACAATTAACAGCAATCACATGGATAGATGAGTTTATACGACTATCAGGGCAGATTCTTTTACCATACACATCTGGTATTTTCACAGCCATTTTGCCTTGTTTATCTTACGATGGAGATACTAATAAAATAATAAAGGAAACTGCTTCACGTGTAAATAACAGTTTATTCAAACTGATAATATCAAAAAGCATGGAAAGTTCTGTTGCAGAAAGTTTGGATCTTTCCAGTATTGTTGAAGTTTTGACAAAACATTTACAATTGCAAACAATACCTGTTCAAACAAAAGTGGCAGTATTAAGATGGATATACCACTTGTTGCAACATTTACCTGATAAGATGTATCTTCATGTCGAAGAATTGTTTCCTGTGCTTATGAAAACCTTGAGTGATAGCTCAGAAGAAGTTGTTCAACAAACATTGGTTGTTATGGCTGAATTGATCAGTTCAAAAGGTGAAATGCCAACACAGAACAAGTACTTTACAAAGTTCATGGTGAATCTATTAAGATTATTTGCTGATGACAGGCATCTTTTGGAAGACAGAGGTTCATTTATCATAAGAGAATTATGTGTATTGTTGAATCCAGAACAAATTTTTAAAGTCATGGCAGATATTTTGAGAGAAGAACAGAATTATAGATTTGCTGGTGTTATGGTACAAACTCTTAGCTTTATTATACTTACAAGCTCAGAACTTTTCGAATTGAGAAATAAGTTGAAAGATTTAAGAACTGAAGTAAGTTTTAAGAATGTTAATCAAAATTTATTAATGATGTTTTGTTAATAATCAGTTAAAAATTTTATATATAGGAAAGCGTTGAAGTATTTGTTAGTTTATATAAACCGTGGTGCCATAACCCGGTAGCTACTGTGGCCTTGTGCTTACTGACTCAAAACTATGATCATGCTTGCGAGCTTGTTAAATATTTGTATCCTTTCAGTTGTTTGATGTTAATTATTTTTCCCTCAAAAATTATAAGATATCATCTTTTTCCTCAACTAAATCGTTTCTAGCGGAAATATTGAAGTTACCGTTGAGTTTTTAGTAGAAATCGACAAACTTATCCAGCTGATCGAGTCACCGATTTTTACTTGTAAGTATTTCATGTGTTTAGTGATTATTAATTTTAATATGATAAATATAATTTGATCGTTTCGAAGATTTACGGCTAGAATTACTAGAGATAGAAAGAAACGAGTCGTTAGTGCGTACGCTATATGGCCTCCTCATGATACTCCCGCAGAGCGAAGCTTTTTCCGTGCTGTTACGCAGATTGACAGCCATCCCTCCAAGTTCTATGAGCGCACTTTCGTTGCAAAATGAAAAAAAGAAATCTCCGAAAAAGGTCATTGTACTAGAATCGACGAGAGACAAAATTAATTTTAACGAGTTATTTGACTACTTTGTGGATGTTCAAAATAAGCATAGAGAGCAAAAGCAAAAGCAAAAGTATGCTTTATTAACGGAAACGAAGGAAGCAACAAGCAACAATGATTAAAATATTTTTTTATTGCTAATTGTGTATTATAATGCTGAAAAATGCTAATCTTTTATACTAATCAATCGACTATTCCATAGGTTCAAAATAAATCTAACTTTTTGTTAAATTTCTATGTATATTTTATTTACGTTTTTACAAAACACAAATCAATACTTCTTTCTCTTTCTTCGTAAGACTTATTCATAGAATCGTAATTATGTACAATCAGTTTTATAAAGTTATATATTTTGTTATCTTTTCCTAAAAACGCGTCAATATGCACATTTCATAGCAAAACTTTTTATTTCTACTTTTCTTATCTAAAAATTAAATATAAGAAATCATATGGAAATAAGTAATGCTATTCAGACCTATTTAGCATTTAAATTCTCTTTTTTAATATTACGATTGTCATATTATCTCAAAATAAATTAAACAAATAATTTTATAAAATTAATCAAATTAATTTTTGCAAAAAATTCTGACTTACATACTTGCATTTTGACCAAGACTTTGATGAAAAGAATGTGACAAGCTCCAGAAACATACTATTGTATAATTTAATACCTACAGAACGCAATAATTCATCACGGCTTCTGAAAAATACTTTGTCGATGTCTGTTAGTTTAATAATGCTACTTTTATGTAACATCTCATTGTCTGAGTATTTCACTACTCTCGCCATTGTTAACAATTTTTGATATACAAATAAATTTCAATATCACAACATACAAACCATCCCCCAGACATTCAACCTTTACATGAAACGCATTGTCCTAAATTTGGTATGTACATAATTGCAGAAAGCAGCTATCAATTCATCGTTCACCATTAACTAGGAGCCCGTAGTCAATACTTCTAGTTGCTCTTCAGTAGACGATGTAAGTGACACATTTGCCATTTCACTAGCTACCCTAGTTAGCTCATCAACTAGAGCATCATTCGTATACAATATCAATTCAATTTTCTCTTGAACCGAACAGATGTCTTTCCATTTATCTTCTTCTAGTAGTGCTCGTCTTTTTCTTCTTTCATCCATTTCGCTTTGTGTGTTTTTAGCGTTCTTGCTATATTGTTTGCCTACTGTTGGCAACCACGTATCTAACATTCTGCATATATGATCATATCGTTCTTTACTTTCTTGAGAGAGACGCAAGTGAAAAGTTTCAATCTGTCGCTCATAATTGTCAATATCCTTTCCAAGAATTTCCGTTTGTAAATAGGCTGTTTGTGCCAATTTGTACCAATCGGCTAGGCACTCGGAGCGTTGGATCACTGTTGGACTAACTTGTTTGTCAAGCAGCTCTTTCATGCGACGTCCAGTTTCAGTCACCTAAATTGTGAAAGTAAATTTAGTTATTTTTTCTCGGCAATGGTTATCTTGAATTTTCAGTTATTTATTACCTTGATCCGTTCTAAAACATGGAATTGCTCATCATTATAGGTAAGGCTTCTCGTAGCTCTGTCCCGCAGAAGATGTTGCCATCCGTCTCTCAAACGTTCGACTAAAGTAGTAGCTATTGGACTTGCTTTGGCTGCCCAAGGGCAATATAAACTTCGCGTATTGGTATTCCATTCGCTTTTCAAGCAGTTCTCCCTCACGTGTCTACAATATCAAATAATAGTTCTGCATGCAGAATAGATCATTTGGCTTAACATAAAAAAGTAAACAATTAGACAAACCTTTGATGAAGTTGAGTAATAGCTGGTGCCAACTTTCCAAAAAGTTCATTACTCATTGTATCCAGTTCCTTTTTCCAACTTTTTGCTTCAAATGACGGAAGCATCGAGTTATGTGTGGTAGAAGACAATGTTGGTCCTGTCGATGTCATGGATGAAGTAGTTGGCAATGAATTTGATCCTTGATTCGTTCTAATACTCATAAAAACTTGCTTAGCAATCGTTTCTCCTCTTTCGACTGCTATTGCCAAGTCCTCCACTGCCTTTGTGAAATCCTTTGTTTTTTGGCATTGATCCAGAGCTTTGTTGAGTTTCGTGTTGAGGTAGCCAACAAATGCAACTACTGCGTCTTGCGACAATTTACTACACCTGGCCATTTTATCAATCCTTCTTCTACATTCATGTCCTACTGAACACGCGGTTTTGGCTTGACTTGCATCAGCCTCTACTGATACTAAAGTAGCAAAAACTGGGAACTTTGGTAGTTCTGTTTCAATGGGTAATGTTACATTTTTATTCTCCCCTGAAAATAAAAATAGAGGCTCATCCATGGACGTCGGTGGATATCCTCTTCCAGGCGTCGATTCTTCAATCAATTGTAATATAGGAACTGAATTTTTGAGAATTATTTGAGATGCAGGTTGAATATTTGTCTGATGTTGAATGTGTATTTGAAAAGCAGCATAACGTTCTTCCTCAGGATGTAGGTATATTTTAATCAGCTGTCCGCCATGAACATCAAATATATGAACTGGTGGTTTTCTACAGAGAGTATCCGTGACCCTTGAGAAAAATCTTTCAAAGCTCCAAATTCTCTGTTTATCCGCTTCTAGTAAGCCTGCTAGCAGAGGAGTAACATATCTCTTGAGACCAGTACTTAAACAGCAACTTGCAGGTAACTCTCTACTCCAATCTATAGGACCAGATTCGATTGACTGTGAACCAGCGATTACTCCTGATGCCTTTTGAGTAGTAATGTAATACATAGTATCTCTGTTTCTACGACCACCATATGGCCTGAATGGTAATTGGCCAGTAGCTACATGATACAGTGTAACCCCGATGGACCACAAATCTACTGTTGCTCCAAAACTTTTGGTTACTGGTTTCCTTAATACAGCTCGTTCATACATGTCAGGATGAAGATATTCTTCAGTGCCATAAAGAGATACAAACTGTTGATCTTCCTGTAGCTCCCGTGCTGCTCCAAAATCAGTAAGTTTATATATTGTACTACCATCTTCAGCAATAAATTTCATAATGTTTCCTGGCTTGAGATCTCTATGAACTAAATTATTATCTCTCAAGTGCTTCATACCAGCTGATAAATGCTCCAAAACTAAAAGAAATTCCTCTTCTGCTAAGCCATAGGTATTTTCAGGATCATCTAGAATGTTAAACAAACTGCCTCCTGTACATAGTTCCATTACTATTACCTTTCCACGTCCATCCTGCTCTTCCTCGATTGCTAGAAGTTTGACAATATTTTCATGCTTAACTTTGCGTAGTACTTCAAATTCTCTCATTTGCACATCATGTGGTCGCATGTGACTGACTTGATTGAATGTTTTCACGGCTACTGGTTCACCATTATTTTTGTTAACTCCTTGAAACACAGCACCAGTGGCTCCTTTGCCCAGCACACTTGTTGTGCACCAAACATAGTTGGTAGAGCCTCGTAGGAATGACATGCCAAAATCTAAAATTTTTAGTCATTAAAATTAATACCTGTAGTTGAACTGTATGTGCTATAAATTGTTCTTACTCAAAAACTTACCTGATACTAAATTACTGATGAAATACTCGCGTCTTGCTTAAACAGATGATAATTCACTACCTTTTCATTCTAGAAATGGCTAAAATAGTCAACCACTCTAACCTCTAAGAAAACACTTTCATGTAAAATTTGTATGAGTCTGAAGTTCGTAACGTTATTCAATAACGAAAAAATAATAAAAGAAAATGACTAATTAATTATTTTTATTGGTTCAAAAGATTATTATAATGATATATATCAAGGAGATACATCGCAATTAATAAATTTACCCTTAAAACGAACGCTTAGGATATTTATACATGGCAGACTATAGGGACATGGGATAAAATTGTATGTACATATTATTAACAACAAAATATGGAGTAAATGAAAACTTTAGTTGTACATATTGATTATATGCACTTGCATACTACGTTTCATTTATCACCCTCAATATTAACTACCCTTACAGCCCTTAGAAATGCCAACTCCCAGCGAATTACAAAGATATTTCCTGTAGCATTCCCCAGCGAATTATTGAGTTTACATTAATTAAGCGTGCTCAAAAGAATTTAATTTTGCGGTGATAGCACAATTATTTTATGATAATGGACGTCAACAACGCTTCGGGGAAGAACCGCATCACCCGTGTAATTCATGTAAATAAATTGGTGAAACATTTTGATATCTTGCTAGAAAACGCGAGGTTTATCAGTTTTAATATTTTTGAAGTTAATTCTACATTCGGTAAACGCATTCGTTAATTACATTTTTGTTAACAAATACATACGTACTTATATCATAAGATCTTGTTGGTAATGTAACATTTATTAAATTATTTGAGTGTGTGAATTAGACTTCACTTTCCAATTTGTTTTGGATCGTTCAGTTTGATCTGGTGTAGTATGAACTCTCATGTCCATATGTATGTATGTATGTACCTACATTTATATGTCTTATGCATGGATGTATCACATTGAACGTGTTCTACACCAGTATAATTGATTTTTAGAGAGTTCGCAGCTGATTTCTCTGCCATTCGCACGTGGCTAAACTTATATGCTTTAAAATTTGTGTTGTTACGATTGTTTAATTTTCCTTTTTTTGAATGAACCTTAACCTGTGTTTCAAAATACGTGTAATATTTTATGAAAGTAACATGAGATCTTTTCAGTACTTACCAGTTAGTTTTAAAAGGTGTTTAAAATTGTTGACTCCAAATTCAACAAGAACTTTAAAAAAATTTAGTGATAATACAGAAATCAACAGTGACATGGTACAGGAGTTTGTGAAATTCAGTTCCAGCGCTAACAATCCTAGTGACAAACACGACAAACAAACAATTGCTAATGTTATGAAACGCTGGCAGGAAATTTTTATAAAAGAAAACATTGCAGAACCTAAAGAATCAATTCAGCATATAACTGCCTCCATTATTGGAATAACAAAAGTAATTATAATGAAATTATTAAATTCTAAGTATGTAAATTGTTATTATTGAATTACATATATTATTGCTGAATAGCTTTCGGATTTGGCTAAGCTACAAAATGAACAATTAAGCGAAGAACAATTGCAAAAACTAGAAATTCTATGTGAATGTCGACTCTCAAGGTAAGATTAAAAATACACGCGTTAATTATCTTTTAACTACAAGTAAGTTATTTTACATTATTCTAGAATGCCAGTACAATACTTGATCGGCCAATGGGATTTCCGAGATATTACGCTGAAACTGGAACCACCGATTTTTATTCCACGACCCGAAACTGAAATTCTAGTTGAATTGATGCTGAAAAGAATGAATGATTTTGGAAACAAGTCTTGCGAGATTTTAGAAATTGGTTGTGGATCTGGTGCTATTTGTCTTTCATTATTGCAATCTCGAAAAAATGTGAGTTACTCCAAAAACTTCAATTTAATTTTAAGCTAAATTCATTTATGTTATTTATATTTTCTACACAGCTTAGAGTTGTAGCGATAGATATCAATCCTCATGCCTGCGATTTAACCAAAGAAAATGCCAAAAACTTAAATCTAGAAATGGGATTGATTCTTCTGAATGCCAAGTTGAACGAAACTGGTAATATATCGGTGAAAAAGAATTACACGTCATCTCAACCTTTGAAATTTGAGCAGCTTCGTTTTGATTTTATTGTCAGTAATCCTCCTTATATACCAACACAGAGGATATTTAGTCTTCAACCGGAAGTTCGAGTGTAAGTTTGACATAAAGAAATATTTCATGAAATATATGTATATATGTAATTCGAACATCCTTCATTTCTATATTAGATATGAAGACATCAAAGCTTTAAATGGTGGCAATGATGGCTTAAGATTAATCAAACCTATACTACTGTATGCATCTGTAGCTCTCAATGATGACGGATTCCTTATTTTAGAAATTGACTCAAGTCATTGCGAACAAATAAAAATGCTAGTAGAAGAAAATTACGCGGGTAAATTGCAATTTGAGAGCGTGTACAAAGACTTTAATGAAAACGATAGATACGTCGAAATTAAAAGAATTCATAGGTAGGATTGTTAGCGTTATATTAGCTGCCGATGATAGATTGTCGTTACAGACATTAAAAATAACAGTAGTTAGACATTGAATACTTATTGATTTAATGAGAATCGTGGAGACCAGAACAACAATACAGAGCTGATAGTCGTATGAATGTTTGTATTATGATTATTATTAATTGGATTTATGATTTCTGATCAGAGTTTGAAACTTGTAGAAAAAAGTAAATTTGTTTCATCAAGCATACTACTTGTGTTGTTTTAATATACTAATAAAAATATACATAGTGAAACTTATTACTTTTTTTGCCTATTATTTAAAATTTGTTTTAAGACGTATGTGCGTCTGTGAGTGTGCAAAATAATAAATTAACTATCTTAGCCTCGTCTCTAAACTTTAAGTCATTACTAAGTAAAACTTTTATGTTGACATATATGAGTAAATCCGCAAAATTTTTGAATTTGTTATTAAAAGAAACATTTTTTTCTCTTTTAGTTAACTTTGAATAGCATTAGAAAATATAAGCTCATGATTTTTTCAGAATCTTTTTGTGTAAAACAGCATAATTAAGCTGAACTTGAAATTTTTTAAATAAAGTCATTTTTAGTAGGTTGAAATTGTCAGATATTGAAACGAAAATGTATCAAATGATTTTTAGCAACAATTGAACTTTATTTGTTTTTCAATTGTTATAAATAATAATACAACAAATTATTTCAATTTTTTTTTCTTCACTGATGTTATCCATTGTAAAGCTAAATTGTGATAAATAAAATTTCCACGATACTAAATTTTTTGCACGACATTTTTTATATTTATTTACACTAATGTTATTTAGAGCCTTTCGCGCGTTCTTTTTTTTATGTTTTTCTGTTATTTATAACGTTATTTCTACCATTTACATACTAACTTGGAGATTCTAATGGATACATATAAGTCATGCTGTTTAAAATGGAATTCATACATCATTATTCATTGGTGAATAAAAATTGAACTTGCACCTATTTTCTCATAAGAACTGATAAACTTTTACTTATTTCAAGATATATCGGAAAAATTATCCGAAAAATGATTAAGCTCTTATACTATTATACAACACTAAACTTTACATACTTAATAGAAGTGATTATTTATGGCTCCAAACTTATATTAGTGTGAGTGATACATTTAACATCGTGTACTTTCTGTTGCTCTGTGACAACTTCTCCCACAATCTGGTACGAATTTTTTAGAGCTTGTTACAGGGTGCTTCCTTATCATTTACTTTTAGGCGGTTTCTCATAAATTGAGCTTCCTTTTGTTGCTCATAAATTTCTTGAGAGATGAATCCAGGTTGGGCTTTTAATAACCTTTTTGAGTACTCTCCGTCGGTCTCCCGTTAATTTCTTACGGATCGTTGAGTGTCTTTAATTCGCTAAAATAATTTTGTTTTATTTTAGGTTTAATTACTTCTTAATCTCTTTTGGAAAAAGAAGAGAGAGAAGAGCAAAACGGTAATTAGGATTATGTTTTTTCGACACTCCGTGCGGAAAGTGCGTTTTTCCCGCAAGCTCGGCAAAAAACGTGCGTTGACAATCGCACTTTCCACACGTCGTATAAAAAAATACGGCACGGCACATGTTCGGGAAAGTGATAGATAAACGTAATAACCAGCGATGGCCAATATACTTTCATTATTGTGTTCATTCATTTTGTTTACAAATAAATTCATTTTTTAACATCAAAAAACAGACCGAATTGATTTGTACTCCCAATAATAAACTATAAAATATAATTTCGATTATTCAATTATATTCATTTAAACTTATCATTCAATCTTTTCTGATTAATCAAATTTCTTTAAATTGGTAAACTCCCACTTTTTAGCCTTTTTAGTGAGCTAATTTTTTTTCGTAGTATCCTTTCCTGAGTATAAACCGTAAGCTTTCTTTTAATTTTCAAAAAGAGGTCAAAGGCCCCTTGCAGTATGCCAAAGCATCGTAAATGAGTCTAACTTTTTCCTTCTGTGAATGATGTACGACCTTCGCCCATATATACATAGTATGCACCAACACATACTTTCAATTTTTTTCTTCTATGATTTTGCTGGTCTTCACCGAGATTAGGGGGTCTTACATAATATTAGCCTTACATAATAGAACATAATTTTTTTCGGAATATTATGTATCTCTATTATTTTTGTGATAAAATCACAGTATTAGAGAAGTGTATCGAGTAAAAATGTAAAGAAATAGCAAACATTTAATTTTTTAGTTAATAATCACCTCAAAAATATTTTCGAATTTTGTTGATGTTTGTTATAATAATCATAATGTAAATGTAACGGAAAATTGAAAATTTTAATTTTTGAAATTCAACATTTCAATATTAAACATATTAAAATATTGAATGATAGATCGAACTGTATGTAGGCTAAAGAATGTTTCTCATTGCCATTTAAACTAAAGTGAAAATATTTTACATATCCATGCTTTTATATAATGTCGGCATATAATTGTAATCACTATATAAATCACATTAAACGCTTAACTGTAATCATTTTAATAAAACGGTTTTTATAAATAATTGAAAAATTATATATCTTTTCTTATTTCGACTGTTATTCGATAAACCAATATGTAGCATTTCTGAAATTTTGCATTTTTTGTAATTATTTTTGTAATCTAATATCCTAGCATTATTCTAATCAATCATGATACAAGGTATTCTTATACACCGTGATAACAATTTCATCCCAAGGTTTGTTTCATATTCCTTCACTCTCGACCCTAATGATCTTTTACATTCACTAATATAAACCGCTGGGCATTGTTACGTTGAAACGTATACACGATACCAGTGCTTTTTAACAACTTTAGATTTATCTTTTCCTACGCATATTATCTTTTGTGTGAATTTGCTGAAAATGAAGCTTAAGGTTGGGGCAATAAAAAGCAGGTTAATACGATTCAAGAAGTTGAAAATCAAATATGTGCAAGGCATAGGAAGATTTAGCAAACAAACATAAGATATAATAAAATTAGCCCGCAAGCAAATTATACCAAATATATGGATACATATGCCGAATGTCTCTATGGCTGAAGAAGAGATTGAGACCTTACGTATCATTCCAGAAAATAATATTTCTGAAGTATTATTTACTTTACTATTTTTATATGATATAATTTTAACGGTAGAAGAGTGTATCAACTTGAAATGTAAAAAGTTAAAAAATATTTTTATATCTTTTATTTAATAATAACCATAAAAACATTGTTGAATTTTGATAACATTTTGCTTATAGAAACATTAAAAATCTTTTCATTGATATGTAAGGCAGTTGTTTAATTGCTTATATCAATCATTTGCTGCAGATCATCATTATTTAAAAAACACGCAATATATTGAAAACATTCCTCCGGTATATCCCTGCTGATTAGTGAATTGAACGATTGCGAAGCGGATTGTAACAATGCCATTCTCTGATAAGTTTGCCGATACTTCAATCTTAGTATACTAGGGACTATTGTATATTCCTCTTTGCTGATCTGTGCAACCATCTCATCGAATCGTATACGATCTTCTATCGTCATACTATTGTAAGTTAATACCGTATTTTCCGATATCAAAAAGGCGTAAAGTGAAAACGGAAAATTTTTGTCATCTTTCAACTCCATGAGGATATTTAATTCTTTGTAGAAAAGTAAAAATACTAAATCCAAGCCCCTTTCCCGCAGATACATTTCTTCAAATTGTATTGATTTTCTCTCCTCGGTCACAGGCAGCTTGCAATACTCCATATGGTACGCATGCCTGGCTAAAATCACTGCAACAACACGAACCTGTTCCGGTGTTTTATACTCGTCGGAAACAGGAATATATCCAAAGATGGTTTTTCCAGATTTGTCTGACAAATTGATGTCCGCGCCAATATTCAACAGGCCCATCATGGACGGCCAATTGTCGTATTTCACCGCCAGGTGAAGGGCCGTTTGACCTACAAGTAACAAGAAATTGTTTCAATCAACAAATGCTATTACCGTGATTATCCCCCTCGCCCCCAAAAAGAGGCTACGGTTTCTTCCATACAAATAACTATACCTTTATCATCTTGGTGATCTACGTCACAGCCTCGTTTCGCTAACCATTCATGGATTTTCGTGAGATTCTTGACTATGGGATCCCGATGGATCCCGTGTGATCTGTAATGTTCAAACGTGATACATTAACCTACCCTTCAAGTGTAATATCCGCGTACGCGTAGAAGCTTACCAACAATGTTCAGGTAATAAAAGCGTATACGTACGTACTGTGTGCGTATAATTATTTTGCCATTAGTTTACAATGTACCTGTTGACTCCAAAGCGTCTACCATTATAGTCAATGGAAGCTAGATCGTGCATGATGCTGCGTCCTCCATTTTGACATCCAGTTTTCATTCGATTCTTAAATATTTCCCGTAAACGAATATTCTTCCAGGTTGGCTCATTTAGATTGAAAGAGAACAAGGCTTCCCCTATGCAACTCTCTCCAGTAACATGATTGTACATATCCAAATCGCAGCCAGCCTTCAAAAACAAATCGATTTCATCCAGCGCCGGGCAGTTCTTTGTCCTCATTAACATTTGAAAAGCCGTGACGCCTTGCACATTCGTTGCGTAAACGTCAGCGCCAAGGCTGAAAGTATTATTAAGAGTTCGTGATGTATTTGATTGCAGAATCCATATGTAATAAAGTATATTGTAATGTATTGTTTTTTAACATTTGAATAACGATGTATAATTTTGTTAACTTAAAATTACCGATATAATTTTGATTCGCGCTAATTGTAAAACAAGCTCAGCATATTATATTTTGCTAATAAACAATCAATTAAGTTTCAATCTCTTACGGCTTATTATTGCTTATTATTTATATACAGCATACATCAACCGTAGATTCCGTTCACACGAAGAATGGGTAAAAGAAACTTTAGTTGTCTATACTTTTATGCATGAGTTGATCTATTACCTAATTAATTTGGAGCATAAATGGTAACGCATTGATACGCTTGGCAGTTGAACAGCTTCGATTAATGGAGTGTTGCCACAAACATCTTGTACGTTAACATTAGCATTATGACTTATCATTTTATCCAGCGATCTTAAGATAATTTTCTCAACTCTCAAGTCATGCGTATGGTAAGATTTCACAAGCAGATGTAAGGCTGTGCTGCCAGGATAAACTGGGCAGGATATGTTGATAGCTTGATTAACGTCGAATTCACATTCTTCCAAATACTTCTTGATCACCGCTTCTATATGTGTCGCGCACGCGATGTGAAAATGCGAGATTCCTTGGCAATTGGTCGAGTTGACGGTGAAGTCGGCCAAATCGAAGAGGACCGAAATCAAGTTGGAAACTCTGCATAATTTCTTGGCACCGTAATTCAAGTTGATCAAATGAAGCGGCGTATCGCCGTCCTCCTCTTTCGTCGTCAATAAAAGAGCTCCGTGTTTTGTCAGCAATCGGACAATTTCAACCAACTGCAAGACGAAAAGCACATTGACAGTTTTGCCGTACAATTCGTCAAGCACCCTCCGGGCAACACAGTGAAGCGGCGTGTACCCTTGCCATATCGTCGAGTCAGTGTGAACTTTGGAATTGACGTTGATTCCGCTCGTGATCAGCTGTTCGACCAGTTGGCGGTTGACGAGGAAACAAGCGAGATGGAGATCCAAAATGCCCAATTCGTTATTCAGGCGAGCCTTTATCGCAGCGTTCTCGTAGAATGCCTTGTAGCACTGGTTGCGGAAACACCGTTGGCTCAACAAGCATTCCAGCGGGTTAACCACTGTCACCTGTTTGTCCGATATGTCGATGTTGTGTTCGATCAACAGGAAAGTGATCCTGATCAGATCTTCGGTTTTTCGATAGCCTTCGCGCCACAGGAAATCTATTGCCCCGTAATTGAAAAAAGGCTTCGTCGTGAAAATGGGCTCTACGTGCTTGTAGAAGCCGTAATAGTAGTGGGGCAAACGTTTGCTACACGGTTGTACACATTGCTCATACAGGCGACTGTTGACGTCCGAGCCGGCTTCAAGCAATTTTTTAATACAGTCGAAATGCGAAAAGTAGCAGGCAACGTGCAGATGATTGAGGTGTCCGCGCAGAGTCGTGCGCTCTTCCAGACCCTCATTGGACAAGAGTACTTCGTAAATGTTGTCCTTATAGGCCGTTTGGAATATCAGTGTATGCAGAGCCGTGAAGCCATTGATATCCGTGATATTCACGTTGACGCCGTTCGACAATAAATGCTGGACGGATAGCCGATGACCGACGGCGCAAGCAATGTGAAAGTGCGACACAAGATTCTTGTCGCTTGGATTTTCGGTTAATTTGCATTGATAATTCAGCAACATTGCAATAATGTCGTATTTCCTTGCGTAGAACGCCACATGAATTGGCGTCATGCCTTCGGCATTTTTCGCCATTATGTCGGCTCTTCGATTCATGCATATTTCAACGATATCTATGTCGTTAAAATCGGTCTCAGGCGGCTTCGCCTTCTTGGGTATAGCCGCTACCATGTGTAGCACAGTGTAGCCAGGCCACAGTGTTGAGTCCAGCGGAACGAATGTAGTTGGACTTATTAGGTTCGTCGATCTCACGAGTGAAATGAAATCATTCGGGTTCTTCAGGGCATCAAGAAGATCTATTAATTTCGTTTCCCCGTTTGACAGAACAATGTTTTGCCATTCTTCTGACACGCTAACTAAAGAAAAAATTTCCTCTAGCGTGTACTCATAATGCAGCGATTGCACATTCTCCATCATGCTGTTAGTGGCAAAACGACTATTATTAATCTCTATATTCAAACCGTTGTGACGTTCCTATGTGACAAACAAGTTGCCGAATGGACAATTACAATTTTTACGTCTTAATTAACGTCTCAATTCTATAAATTTTATTTCCTACTAAGATTCGATCGAAAACAACTGTTCCACAGCGATATATCGAATAATTAAACAACTGCTCACTGATCCGGAAAGCTCGACCAAAATATTGATTGTCCGTTAAACGCACACTTCGCCACAGTTTAGTAGCCGAGAGCCGTACGTAGTTTCGCTGTTTATTATCGTTTCGCTGTAACCACCGGCCCCTTAGCGGTTATTAGAAAACGTTTCTAATGATGATGACTGCTTATATACTAGTTCGGGCACTTCAATCGTCTATTTAAAAATGACAAAATTGCACTGATCGTTATATACACTTTGAAATGTCTGGCCAAGTTTTATAGTCAACTGCGGTTATACTATTTGGCCGTAGTTTGTCGGGTGTCGACTGATCTCAACGATTACAACGTATATACTGCGCGAACTAAGTCAAGAAAATCGTCTGTGCACGGAACAAAGAGTCTCGTGCCACTCAATCGAATGATGTACGAATCTCAAGTCTGTAGAGTGTGTTTATTCATGTATGAAGTTGCTTAGAACAACGAAACAAATCTATACATAACATTTCAACTTTATATACAATACAATAATAAATCCGCATTCAAAGATCTAATCTTTGTGTAAGCTTCACTTTTCGACGTGATCTAATTGTTATAACACTTTTATTACAATTAGCAATATTTACATATTAAATTATTCTCGGGAATTTCATCATTGTTAACAATATTTGAATTATTCGATTAAGTATAACTTGTGTGTTCTTGAATCATTTAAATTTTAATTGCTATTGAGTGTATCAGAATTTGTTTCTTATTTCCTGATAACGTGGAGTCTCTATATTCATCGTCTTAATTGTAACCAACGATTGAAGTTGCTATAACAAATCTGTGGTATTTAAAAAATTGAGATATGACAATTTAACTCATAAAATCTCGCCACTCAATTGTTTATTCCACTAAAACTGTTTTTCTAATACATCTACAGAAATTTAAAAACAGATTTTTGTAAATTTAAAATATATTAATTATAACCAATGACGTTGCCGTTTAACAACAACAAAAACGCGTTCAAACCGTTAATTGTTCAAACCGATGTTACCTGTTTTTAATAACAATTTCAGACTCAGTTAAGTTTATCAAATAATTCCTCATTTCATCAGGAATCTGCTGGTTCTTGACAAATGTAAAAAGCTGATTAGAATCAAAGATATGGCTCAATTTCTACGAGAGCAAAATTCGGCTACAGCAAACGCGAGGACCGTTCGGACACACGCATGACATTGTACTTAGTCATCCGGATTTTTTCGTAGATTTACAATGTCTCTAACTCTAATTAGCATTTGCGCAATTTGAAAAATTTCGTGTGTTCGTCATGAAATAAAGTATCGTTTTACTTTCTCCGGAACCATGCACTTTGTTTGTAAAATCGACTACAAGTACATAATCCCGAGGTCTGCTCCATCGCATGGTATGGTTGAAAAGTCGTTTATTGAAATTTGTTACGGCAGTAACAGCACAAGTGATGCTAAGCGTTGTTGGCCGTCCAAAAGAGGTGACTACTCTGGAAATGATCGACGGAGCTCATCGACGATCGAAAATGCGTGAGATCAATGAGGCTCTACACTTTCAGTAAGGTGTACATGGAACGTTTTACATGAATGTTTGAGGACACGATATTTATTAGCAATATAATGAAAGTAAAGATATTATTTGAATAAAATAAGCTATATGCCTTTTCTCTGGGAGATGGCAATTTGTTTCATAATTTTAACGACAACGAACCAAACGTTCCGTTCCGCCTAATCCTACCCTAGATTTTTTCAACTCTCCAATCGTTATAGAATTAGTATGAATTTAACGAAATAATAATCTGAAATAAGAAAATCACGTCATCGGTCATTAGACAGCTCTTGACGCGAGCATTGACGCGAGCATACGTGTTTACGAGGAGCTCTACGCTGTTGTGCTATTGTTTATGTAAACGAGCCCGTGAGAACGTCGCTCCGCGATTTGCGCTTAGAGAATTTGGTGTGTATGTTGTGAATTTATCAATCGTCAGCATTGTCGCAATGCACCAGTAGTGGCGAGATGACCGCCCACGAATGGAGGCCTCAGCTTACCTGAGCCACAGAACAAAAACCAAAAAAATGTCCAGTCGGCAAAAAGTATCAGAAACGAGTAAGAAAACACAGTGATCAAGCATAGCTAAAACAGAAAACGCCGTACTTGTAGATCAGTTGAAGACCTAACTAGTGACGATTAATTAAATAAAATAGAAAAACACATGAACCTAAGTTACGTAATGTCGGAGAGGGGCAGAGTATGTGTTTAGCAGACAGCGAAAAGATAAGCAAACTCAAGAATAAAACTGCGTAAATAAAAGATGATATATTAAAGATTAGACCACTCATAAGCTTCCAATATACATCCAATAACATTTAACTTTATTGTCCAATCGTTGACGTTTAAAGAAGTAATTATACTTTCAAGCAATAATAAATAAACCAGGCACATCTCATATGTCTTTCAAAAGGCTATCCTCTTATTTATCTTATTCAAACGTAAATAGGAGCACGGTCGATTGTAGGAGCACGGTCGATTGGAGGCAGCCATATTGAGACATTTTATTCGTCAGCCGATCGGCTGTCGATGGCGTAGCGCGATGGCGGACAGATTTTTATTTATTTATTACTTTGTTATTATCGGTCAAGTCGAAGAGCTAAGAATTTTCGTGATTGATATGGTAAAATTATGGTAACGTATTTTGATATTCTAATTCCGTTTAGAAAAGCGTATAATGGTTAATTAGTACATATTACAAATTTAAATGTTATAAAAACTACGATGAGTTTGCTAAGAAACAGTGTAGCACTTGTACACTTTCTTTTTTAGTACGCAATGAATATAGAAATTTTTCATCAATTGCAGAAATATATATAATTACAACCAAAACACTGCATATTCACTCTCAGGGAAACGACTACATTTTTAAAAAGTTAGTGTTCATAAGCATGAACTTATAAAAGAACGTGAATAACTATCATCACATATCTTATAGTTTACACTCGGCGGTACCACAAACTACACATACCTATCTACAAACTCTATCATAGTTACCGCTAGAAAATCTTTTTCCAGGGTTCCTAGAAATTGTCCCATTTAACATAATGCAATATTTTCTAGGGATCCTGAGAAAAAATTTCCAGTGGCAACGCTGGACTCTACATCATGCTTTATATGTAATCAAATTGGACATATATTTAAGACCTATCCCAAGGCAGATGAAAATAATTCAACACAAATGATGAACTCTCAACGTTTTTGCTCACGTACAAATACAGAATCCGATGCCTCCACCACCACTCAAAATAATTGACACTTAAAGAAGAAAGGCACAATTAAAAGAGCTTACTCGTCAATCTATAGGAAATTAACCAGCACAAGAATAACAGAAGTGATCACTGCATCTCAAATCGTAAAAGAATATGAATCAATATAGAAATGAATTTATCTACAAACATTGAGTGCAGTGCTCTAGAAGTCAAAGTGACTAAACGTAAAAAAAAAAAGAAAGGCCAAAGGGGAATTTTCACCTACAGCTGACTTGAACAGCACGATCGAAGAGATTATAAAAGTTGCACCGACGATGTTTTAAAAGAATCAACTAGAAAAATAGCCCATTAATGATGAATTTAGCTATAGTCAAAAAGATGGGCGCGAAAAAGCAGTGAAAAATTATTCAAACGATATTCAAGAAATAAAAAATGTTATTGAAAATGTATATTCACCGATATAAGACTCTATAATTAAAACTTGACTAAAAAAACTAAAGAATAAAATATCAGCACACGATACTAACAACGAGATTGAGCCAGAGCTGTCAGCAACCACAGATATCGACTACTTAATGACGGATGCAATACCGAATGACCATTCAAATGAAGAATATAACGGATAACAAGACTTTGACAAATGAGAGCTTGAATTTTAAAACAATCTACTGGAATGAGATAAGAACATAAAAATTAAAAAAAAACACTTTGTAATTCCGGCTTAAAGAGAACGATATTCTAGCCTGCGTGAAGTCTTGGCACAGCGAGACGTCATTCAACTTTTAAATTTCAAAGTTCGTCTATAAAAAAGACGTTTTCAGACTATACAAAAGGAGGTATTGTTTTACTCACGCAAAAATACAGCCTTCAAGGAAATTGTTAATGTAAAAATCTCAGCCAGCTCACTCGAATTATTTGCAATCCGTATGTCTTAAGGAATATTAAAGAAAAATATGCTTAACAACACAAATCCCACTGTACGTCAAATGGACCTTGTTAAAGGAAAAAAGTAATTTACTAATTGCTATACCGAGAAATGCAAACCATCATTTGATCGTGAAAACTTACCACCATGTGATTTAATTGGAACTGTCGATCGATGCAGAGCCAATCACTATGATTTAACAGTATCTCTATCAAGAGTTTTAAACTCTATATGCGAATGTTTGACATCGAAACAAGACTTTGATCACATTATCTGACACCCCCATCTTACACTAAACAGCAAGCAATTTAACTAGAAACCTAAGTAAAACCAAAATGCTTCTCCCAATGCGAGCATCAATCATACTTAACAAACCTAACATGATTGCGTGGATATATTTACTGAAATTATTTAAGAAATTTAATATTAATGTATAATAGAAAACTGTAATATTATAATACCTATGAAAAACTAATAAATCTTATGTAAGATTTGAATGCAATAAAAAGAAAAGTAAAATTAACTTCCGCTGATTGACATGAAAATAAGGTGTGCTGATCAAAAATTGTTCGTTATGCTCAGGTCAGACCGCTTCCGCCTGGCTGCACTACCAGGCATTGTAAGATTGTTAAATGATGGCGTGGACGGAAATATATTAGACATAGAAATGGAAAAACGATTTTTAATCAATATCATTGTTCCAGAAGTGATCATATAGCTTTTTACTCGCCATGTACATCTACTTATTGAAGATTTGGAGTGAGCAAACTGTATATGCATTAATAATGATAACATAACTGATAGGACATAACGATAACAACTAGTAGATACGCAATTAGAATATTTTATTAAAAATATCGACAAATATGATTTACGAAATTAATTATATATGAAAATTGAAACATCGGCAGACTATTGCGAAAATTAAATTGTTACAGAATATGTTTTAGTATCGTTTAATTAACTAATTAAGTGACAATTAATTTACTATTACTTTCTATTCAATTGCGAAATTACGTAATATGAATTGTCAAAATCGTGAGTTTCTAATATTGACTTATGTTATAAACGTTATATTATGTTATTATACTATATGTAAGTATGTTCGTGCATGTGAAATGGTACGAAATATAATCGAGTATAAGTAAGCAAGATGTAATAATATGTAAAAAAGAAATAATCGACCTAAGATGTTATTTTATTAAAGTGACTTTTATATGAAAATGCTATCCAAAAATAACTTTTCGACCTATATATATATTGAAATAAATATATTTGTTTCTGCTTATTTGATAACCCGATGATTTGTATAAAACCCCTATAATTATCTAGGCATAAAAATGATAGAAATTTATTCTTGGCGGTTTTGTGTGATACGATTTCAACTACAGAGCAATATTGATTGGGAAACGTAAGACACTGAAAAAACAATTTACGTATATTTTATTTACATAATTACCTTCAAAACTGACACATTATCTCTGTTAGTTAATCTTGTATTTAAGTACAACTCAGACTTCACAGTCCCGATGGGTAACAGTGCTCGCTGTCACCTCGTGTGAAAATAAACGACAAAGCACAAATCTATTTCTCTCGCTTCTTTATACATATGCGTTTTACGTATACATATATATACACATATTCACATGAAGTAATCAGATATATTCTCACGATATAACTTATTACGGCAATGAATATCTTTTTATTCTTGCACTCATTTACATAAATAGCCGCCAAAAAATGTTATATTTCACTTATAATAAATTTACCGCTAGAAACAAATCATCTTACTTGAATGATCATTATCAAAAGTAATTAGAATTTATGAATATATATTTTTTTCAGCAACGTTTTCTTATTCAGATTGCAAAAACTTTTAATTTTACAAATTCATTTTTTTATTATCAAGAAACGAAATAAAATTTGACAAGTATTCAGGGAATATTTAAGCAAAAATATGATCGCTTCAACTAAGAGTTATTTAGATTTGTTTTTAATTTTTTTTGGCAATGATACATAGAAAGAAAGAAATTATGTGGACAACGATATTTATTATAGATTTGTCAGAGATTAAGATATATACTATGATTTTTTCGGAAGAAACAGTGATAGTAGTTATGCTAATTTTGTTATAAAAATATAATTATAATTTAACATTTGATTTTAAATATTTTTTTTTCAACATACAATTACTATACTTAATCAACTAAATTTTGATATGAATGATTAAAGGTACCACTAGTGAAACACTGTAAAAAACGTAGCTTTTATGGCGTTTACAATAGAGGTCATAACATTTTTTTATTTGCAAACCGTCGTTATCAGCCTCGGTTCATCGTGTTAAAAATTTCAAAATCATAAACAAACTACTAACAACGGCGGTTCACGTTGGACGCCACGGTAACGGCGTTAACTAACCTAAAGATTTATTAACCAACCGTTACAGTATTTCAAGATTAAAAAAAAATTCACAGTAATGTTTTTATTAGAACAGAAGCTCTCTTGATTTCATTAAGAAATATTTGAAATATACATGTAATCTAGTAGAAATAATGATTGTTTAAACTCAATTAAATATATTCAAATTTCGAAAATTCGACATTCAAAGCATACAAGAGAATCATGTCACATCATTATAAATGTGATCAAACATTCAACACGTTTGGTTTTTGAATTTGAAAAACGTTAAATAGACATTTTTTTAAGAGCTATGTCTTACATTCAACGACTTGGAATAATTTTAATTGTTTTTGGCAATGATTTATTTATAATTTCTTGATTTTCCATAGACTGCCAATTAAATTCAATTTCTAATATATACGCAAACCTGTAAATTTGATTGTTCGAAATGCTTGTTTACATTCTAGATTTGTACGTTTTCTACAGAATCAGAAAAAACTTTATAGATTAGATTAGATTGAAATTTATTAGTGTATACTTGTTTTATCATACTAAAAATTCGATAACATTATATATGTTAGCGTTAGTTATCGAGTATGGACGCAGGCTGTATAAAACTAATTTACTCTCTTATTATGAAAATAATCTTCCATTTGCCTTCAGACGCAGCTCTGACACTCTTGTTTTGTACTGGTCATAAAACATTTATCTAAAACGTAAAGTGTCAATGATGTGCTGAGAATTCTTATAGCCTTTAGTGATTCTTTCCATTTCTGAGTAACTCACGCGGAATCATATCATTTATTATATTTATAACGTGATTTGTTTGATAATAGGCGGCCATTTGTGTTAAATACATAAAGATGGCATATGATGGAATTTACTAGAGGAAAGTTACGTGATCAGTTAACTCCTTTTTTATCATTTTTACAAACAGCTGATAAAAATTAATATATTTTGGTGTTGAAAGGCTAAATAAAAAGAATATTTCACGTAAACTTCATCCTATTTTCTACAACATTTTTAAGGGGAATAAGATATGATTTGAACATCTAAAGAGAAATAAATTTTATAGTAATATCATTCTTTTTGAGTAGAAAAATATCTATGACAACTAAATTTACGAAAAAAAAGACTGATTTCCATTTCAACGCAATTATTTACATAAGTACAAATGTTTTTTTCTTTTTCAAACTCAATACAATGCTTGCCTCGCATGTCAGTGATTACTTAACATAAGTTAACGCTTTTTTAAAAGCATTTTAACAATCTGGAGTTAAATAAAAAAGTTATAATAATAACCACTGATTTTCTTATTTCAATTTTAATATTATTCTTTCTGATATAACCACTTTATAGCATTTAGACATACCCGAAAATATCAAGAAAACATGTTTCTGGGTTGTTCTAAATAGCTAATATTACCGCGCCACTTGCAATATTAATACACATCATTAACATTGATAATAATAACATCCAAACTTTTCTCATATTCTTTTTCTTGATAAGGTAACACCTACAATAACACGGCTTGATGATAGAATGATTTTTAATAATTAACGCATTTCATATCACACCTTTAACTTGGTTGTTACTTCTTGGCCTATCTTTTAAAATATAAATAAATTTTTTCTCTATAATAAATTACTTGAATTTGAATACGTTTGATTAATTATTTTATGTATAAAGAAATGTTCAATAGAAAAAATATAGATGATCATTGAAGTTTGAGGATTTTAATTGACAAGTTAATCAATTAAACAATTATTAACGTAAACCGAGCAGAGATTCTTTGAGTATCATGTTTGTATCTTGCCTTAGAAGTCTTCAGGACAGCGAGTTTGTGGTATGCGACCAGCGCCTTTTATACCATTTGTCACATTTTCACAAACATGTACAACAATTCCTGGATAATTTGTTCCTCCTGGATGAAGTTCATGACTTTCTCCTGAATCGAAATAAAATCATATTAGTATTTACAAAATCCTTTCTTAAAATATGAATTATTTGTTATTTACCTGGAGTTAAGTTTGAAAGCGCAGCTAGCAAATCATGATTCACAAGGGGCTCATTTTCTTGTGAAGGCTCCCAACCTAATGGAGGGGATGCTGGAGGTGATATTAGGAACTGTTTGTGAGGAGCAGGGAGCTGCAAATGACGATCTTCGGCGTCTGTAAAAAGAATAATAAATATAACAACTACTTTTTCACTAGTCCATGCAGAATATACAACTATGCCATACGCTCAACGAAAAATGTACGCTCAAATTCGCGCTTTGCACATGTTGCTTTCAAAAATACCATTCCTGTACATATTATATATAGCATATACAGGAGAGATTCTTGTCTCATGTCTTTTCACCCATGCTTCACTCAGGTATAAACCTCACGTGAGACAAGAATCTATTTTTCGACACTTGTATTGTAATGTACTATTCTTGCACAGTTAGATAATATTTAATTATATTTTATGAAATTTATTAAAATTAAGTTTTATGATAATACATACCAATGGGTGTCACTGGCTGAGCAAAGTAACAATTGATGTCAGTATCACCAAAGTGGTATTGGTGCAACTGTATTCTAGCTTGAGCAGCTGCACTTGGTGAACTGTAGTTGACTCTCATTCTTCTGAATGACTTGAAATATTGAAATGTGGCATCCTGACCAAACTGTTTAAACAATTTCTCTATGTCTCCCTATTGAATTTAATAAACATTTACAGTAAACATATGATACCAATTTTATAATAAGTCATTTTTAAATTAACCTTAAGATCATCAGATTTGAAAACACAAGGATCCACATTAGTAACAATAACAGACATTGGTAGGTCTTCATCAAAAATCAACTCCTCCAAAGTTTTAGATGAAAGTTCTTTTTGATTTTGTTCTTTTATACAATTGAGTTCTTCCAACTGTTCAAAATTTGGATGCAAATTTGGTAAACCATCTACTTCATTGATAATGATATTCTCTGAATCTTCTGGCTCTTCATCCTCTCCTACACATTTATTCTTCTTTTCCTCCATGCTTTTGTCAATAATCTATTTTTTGTAAAGAGTAATTATTGCTGCAATCAATAGTATAGTTTTTTCAATTGAATATTTAAGTTTGAAGTACTTTGGAAATTCAGGCTAACTTTGTAATCCCAAGTTTGTTATACTGATACAAAACAAAACAATTAAAATCAGAAGTTTGTTACGAGTGTGACTAATTGTAGACAATAGCTCATTCAAATCTGCACTTATGGCAAAAGTGAAATACTATGTTTACAGTGTTCATATCAGCATTGGGTTACATAGCTGGGTAGATTGATTTTATTAGTACAACACGGTATGTATAAACTTCTAAATAAACAAGGAATTAGTAGAAGATTTCCACATACTCAGACCAATACAAAAACGTTAAATATAAAAATAATACATATCAAAACTAAGAATGAAAACTTTGAAACGTCGTTGTAACAGTGATGTTATATGTATATATATATAAATATACACACGCACGCGCGCGCATGCATACACACACACATACATTACTACACTGTAAAACTTGAGACAAGATTAGTACTATAGACATATGCTGCTCTTGTCCGAAAAGCTAGACAATTACAATCCGCGAATCGAAGAAACGCTCACCTATATGCAATTACAAAATCCGGTCGAGCTTGACGCTACTGCAAGCTTGTTGTTATTGGAAGCTCGAGGAGCTGACAAGAAGCTGGTCGCGGTTGTCCATGGAAGTTGTCGGGTTATTTCTTTTTCTAGCGCGCGCACGGCACAGCTGACTAGAGGTTGCTGATGACGAGGCACAACATTTCGCTTTTGCGATCTTCCTCCTTCCACGTCTTTGTTTGTTAACCTTGTTACATTAATTTTGTGGCTCTTCTGACTAAACCATTCAGTTAATAATTTTTCAATACATGCTTTCAATCTGAGTTTCTGCTGGTATTACCTATCTTTGCTTTAATTCTCGCGAGTCTCTCCGTCTGCACTATGAGGGTGGGTTCGCATGATCACGTCTCGCGAGCTTTTAGATTTTCAGCGCTATTCACAATTGCGTCTTGTATTTGAATGAGATACTGGTTTTTTTTATTTCGGCTTGTAATTGTCATAAAAGCTGATAGGGTTTATTTTGTTTGTACAAATTTTTTAATTACTGATATTTCAAAATATGGTTGACTAAAACCCATAACTCGTTCATTCTGAATAAGTAAACTATTTCTGTTTAAATGGTTATATAAGTATTTTAATCGAAAATTTAATCGAAGCTTTTAGTTTTAGGTAAAATAAGTTTTTGTTAAAAGTCAGCTGATTATTTATAAAAACAATGACTTTAAATATATTCTTCAAAATTATCGACACATGTAACAATTGGCGAATAAGTGTATACGGGTATGTACAATATGAAAATTCCAGCACATCATATTTCAGATTAGTAAATTACATCCATCAATGTGAATACCCCCTGATAGTTTGAAGGTCCGTTTGCACGTGGGCAGCAGTCTCGCAACGCCCTTGCAGCACGCAGCAGCAGCGCAATAGCGAGAAAATTTTTAAAAGTTACCCGCAGTTCGGCGTGTTGTTGCAGTGTGTAATGAGACCAGTGAGGCTGCGAAAGTGAATTATCGTTGCCGCTTGCATTGTAAACTAGAAAGTTGCGTCTCTTCGATAAGTGCGAAAATAGTTTACTCGCTCGTGGAATTCAAAAGGCAAATCATTAAACGGGTATTTTGCGGTGAACATACGTTGTGAACGAGAGAGAGAGAGCGAGGAGAGAAAGGGGGAGGAATATAGTGCGGTTTATCGTGCTATATGAATTATCGGCGACAAACGTCAGCCATAATTACAGCCGAGAATGTTTTTAAAGTTGCTCTGAGGTTAGTATAGGTGCCAGACTTTTTTCTACACTTATGCAAACAGCCGTCCTCTCATCTCACGTATTATCTGTAAATTGATGCCACAAGCGACATCATATATCGAGACGAAAGGAAAAACAAAAACTCCAGTTCTGAGAATAACATTGTGCCGCACGTGTCCCGTCTGGCGCGTTCTATCTCTTTAAATGTTCAAAATAAGCACATCAAGAAACGATACTAACAGAGCGTATATAGGCTTTTGGAATAATCATATGTGTAGAGAGCAAATGGAAGTAGGAGCGAAATTATGCGATGAAGAGGTTCAGCCGACGGGTCCGCAGGGCTTTGAATTATCATCATACAAGTACATCTGGCGCTGTAGCTGCAGCAGCGGCGCCGTCTGTAGATGAGGATTCGTCGCATGAGCAACAGCAACAAAACATGTCCACCTCGACGATGGAGGGTTCGCTCAGCAAATGGACCAACGTCGTCAACGGCTGGCAATACCGTTGGTTTGTCCTAGATGATAATGCCGGCCTACTTTCCTATTATACGGTAAGCCCCGGCTTATTCTATTTTTCACCACTTGCGCTGTCATTGCGATTATTGATCTGAGCCTTCGTGAGGTTAAGTACAGTATTTTGATGTTCATTTGTTTTTATTTAACTTGGAATAGTAACTATTTTTTTTGTTTTTCAATGAAGTTCCTTTCTTCTACCTTTCTTTTTTGATAGAAAGTGCTGAACTAAGAGATTCGTTCGAGTTCGATTATTGGGGCTCAACCCTTTGCCGCGAGACACTTGTCAAAGTGTCAAGTACTCTACTTGCTCGATGACTTTTCAAAAAGGCACTTGTTCGCCTTTTACACGTTGCATGAGCAGGTCAGAAACGTTTGATACATGAGCTTCGACTGATTTTTGATACCTTGTATATTATATTCGCGTGTAATGATAAATATTTGTGGGCTAAAGTGTAAATTTGGAGCAATAGGTTAGGGATATGACTGATAACTTTGGCAAAACAATAATATTGTTGTAGAATTTTTATGTGTTAACACTTCTTTTTACAAGTTTTACAATTCAATTTTTATTGATACATCTTTTATATTCTTTTATTTCACAGAATATCAAGAATTTGCAACTATTATTACAGAATAAATTAGATAGAGTTCTATAAATTTATCAACAGTCAAGAATTGATTGTATTTAATTTAGTTTCTTACTTTCAATTTGAAGATTTATTGCTTTCTTTTATATATAAAGTTCAGAATCTTGTGTGAATTGAAAACCTGACATTCTATCTAACACTTAAATTATTTACATTTGGCATTTTCATTCAAATATTTACATAATTCAGTGTGTTTTCTTAAATTATGATTGAAAAAATATACAAAAGCTCTTAACTCGTTGATTGGTTATCTGGTTATGCAATAATGTCATGAGGTCCATTCGCAAACAACCATTTTCAATGTTACGATTGTTTATGATTAATCAACTACTAAAATGAAATAGGTACATTAATGTCACATAATTTATCTATACTTGTTGGTATAAGACTTTTGAATGAATAACTTATTCTTTTTGTTTGCTAAGTTTTACACAATCATATTACATCAAGTTTTGTTCCTATTTAATTTTGAAATGTCTTACCCCTAGTTTGACAGTCGAGTTGAAATTGATATGAATAAGTATTTTTTTATATTTAAATGAGCAGTTACTTGAATAGATTGTTTTAAAATCTTAAAGTAACTTGACAGACTTGATAATGTATCAATCATGTCGTAACAAGCTAAATTGTAATTGTAGTACTGTAGAAAAATTGGTAGTCACTTGGTTTTCTTTTTTAGTAAACTACAATACATTAAAATTTGGCTTATAGTGTTCAATATATTTGAAACTTTAACTCTTCTTTGGTTTGTCAGTTTTGTTTTTATAATTTTTCCTATAGAAGTTGTAGAACAGGGTAAAGTTGATAACAAGATTGGTGAACATAACAATAGCACCCCACTGAGGTACAACACAGCTTGGGAAGAAAGCCTGTACTGTGTGGCCCAAAAGGAAGAAAAATTGCACCTAAAATGAAAATGAATGAATGTTACAGATTAGTTGAAAGAATCTTATTGAAAATGTCAACTTGAGTACGAGGATTTAATTTTTGTTACATGTAACTGGAATTTTTGCAAGTGATTAATTTATAAATCATGAAATAATTAATAACATTCACTTAATTATTAATAAATCATTCACAAATGAAATTGACTGGCCAATAATTTCTCACTAGTCAGTGTCTCTTTTCAAGGTTGTTCAAACACAAAGAAAGAAAAAACAATTCAGATTATTTAGCACTTTGCTTCAAATGATAAATTAGCTACTTTAATCATAGAATAATTATTTAAATAATTATCGCGTAATTAAAGCAAAGCATTGCCTCAAAATTGTCGGTGTAGTAAAGAAAAACGAGAACGGCAAACAAAAAAATAACATGTTAAATTTGTCTCACCATCTGCATGATAGTGATGTAAGGCTTAATAGGGTTGATGACTCGCTGAACTTTGGGGCCTAAACTGCTGAGATAATAGTAGGTGTACATAATCACGTGGATAGTGGAGTTAACAGCCATGGGTACCGTCGCCATACCACCTGGATAGAACTTAACTGACATTTGCGTGATGTATATCGTTGAGATGTGATGATAAACGTGAAGGAACGACACTTGTCTTTGCTTTTTCCTCAATACAAACACAACAGTCTCGACCATATCGATGATTTTTAGTAGGAGTACCCAATAGAACAGGTTGGCCAACTGAAAATCAAAGCGAAAAATTGTTTACAAAGGACAATACTTGTGCGGAATAACGGTGACACGATAAATTAAGCTCAAGGTAAGGCAATTCAACTCCACCATGAAGAGCGACTCGTCGCTATTTCGTCAACACTTGTTACAAACTCATTAGTCATTATAGGCGAAAAAATTTAGCTCTCGGTTCACCACAAAATTATCATGTTTTTCGTACGGAAAGCAAAGCAAAAAAAGGAGAAAAAATCTGTCGTCTGTTGGCGGATGTCTTGCCTATATTACACAATCGTTTGCTTCTGAAGAAATAATGTCGTTTGGTTGCGGAACGGTATTAAAACATGAATAATTCCAGGAGACAGCGGTGCCGATGAAAGAAAAAAATCGCTTCGTTGATAATCTGTTATATCACTATCGTCGCAGTTTGACCTGCGCGCGCTTTTACCATATATTTCCATCATTGTATGCAGAGCACCAGCTTCGCGCGCGACCATTGCGAGCAGTAAAAAAAGCGAAGGAATCCGTTGGTCGTTTGCTAATCTTCCGGGCGGAAGTCAGGCCGTGAAAAGTGTTTGATCGAGGATAAAAAACTTACGTCCATGGGTACACCGGTGGTAGATCTGTCGACAAAGACACAGCCAAAACCAATGTCTGAGAAAAGACCATATTTGACGCACGAGTATACGATCCATGCGTTGTACACGATTTGAAAGATATTGTAGTATTTGATGAACGTTTTCAGGCTGTACGCTGGCCTTTTTTCCATGAAACGTGGGCCACAGCGCAGTACAAAGTACAGGTAGCCGGCGAACATCACGTAGATCGACCATTCGTGTTTCACCGGCCACCATTCTAATGTCCGATCGTCTGCAACAGAAGAAAGCGTGATAGTGTCAATGGTTGTTTTCGTTATCGTGCATCAACGTCAGATTCGTCGATCATGAATTGCAAATTTGCTACCTTTCTCGTCGCGGTACATGGCTGACGTGTGCGAATGACAGAAAAAAATGAACTGACGACTGCGAAAAATTTCAGCCAATTAAAGTGAATTCCCGCGAAGGTTGTTATAAATTGCTGATAACCTAATAGATAATGCGTAATAAATGGACGTATTGCTTGCACCCACGAGCACGAACGCGAGTACAATTCGTATTTAGCAGTAGCGACATCAGCGCGTGTGCACAGTGAGCCGCGTATTCTTTTCGGACGAATTGCAAAAAGGTAAACCGAAGCATTGCAACACGCGCACGTAACGCTCTCTCACTGTTGTTATACTTCGCTCCTTTTTCTTCACTTTCAACAAACAACTAAATTTTTTCATTCTCGACGTCATCAGTCATTCCATTCTCTCTCTCTCACACACTCTCTCTTTCTCTCTCTCTCTCTCTCTCTCTCTCAACTAGTTTAATTTTTTCGGTACTTTTCGAGCACTTGCAGTTTTTTTTTCTCGACACTTGCTCTCTATTCCAGTGAAAAGTGAAGTTAGTCAACGGAAAAGCCATGATTACCGAGGACAGTGGTTTTGTAGCTTTCGACCATAGAATTAAAGAGATCCATCTTGAAAGTATCTGTGGGCAGTTTGGAGGAAAACTATCGGTACGAAACGGCAGAGAAAAAGCTAAGGCAAACTGAATTGAAAGAAACCTAAACTAAATCAAAACTTAAAAAACAACAAGACAAGCTCGGTGGCCAGCAGCTATTGGAAGCTCGACAGGATCACCAGAAGCTCGCCTCACAACTAGCGATCGTCTCGATGTCAAAAGACTGACTGAACGTCGCGTTGAGAAGACTCGCGCCATTAGCACCGCTTAAACTGAACCCCGCACCACCGTTTGCTTCTGCGGTAGCCGCGCCGATTTGCATCCGAGCACTCGCGCGCAAGCACCTATGCCCAATTTGCACAACTGCGCCGTCATTCTAAAAAGCTTTAGCTCCCGAAATCACGCGTGCGAACGGCAAAAGTACAATCTCGGGACTCACTTGCGATTGCTTTGCGCGTCAAACTTACTGTCATAACTTCGCACGTATTGCGCGCCGATCACGCGCATCGTTATCCTTGGTCGGCCAACTTTTTTGCTTTTGACTTTTATTGCGTGATTTTTAACGAGGTATGCTGTTTAGACAACACTGGCTGGGTCATTCGTTAACATAATGTTTCAATTATTTTTGGAGAAAAATCGATGTGTCTGGCACGTTGGATGTTGAGTTGAGAAGCTTTGATTAAAATCAGAAGGAACATCCAGCATTCATGGAGATACATTTTAGATACATGGCATGGACTTTTCGTATAGATTTTCATCTGGATGATGTCAGTGCACCAGACGAATATAGACGTTAAATGCACGGATTTACGGTCCCGTTTTGACTGTGGTGGGCATCGATGGGAGTAGACGAAACTGTTCGGTAACATGTTGTAAATAATTAAAGTATACATTGATTTTTTAGCGAATATCATTGGAAGGCAGACTTAAAGAGGAATTCTTTACATGTTCATTTTTTCGTTATAATTGACAAATAATCTTTTTAAGCGAGAACCCATGCGAAAAACGAAACTAGGGGGCCGTACGATTTATTTTCATGCATTGGCAAAGAAATGTTCAGTGGCCATTATAAAAGTTTCCTTAATTTATATCTGGTATGTAGACGCACGATAACGTTGAACATTCTTTCAACATTCTACTCTGACAATACGTGAGAATGATCAAATAATAATTTATACATCTAACTTTTTATCTTACACGGTTCGTCAAACAATTTTGCTATCATGTTTTTATTCAGCATACCCCTTTATCTTTAGGGAAAAATTTTGGATAAAATGTGAAGAAGTCACGTATACTGTATTTCCGCATAGTTACCATGTACACATGATTATATTTGAATGACATTTACCCGTCGAAAATTGTCTATGTCACATCTTCTATACGACGTTCTAAACGGTAAATTTCCGATTGATCACGAGAGAGTTCACTTAAAATATTGAAATTCAATAATTTATAAAATAAGTAGACTAATAAAGTTCGTCAGAAAAGATCTGGCAAATAGATAACAATGAAGATAATAAGTGAATAGTACGTGTGTATTGTCACTTTGAAAATGAAGCCACCTAGCTCTAACAATTGTTTTCCTGTTGATTTCCGGCTTGGAAAATACCAAATTTCACATATATGTACACCGAGAAACGCGTAGCATATACCACGCGCTTTGCGCACTTTTTGCACAGCTGAGGGAGATCGTTGCGATGAATTTCCATAAAGCATCGATCGAGCAAGTTGATATTAGTGCGAATGTTTCAACAGTTCAATTGACGTTCTCGTGGAAAAAAGCTCGCGTCGGTCCCCCCTACCCCCGTCCCTGTTCAGCGTAAAAAAAAAGAAAAAACGAAAAAGACAGTTGACAATTGTAATGCATGCGAACTCTGACACTCAATGTGTTTTCATAATGAATGCGATAAAGTGGCTGTTGGAAAACTCATGCAAAAATTTCTCGAGACCAGTGAAGGTTTCATTCGTCTCTCGCTCTGGCTGTGCTTCCTCTCAACGACGTAAAGTAACGAGTCTGCTCGCATTTACCTTGCGACAGAAGCTTTCATTGCGCACGTGACAAGTTATGCGCGCTGCCGATCAAATAATGCCATTCTTTTCGTCCAGCTGATCATTCGCTTGATATTTCCAATTTTTTCATCAGCGATATTTGCAATTGTAATGCTGACGGTCGCATGCCTTGTCAAAGTGAATTTCCCCATCGAGACTCCACTATAAGCTACGGCATTTTTAGTTTTTCCATTGTTCCCATCGTATTCCGGCTACGAAATGCTAATATTCTATCCAAATACATGAATTTTTGTAGGGGCGCCGTTGATCAGCCTGGAAAAGAATTGTTTTTCGTAGACTGCGCCCGTCAGCTTTAATTGGCTTCAAATATATCTCACGTCACGCTATGAATAATCTGAAATCTGTCGTCAGAAGGCCGTACGCTCTTAGCAGTGTCGTAAAGCCTGCGAAAACTTGGGAACAAGGTTTGATAACGATTGACATAAGTGAAAAACAGAGTCCAAGTTTTTCACATAACAAAGGAGATGAGAGGAAAATATTTTCGCACGTATTTGGTCAGTCGGCGATTCTTGTAGAGTGAGCTTTTAACACTTGTCGCTTGCATGGGTCATTAGAACGAATGATAATTTGCCGATGAAACGTAATTTATGAAAAGAGAAGGCAAATCAAATGAATAAAGGCATCATGATTATTGTGATTGTTGCAGAGCAAAGAGAAGATGATGCGAGGCGCTCGTCGAGGCTGCGTGCGCTTGAAAGGGGCAGTAATAGGCATCGATGACGAGGACGATAGCACTTTCACTATCACCACTTCATCGAGCAAGGACGATCCAAAAACCTTCCATTTTCAAACTCGTAACGGTGAGGAACGCGAGAGATGGGTACGCGCCCTCGAGGATACTATACTCAGACATTCGCATAGTGTAAGTATGTTAATCATCGTCCAATCAGTTTTTTTCTTCGCTTAAGTTTAACCGTTAAGATGCATCAAAATAATATGAACTGTTATTTTATCGAAATGCATAGGTACGTAAACGTGTGGTTCGGACATTGTTGCACTAGCCTATTGCGTATTCGTAGGAATTACTAAAATGTAAAATTATGCGTCGATTATATAGGCCAATGTTCATTAACGATGCGCGACGATCGATTGATAGAAGTATAATTTTATAGTTTAAGAAAAAGTTGAATGGGTTAATTGCAATACGGCAACTTTGTAATTTAATAAACAGAAACAAATAACATTTTTATTTTAAAAATATGGGAATCGAGAGAGAGAAAAAGATCCTATTTGCGACCATTACCGCGACTCAGTAAAGTTTGATTCGACAAAAAATTAGGTGACCCAGTGACGAACAATGCAATTGGTTGAAGACTGCGCTTACTAATCATTGAAATTAAATTTTTTACTTTTACATCAGTTCATTTTATTTTTAGTCTGCTGTAATATTATCTATTACCGTTCGTGATTTTACTGGAGTTCTTCTTAAACCCAAATATGTTTATATTTTAAAGAAATCGTAATTTTCTTTCTTCATAATATGTCGAAGACAAAATTTCACGTTACAATAAAATATCTGTGGCATCTGTTAATTACAGTTCATGCAGCTCACCTAATTTCAGTTGAAGAAATCAAAATAATACAAATTCTCGTAGAAATAATTCTAATTCGTCAATTTTTGGCGCTTGACTTTGCAAATATATAATTAAAGCAGTAAAAACTCGGACAATACATTTTTTTCATACGATATGGATCTATATTTTCTTTTCACGTCGTGTGTTTCAAAATACGACTGCAGTTTGCTGACACCTCGGAATGTTTTATCATTCATTGCCAAATTGACATGTACTTCTGTTTGCTATGTATGTATGTACGTATGTATATACATGTACATATACACACGCACACACACGTATATAGTCATATCAGAACAATGCACATTTAATACTTTTGTTCGTGTACTCGTTCACGTGTATTTCTTGGAATACAATTTTTTTTGTATTTTCGTTTCCTCGAACGTATCGAACTAAAATGCGTAATTTTCCCATGAATTGCAGGTGTACCAGTGCACGTACAAAATGAAAAAAAGTTTCCTATCATTTTCCTCCAAGTTAACTGTTTTAAATAGTCAAGATGTATTCGCATTAGCCTTTTAAATGTCATTCCAATCGTCACATTCGCGCGTCACAGCAGAGGTTTTTTTTTCGAAATACTTGCGTGATACTTGACGTTTTCTATAGTCGCACACGTGATTCTATCAAATGATAGTTAATTATTTATTGTTTCGCTGCAAAGTCTCCATAATCGTATTAATTTCACCAACTCATCTTCAGTTGTCATGGAAATATTTTAGCAAAAATGTTTACAACTCGTTTATGCAAGCTTAACCACCGCCACTTTCACCACGTAATATGTAGTTATTTTCGAAACCGGTGGAAAAGGAAACTATGGGCAAATGAAATGTGCTCTGAAGTAATAAGCATGACAGTTAACGATAAGAAAAATATTTCGAACGCTTGCCAGTGATTTTTGCGTTGTTGTTTTTTTTATAACATCACAGCGATGGAATCCACGCAAGCCACCACCAAAACACGATTTCGACCGTAAAGTAGCGGAAGCCGACGCATACTTGCAACTGTTGATCGATCAGATAAAATTGATCGAGCTGAAGCAGAAACGTTTTGGGGATGAACAGTATGATAAGAGTCAACGCTACACCGAGATACTCGACCAGTCTAATGCTATGCTCAATTCAGTCAAGCATGCCATTGTACAACTGCAGATTGCCAAGGCATGTGAGATTTATACGCATTATAATGCTCGAGTAATTTTATAACACCGCCCTTTTTTTGTTTTTGCTTTTTCTTTTATTTTTCGCTGTTTGATTATTTATAATACTATTTTGTTTTGATTGTTTTCATTTGAATTTCCACCATGTTTGTTTTCATTTTATGGGAATTTTATTTTGAAAGTTTTATTTTTTTCAAATTACTTTTATCCATATTACTACCCAAAAATCTAATTCTAAGCTTCGTTTAGAAAGAGGTTTATTTTACGGCCCTGTAAATAAATATCTTACGTTAAAGATCTTCGATTCGAGCTCATGAATATTGTCACTTTGCAGAACACTGCCATTCCAGTGAACGGCATTTATAAAGGACCAACGGAACCGAGTCACAAGTCGCTACCTCACAAGCACGGTAAGCTTGTCATCAGAATCTAAATCACATGCAAAGATAAAAAGAAGTCAATAATGATTGTGCATTTATTAAATTAGTAGAAGTGCTGGTTACGACGAATGAGCCGGACTCGACAGTACAGACCGGTATCGAGCTTGGCTCCGAGTGTACCGAGCCACGGGTTAACAACGCAAATGGTAACGTTCGATAATTTTTGCATGCTGCTTATGCCATAACCAACATTTTTCTCTGCACGTCTATCCTTCAATTGAATTACTTGAAATTTCAAACCGTGAAACTTGAAAAAATAATTTAGCCTTTTTTCTTCGTGTCGATTGGTTATTGCACAGCTACAACTAGAAATTTACCCGTGCCAGAATACTCATATTCATCGTCGGACGAGGATGAAGATTTTTACGATGCTGCCGATGAGATCTCACCGACAACGTCACAAGCTACAACGTAAGCACGTACAAACTTTTATTTTTTTCCTTGAATTTTCTCATTTTTTTAATAATCGTTTTAACTGAAGAATTATTACAAAATTCAAGCGTTTTAAGTTACGTTTTCATGTAGTTCATTTACGAACTTGAACTTTTTATGTAAAACAACAAACTCTCACGTAGAAATAACGAAAATTAAGGTTATGACGTCATTTTGACTAAATTTTCAGAAAAAAACGTGATATTGAAAGAATACCATCCATAGACGAGAGTACCACCTCAGATAGCCGTCCTTCAGTCAAGATTCCGGTGGCTCCACCCATCAGGCATGATGGATCGATAGATTATGATGGTATGATTATCACACTTGTTTTCCTACTCTCTCATTCCTCTTCGTTAATGTACACGCACTTTTGCTTTTTTAAATATAGCACGTTATGGTTTAAGTTGCCTGTTTTCCTTCTTATTATCGTGTTAGAAAATCAATATAATACTGTTTTTAGAAATTATGTTAAGAAAAAAACTTGATGTGCTTTTGACCTATTTCTACAAATATCTGGTTGCAAAGGACGGCAATGCCTGCAAAAACCGTGACGAGAAAAGAGCAGAGAATTTTTACTATTTTTTGCCAATGATAGATAAATATCATATTTCCTACATCATTATACTACCTCGAAATCTTGAATAATTAAAACTAAATATGCTCAAATTTATTGACCCTCAGTCTCTACTATAAGTTAATGCGACCAATACATCTTTTTACTAAAACACGTTTATTTAAAACAAAATTTGTTTGGAAATTGTTTTATTAATAATTAAATTCAAAATCATTATTTAATCATACTAAAAAATTCTTCATTATTTATAGTATATTTGAGAATTATTTCAAGTCAATCAGATGAATTACTATAAAATGGTACGATGATCAAAAAGTGTGAAGGGTTAAACTGACCTAGTATAGGGAGCTAAATCGAAAAAATAGGTGGAGAAAGCGAGGGTTGGATATAAATAAAAACAGTTGACATCAACGGTTTTTTAAAGAAAAAGTTTAATGAATATTAATATTTAGTGATCATGTACAAAGCTCCAGATGGCGCCTTCCTCAAAAAACAAGTTTTGATTTGCAACCTGTTGTTTTGCAACTTTAAATTTCTAGTGAATCTGATTTCAATGCTAATTCAGTTGAATTGTGCACTTGACATTTTAAATGAAGTTCATTATAACACATATCGCTGAATAAAATACTCAATTTTGATATCTTCGTGATAAGTATTTCTCGTTAATTTTTACGTAATTTATTTATTAAACTTTCAATAATTGTAACAGTTATATATTCAAGTTATCTAAACGAACTTATATTGTTTATAAATCTCCAGTTCACAGGTCAACTTATTGAAAGTAAAACACATATGAAATTCAAATCAAATTAGGTTTACTGACCTCAGCCGGCTAAGCGCACATGCAGCATGCATATAATTAATTAAAGCAAACTTTTCGATAGCGAAAAATCTTTATGATTTTTTTCATTTTTTTATTATAAATCGCATTTGTTCTTCCTCACCATAGAAAAAGATGTCACTGTTTTGGCGCTAAAATGACATTTAGCATAGTTCGCATTCATCGAAGATATTTAATGTGCACGAAAAGCAATAATAGTGTTTCTATTTTTACATTTTGTTATCGTATACGCCACCACCTTAATGGAATTTTATATACCACACCTAATTTTTCCGATTTAGATAGTTCATCGTCTGCAAAAACACTACAATGACAAATATAACATAAAATAAATCAAATATATTCTCACGTGTGTTGATACATTTGACTAATACCGCACAAGAACTTTTTAGAAGAATTAGCAAGAACGTAGCAAGATTGTTTAAGGCATCATTCTTCTAATCAGTTCACTCATCGCAACCTCTGACGCATCAGTTGCAAAAAGGTAGTTTCGAAAACACACTTGTTTAAAAAAAAAAAAGAAAAAACTACGAGCTTATCGATGCATGGCCAGATCGTGAGTTTGGTTTACCATCGCAGCGTTTTTGGCGGAGCGCGTTAGTGTCGTGGTGGTCGGTGCGAGAAGGTATATATTGATTAAACGGCGGCGGTGGCGCGTCGTCGACCTACATACTCTCGCGCTGTAGATGCCGCCGCGCTTCTCGTAAGCACCGCCACAAGCGTATTGTCAGTGATCATGCAGTTCGACGTGGAGGTGCACGCGGGCGGCGCCCAGCAGCGCCAACAACTCAAGCTCTACACAGATCATCCGCAATTCGACGCTCACTGATGAATGCTGCACACCGCAGACATGATGCTGCATCAAGATTGTGAGTTTGCTCGTAGAGAGGCCGCGGAGCTTTTATTCTATATTGGAGATCTGATGCGTTATTCGCACTCGAGAATTGAAATTCATGCTAGATGAATGCTAAGCTGTCGCACACCGGTCAATCATGATGCTTCGTCATTTTGGAATATATGCGACGAAAGCTTTATCTTTTCAAAAACTTATACACGCTATTATGTACTCCGAATCGGATATGTCACGATATTATTGCTACCAAGAGAGATTTATTTTGAAGTTTTGAACTCAAAGTAGTGCAGGAAAGTATTCTCGGTGGATTTCATGAACTGTATCTGTGAGATAATTATAGATCTTTTTTGCTTTAGTTGTCGGTTATTTAATTAGGCGAATAGGTTCTTTCACAGCGTGTAATTCAGGTATCATATTGATAACGTTGACGTATGAACGTTCATTGTTCTCGTAGACGTTTTAATTAACTCATAGTTTAGGAGTAGTATGCTAAACTGGTAAAGAGATGGCCAAGGTCGTGGAAACTTGAATGCACGTGTCCCATTCATATTATAAACATGAATTGTTTTGTTTTTCTGTTGCAGCTTTGTACGAGGAAGAGAGCGATGGAGAAAGTGAGTTTGAATTAGAGTAATTTACATAATTACACATCGCATGAGAAAATTAACAAATTAATAATTAACATTTCAGTCGATTCTATGGAGAGTCACGGTTCCGTGGTATCACATCTCTTGTCGCAAGTGAAAATTGGCATGGATCTGACGAAGGTCGCGCTGCCAACTTTCATCTTGGAGCGCAGGTCGCTGTTGGAGATGTATGCGGATTACTTTGCTCTACCGGATCAGTTTGTGAGGTATAAGCTTTATGCGATTTCATGTCAACTTTTGAAGACAAAAAACGAGTGATTACAATTTTGCACCGTGTCTAAGCTTTTCATCGGAATAATCGATGCTTTTAAATTACCTTTTATCTGCGTACACATAAGTAATGTAATATCATTGGCAAGCTATTGGTTTAGGAAACTGGCACGATCTAGTAGTTACGTGACCAGAATTACGCGCTAATATTTGAGAATTATACAAAAAGTGAACTCGTTGCAGCTACAAAGTAATTATGGCATAAAATTGTACATGAACAGAATCAATGCCAAGTTTCCTACTCTATCTTTCGTACGTGCATTAAACTTTTTTTTATCAAACTGAATTATAGTTACATTCGATACAAAGAATATATTCTTGTTTATGAAAAGTCGACGTAATTAAAATATCGATTGAATTTTTAGATTTTCAAATAAAAAATATCATGCCAGTTTCAAAAGAATCAAATATTAACGAATCTTTTTTCGTGATTACAGAATTGCAGACATGCCAACACCTAGAGAGCGTATGGTACAAGTGGTGAAATGGTATGTATGCAGCTTCCACGCGGGTCGCAAATCCGGAGTAGCCAAAAAGCCCTACAATCCAGTATTGGGTGAGATATTCCGTTGCCACTGGGATATGCCGTCATGGGCCGATAAGGATGCCAAACAAGTAGAAAATGGACCTGTGCCATGGTGTAACGAAAACCAGTTAACGTTTGTTGCCGAGCAAGTATCACATCATCCTCCTGGTACGTTATTAATTCCTTTAAAATTCATAAATGTCGCATGAGAGTAGTCATAACAGTTATTGAATGCGGCTAACGAAGTTTGATTCGGTAATTGAAGTTTACTATTGTAGATGAGAATTTTTAATTCTATGTTAAACAGTATGTTGATAGATTCCGTACCATTAATTATAATAAAGCAATTGGTTTAAGATTCGTTTATATACGTTGTATAACGCTAGGTATGGAAATGTTTCAAGGTCACTGTCAAAATATTGGCATTCGCGGCCAAAAGTTTTTTTTGCTTTCTTTTACAATCTATTCTGAGCGGTGATTGCATAAATATGTTAGCATCGGTTTCAAACGGTTTACTGAAAAAAGTAGTCAGTGTTTTATATATCATATTAATTGAGAGCTTTAGGAATACTATTAAGAAAATCTTACTGATAGAAAAGAATTGTTGAATTAATTTTTATTACTAACCGCAGGAACTTTTGTATGTAAAAATTCAGGCATAAAGAAAGAGTAAAATTAGTAGCTGACACGTCGAATGTTAATTTCGAAATACTGTAAATAAGATGGAATTTTACGCGGTGTGGTATTTTTGTTATCCCTAATAATGTTAATGGCTACATTAATTTGCATAAAGCGTACGTTTAAACAGTTGTAAAGTGTAGAATAACTGTAAAAAACATTAATGGTTCTTCTAATTCCATCAATCGATAGATATCTAACTTTGTGTGTAATAGAGCATGGAAAAAGGAAACTATCTTGACGGGTAGCCAACTCGTATTGAAAAGATTATTTGTATCGATTAAAAAAAAAGCATCCACTTAAAGTGACCTGGTTGCGGTATGTTTTTAAAAAGAGAAATTCTTATATATCATCTTAATAGAAAGGATAAATAAATAAAATTCTTTATGTAATTTATTGAAAACTAATAAGTTTAGATGCATCATCGTGTTTAATACTAAATAATAATTGTAGTTAGCGCCTTTTACGCCGAACATCCTTCGAAGAAAATAAGTTTCAACGCACACGTCTGGACGAAAAGTAAATTCCTAGGACTGAGCATAGGCGTGCACAACGTTGGCAAAGGTTGGGTACAAGTCCATTCGCATAACGAGGAATACGTGTTGACCTTTCCAAATGGTTACGCGCGTTCCATTCTCACCGTGCCATGGATCGAATTGGGTGGCGCGACAAGTATTACTTGTGTGCAAACTGGTTATCAAGCGACAATCGAGTTTCTGACCAAACCCTTCTATGGTGGCAAGAGAAATAGGATTACGTGTCAAGTGACAGCTCCTAACGACAAGAAGCCATTCCTAAACATTAGCGGCGACTGGAGTGGTGCCATGGAAGCCAAATGGGCTGATGGGGTGAGTGATGTTTCCATGTATCAATTGCTTCTCTTTTTCTTTTTTTATTATTATATTTTAAAAGTTATGACATGTCTCGCGTGTTTTGCTTGAAATTAATTCATCCTGTGCTGCTCTTGAGGTAGAATCAGTTTTCCCTTTATTTCATGTTCCATGACATACTGAACGCGAGTGAATTGATATGGAATGGCTTATGTCGCCCCGATGCTTTTATTATGTTACGCTTAGAATTTACTTTAAATTTTCGACCTTTGAATATTTTTATAAAGACTTTGTAAAGAAATTATTCTTAAACTGATTATAAAATGAATCTTGTTTTTCCCACAGCGAACAGAGCTATTTGCGGATGTAAGGGAGCAGAGGATAGAAAAGAAAATTGTGAGGCCAATGAGCGAACAAGAGGACAACGAATCACGGAAAGTGTGGCGTGAAGTGACCTGGGGTCTGCGTATCAATGACATGGACAAGGCGTCCGTAGCTAAAAGTGCAATAGAGCAAAAGCAACGCGACGATGTGCGCTATCGTAAAGATAACAGCATCAATTGGCAGACCAAGGTAAGCTATTGATTCACAACAATACAATAGCTCTACCGAAAATAGCAATATTGATTCGAGAAAAACTGTCTTTTTTTCTATTATAATGCACGCAAGATATATGAAACGATATAACATAAGTATGTTGACTTGTGAATGCTCTGTGCAAGATTTATAAATTTTTGATAATGATGTTGGAAAAAGCGAAAATGTATTCCGTTGGAAGAATCTAAAAAATATGAACTTTAGATTTTGAAATGGTTTTTTTCTTTCTTGTTTTCTTCTAAAAGCTATAAAAAAATTTTATGAAATACAAACTCAACTTCGATTTTAATTTAGCTATTTACATTAAACTTATTCCGCGAAAAAATCTATACATTTAAATAGTTAAATTTAAATGGGAGATAAATTTTTTTATTCTATAAAAAGTCTGCTATTTTTGTCCGCAGTTGTTCAAAGAAACCAAAGACGGTGGTTGGGTATACACATCACCACTGGAAACAAGATTACGAGATAATGTTGCGTCAGCGAGTACATGAGGAACAAATTTCATAAATTTTCTAATCGCACACAAAAGTAGTTATTAAACATAATGTTTCGTGTTAGTAGGCCTAGACGTAATTATAAAATTCTTCGATCTGTTCGTTAGCCTGTGAAGGGGATGTGAAAGTAAAGCTGTTGATAGACTGAACAGTTTTTAACCGGAATTGTTTTTTAAAATTTTGTAGATAATATAAACTTCAGTTAAGAGTAATAAATTTTTTGTGATTGATTTGGAAGCTCACAATTATTGTGAAGAGTGTACGTCTTTTATCCGAAAGTTTTATGTAAAAATAAAAAATTTCATTTGCATATAGCAAAAAAATTTCAAGATACACGCTTACTGATTTTTATACAATTGAAATAATGAAAATTCAAAGCCAATTTTTTTAAGTATAAAGTATTTCATAGCTATATTTTTTCAAACAAGTCCTTCAAGTAATGACTAACTATAAATAGCACATGAATGGTACTTCACATCTCCTACAATACAAATGCCGCACGTTCAATACTCTTATATATTCACATCTAATGTTTACTGATAAAGAAACCCCCCGAACTCGACTTCACTCATTTCAATATTCTTTTGATATGTTCTAGATCACATAAAAATAAGTAACACGTGTTTTTTTTTATAGTTGGAAAAATACTTCGAAGAGGTGAGATCCACCCTCCAAGTCTACCCTCAAAAATGAATTTTGCAATTCATCTCCAGTTCTAATTGGTGTTTTGCAATTAAATAAATTTAATTTCACTTTTTATGTAAATGCAGGACTAGCACTTACGGTTCCGACCATAAGGGATGCAACTCTTTTTTTTATTGACAATTCTACCATTTTTGTGTCTATTTTTATGAAAAAAATAAAAACAAAAATTGAATGAATCAAAAAAAAACTGGAAAAATATTATCGCGTGTTGATTAAATAATAAAGTTGACCCGTTCGAAATTATTTTTCGAAACACCCCGAGAAACGTTTTAAATGTTACGTCGGGATCACTCTCAGGTACGCTTGAAGGAAGTGTATCCTCAGGGTTGCTCTGATTTGGCTTGCGTACAGCGCATAAGCCGGAACGAGCAATATTGTTGCGTAGAGGAAATTATGTTGTAACGGGATAGGTAATAACTAAGTGTCATTACAAACACACCAGATACTCACTTAATGTGTTCTTAAGGGACTCTAATGAAAATTCACCAGACTCACGCTTAATAAATTTCTAGAAAGGTACTATCAAAGGAAGGAAAGATAACCAGATAAAAAATGTTCTTACTTTTTATTTGATTGTATTAGTTTGTAATGGAAACTACGTCACTTTTGCTCTCTGTTCTCTATCTCTCTTAGCTGTTTTCTTTCGGGCTGGCTATCCCTCTCCACTTTACTATTTAATTTTTCTTCGTACTACTTCGTATTGCATCGCGTTGTTCAAAGGGAATGTATATCAACTTGTCCATGCAGATTATTATTTTTATGCTCAAATTTTAAGATTTTCATTCTACTCATTAGCTTATCGAACATGCACTAATATTTCATTTGTGCTTCTTCAATAATTTTATCATTCCAATTAGATTTTTCATTAATATTAAAATTTAATAATTTGTCTAAGCCTGCAATTCTCTTTATCTCCGTTAATTCTCCATTTTTATCTATTTCTATAATAAACTATTTTGCTTTTTTTAATAAACTTACATCACTTAAAGGTTTTGATGCAGTTTGTATCTCATTTCTTACTGGAATGCTTCTAATGGCACTTAAGGCTTTATTGACATTAGGGTTACTCTTAGGTTTACTTTGTCGTACACTTTTAGTATCATCCATATCAAGTAACTTAACTTTTCCATTCACAGTACGTACTTTTACCGGACGTGGTAGTCTAAATAATCTACTTAATTCACAAATCTGTAAGCATTCAACAATACTTAATTCGTAATTGTAATTACGATGTGGCGTCGTGGCAACGACACATCTCAGGTACACCTGAGGCTTGGCGCAGTCTCAGTGTTCCGTTGTCGCTAGAAGTGCGATTTCTCGCCTAGACTAGCGGGATCATTAATCGAAAATTATTTTAACCGAGGGGAACAGTGCCACTGAACTTATATTTCTGCTCTTGGATTCTAATCAAATGTTGTAATCCAAGAGCGAGAAGTACCCTGGGTCCTATCAATAGTATTACCCGATTTTCCTATCAAAATTGTACCTAGAGCTTATCAAAAGTAGTCTCCAGATTCAGAAAGAAGGGAAAAATGTTGAGTCACGAGCTGTTTCTAAGATAAAGGAGAGATAGATAAATCAGACAATTTTTTTGTTTGTTCGCTTACTTTTTATTGGCAACGGTTCTCACTCCGTCCTCGGTTTTAATACTAAGAAAAGAAATTATTCCCTTTTTTTGAAATTATATAGCCCGCCGTTACAACGACGATCGAATTCATTTATATCACTTTCATTACCATTTAATTGAAAACTTTTGCTTAAAATTATCTTTTTATCTTTGTGAATCCCTCTACTAAAATAACTAATAGCGTTATCAAAACTTATATGCTTATCACTTTCTTTTAAATGTATCACATAAGTTGAAATAATTACAATCACTCCCCTTAATGTATTTACATTGGATAATAACAAGTTCATTGCAAGGTCTCGAATATACTTATATCCGCTCATGATATAAATGCTACAGAATCCTTTGAAATCAATGATTTCTAGTCCATCTCTGAATAATAATTTCATTTCATCACTCTCTGACAAAGATAATCAATCAACTTTCATATTATTTTGGTTCATCTTTGAGTTATTCCTATCTTTTGGTTTATTACCCTCTATGCTTATAATATTTAATGCGATTTCTTTACCAGTAATTTGAAAATATAAACTTTTATTTTTCGGAAGACTAAACTTATTGCATATATTGTACCCTCTAACTTCATCAATCACTCTTTAGAATCGACTTAAACATAGGAACTTATCATCTTGAAATGTTCTTTCTTTTCCACTAATAGATACTAAATTTTCGTCTATGTACAAAAACCTTTTTGGCTTAGTAAAATTTTTTAATTTTGAATTAATTGTAAGCTTATTTAGTTCCTTTATACTTTTTAGATTATACTTATAGTGCTGGTCTTAAACGTCGGATATTTTCTTAATATGCCGAATGGTATAAGCTCACTTAACACCTTGTCAAAATCAAAGTCAGGGTTTATATCCGCGGTCCGAGGTTCAAGATTGGGTTTCATTTCATTATCATTTCCTAATATCATAGGCACGAAATATCCATTGACGAAGAACAAATTGTGTTTGAAATCAATTATGGCTCCTGAATTTTCGAAAAATAAAGAACCTAAGATTCCTAATAACTAAAATTAAAAAATCGTAGATTTACTTGTATAAATAAAATAATATTAAAAAAACACTTACGTAGCAAGTAAGAAATATGAATTAACGAATTAGTTTTTTTATCAATATCTACGTTGAGTAAGCGATACGTTTAATATGAAGTCGATACAAGAACTCTATTAGCTAGAAGAACGTTTATTAGCTACTGATAAAAACCGGCCTACTGATCGTTAAGAAACTTGAAAACAACTGGATACTGTCAAACCCGCTTATTGTGAGATATAAATAAAATCGAATAATACTGTCATAAACATGCACTGATGCAATGCAGTTTCACACAACGGGAAAGATATACTAATCTGCACCTAATTACACAAACTAAAGTGTGTGCGTGTGTGCGTGCGTGCGTGCGTGCGTGCGTGCGTGCGTGCGTGCGTGCGTGCGTGCGTGCGTGCGTGCGTGCGTGCGTGCGTGCGTGCGTGCGTGCGTGCGTATGTGTATGTGTGTATCTGTTTGTTTTATTCTGAATTTTTTTAATAAAAATAAGTACGAAAAAAATATAATTTTCAATGAAAAAAATAGGGGTTGCAATACTCATGTTCGAAACTACAAGCATTAGTCCGCATTTACATGAGAAATAAAATGAAATTCATTTCATTGTAAAATATCAATCAGAACTTGAGATAAATTGCAAAATTCATTTTGGAGGGTGGTCTTTCAGGGCAGATTTCACCTCTTCAAAGTATTTTTCAGGTCATAAAAGAACATGTGTTACTTACGTTTCTACGATCTACATTATATCAAAAAAATATTGAAATTGAAGAGGGCAGCAGGGTGAGGGGGGTTCCTTGTGAAAAGCATGGAATGTGATGATTTGTACATGAACAAAATGTACATAGATACTCTAATCTTCTTTGACTTTCTATTTTTTTAACTTACAGATCTGATGTTATGCTAAAAAAGATATGACCGGTATATAACTATCTTTTTGACATTTTTGTACTTACATTTTGTAAATGTAAACGCAAAAATGATTGATAATGAATGGAGGTAAAAAGTGTACAGTAAACACAAAGTAAAGTATGAAAAAAAATTACGGTTGACATTAAGATAAGGTGAATACAGCAAGAAAACGTTAATTTAATTTGCAATAAGTCTGAGAAATGAACATAAAGTACATTTTATCTGAGTTTTCAATTATAATTGATATATTTGAAGAATAATTAAACACTCTTCGATTTTAAAAACGACAAAGTAACAGTATTTTCCAACACTCAAAACTAGAATATAAAAAAGTTAATCCAAAATAATTTGCAACTTGAGTATAAAATAATGTTTCTTGTTATAAAATACGAATTTTTATCATTTTTTTAATGGCAAAAATTTGATTATACAGCCTGTCTTTGGTATGATTGTGCTGGAAAAAATGTTATATAATAATTAAAATTTGTATTACAAAAGAGAACGAGCTCATAATCTTCTATAAAAAGAACAAACGATTATAAACAAATTACACTATAAAAAGTAAACAAACAGATGAATGGACAATATACAATTTGAACTTGACCTCTATCTGGCATGAGGCGATTGTAGTCTAAACAAGTGGCCTTTGACAAAACAAACATTATAGGAGTTAATAATAACTCCTAAAGTCGGCCCCGAGTTTTCTTCCAAAATATGAAAGGACTGCCTGTGTTTTCCACAAGACACCAAGACATCTATTATACAAAAGACAAATCTTCTAATTTTATGTAATTAAAAATGAAACAAGACATCAATGGTGATGACAAAAGTAGTTATTGATGTATGTAACAGTGCGTCAAACGTTTCTTGATGAAAAGTTTTTACGACGCATTTATACCTATATTGTAAAACATTATTCGCTTTTGAATATATTTTATAATTATTTTCTTAATTTAATACTGAGTTGTTTTAACTATATTGTATTATATGATTTTCATCAATTGTACAAGTTTTTAGATAACAGAATAATTGTATTAAAATGAAAACTATAAAGTATAATTATTAATTAAAAAATGAGATAATTTTTTTTAATAAGTGCTTGTCTGTATTATAATCCAGCAGTTACTTTATTTATTTAGTGCATAATAAATTTCCATATAAATTTTAAAAATTGTTATGAACGAAATAACATTTTACTAAAAAACATAATAACAACGCAAAATATTCCTTATACAGAAGCGGGAAAGTTTAGCTAATAGCACTGTACATTAGAAAGCAAATTATATTTTATTAGATTCAAGATATGTATATTCATAAGATTTTTGTTTATAGTAATTATGTATTGTAAAGTAAAAATTGCATGTTAACAGGAAGTATAAATTGAAAAAACAGTTGGCAATGCTGGCCTAGAATTAGACTTTTACATCTAGAAATCAAACTGTATCAATAGAGTACAGAATATTACAATAAAAATGTTACACAGTATCAAAGTGTTGTATGATTTTTTTTTGTAAAAATAAATTATATAAATAGTTGAATAAAAACATAACAAAATATTTATTTTTCTCACTTTTTTCTACAATTCCACTTTTTACAATTATTTACAGTTATTGATTTTAAATCCTAATGACAATTAGTTTATACAATTTATATATTTTTACAGTAACAAATTTACTGATTTGCGAATTAATAATACAACGTTAATAATTTTCTATGCTGTTAACAATATATAAATTAGCTTTTCACTTTGTTTTAAAATTTATTTAAAATGACAATCTTAATATAGATTATTAAATTACAAAGAAAGATACCCAATGTAGAAATCTTCCGCTCTTCTATAAGCAGGAGGAAATCGAATACTAGATGATACAAGTTGATCCATTCCAGCTAAAATGCTGGGTAAAGCTAATTCACAATATTTGATATCAGGATCACCAATTTTTGATGATTTTTCACTTTCTCCATATTTGTATAATACTTTCACAATAAATGAAGATTTTAAATTAAGTATTTGGTCATTTGAATTATCTTTATCTTCAGTAAAAACATTCAACTTTGTTTCCATAGGTCTCAATAACATGTAATGAACACTGTTAACATCTTGCGCTTCAAGAAGTAATTTTTCACCAGTAATAAGATCAGCAGTATATTTTACAGTTGATAAAAAATCTTCTAATGGTGATAGTGATCCTTTAATGGTATTAGCACTAGTATTTTCTAATAATTCATATTCAATGCAACAATTCCATAATTTCAAATTTCTTGGTTGTTTTGGATTTGATGATCCCAGAATTGATAAACATCGATTGCAATGAATTAAAGAATTTTTTAGCTTTAAATTCTCTTGGAAGACGTGTTTATTTAAAATTGAATAATTTATTGAATAGAATAAATCAGACTCTTTTGGATCAAGAGAAAATGGTTCATCACCATCATGTTTACAACAAAACCATTCTTGTGGATCGCAATCACTACTTGGTAATGGTAAAATCCTTTGAAAATTTACAAGATTTGTTATTTCATTTTTACAGCAATCACAAAGCAACTTACAATCAACGCCTTTTGGAGGAAGCTTGACTGTTTGCAAGCTATGTGTTGAACTGGTACTCAATTGATTTTCAGCACTAATAAATTCTGTTTCAAACCTACCATAAATTGAATTAGATTGAGTCTGGATTCGAAAAGATATCCAACGGTTTGTTATTCCTAATGAAGACAACGAAGATGGTAGTAACTTAATATTGCATAAGGGTAATTTATAAGTTTTATCTTCAATTTGAATTTCTATGGCATCTTCCAATAACTTGACTTTGATCTCTGTAGTATCAATGTTTTTCTCTAAAGAAATATAAGCATTAAGAGATTGCAATCGAGGTCTTAGTTCTAAAGTGACAGATTCCATTGTGTACTCTCAAAATTAGCCAATTTCACACAAGCCTGTAAAAAATATTTTCAATGCTTAGACGTTTAATCAGTTAAACTGCTACGAAAAAAAATAAGCCACTTTATTTTCAAAGAAGCAATAAAAGTTATGAGTTTACATTGAGTACCAATAATATATGCAAAACTTACCTGAATATTCTTGTATCCTAATAACAATAAGAATTTGATAATGAAACATCTGGTCATTGCTCCAACAACTATCTGTAATTGAAATCGATATAAATCTTATTGAAAACGCTGTTACATTAATAAAAAGTGATTTGTTATATCTCTCTCACCTTCACTACACGAAAATCTAGAAATTTTATACATAAGCAAATGAAATTGATTTTCCGAAAACACTTAAAATCTCATCACTTCTTGTAAAAATACTCAGTTAAAAAATAATGCTTTGTGCAAGCTTCAAGTTCCTTTCACGTCTAGGTGAAAAATAATTCAATACACATCTAGAGCAACGGATATTTTTAGATTTTTTACGAAACTAATATATATTATACTTTTTGGAGAACTGACAACTGACGTTCTAGCGTGTGCCTCTCGAGTGACTCGAGTCTCTCTTAGGGGCACATGGAATCTTACGACTAAAATTAATGATGCGTTTCGTATTACTCATTCTTTTCATTCTTGACTGCTACCCAATCATAGCGAGTCTTACTCATGTAGCGTTATTTTGATTCGATGTTTTCAAGAGAAATCGCGGGAGTAAGTTTCATTAAATAATCTCTACTTTTTAAGTCATTTGTCGTGTGAAGTATTTAGTTGCGTAAATATTATTTTTTTTACAACAAGATTATTGGAATAATATTAAAGATACTTTTATTGTAAAGTATTGTAGAGAATATGAAGCAAAAATAAAAAAATGCTACATTTCCATTTATATCTTTCATGTAAAAAACTTGTCAAAATATTTGTTACTGACGAGAAATATGGTCACAATGTCGATTTCCAAGCATTTTTCGAGGAAATGTAAACGCAGTTATAGTTTATGGAAAGTGAGCCGACACTCCGACAGCTGATTCAACATTGCGACGTTGTTTATGGGCAGCAAATACTGACAAAAAGAAAAAAATATGAGTGTTTAAAAGTTTTTTGAGTTGTTATTGTTATTGTTTCCCGGCTCTAAGTGTGGTGTGTAGTTTTAGAGTACTTTACTCAAAATGGGATGTTGCTACAGTTTGTGTAAAGAGGATGCGGATCAGCAGGTAAAGGCTACATTTTTGCACTATCCTACTTTGAAGAGATATTATATTTTGCTCTTTTTCTGTCGTTTCGTTTTATCTGAAATGAGATATGCGGAATTGGAAAAAGCACTTTTATATGTTTTTTACACATTTCATTTTAATATTATTTACGTCTTCTACAAGATTAATTTTTATATGTTTATATTCATAATTTCAATTACTTATTTTGTTATTTCTAATTTCCAGGGTAATGAAGTGAATGAGCGCACTCACTTGTTGGTCGATCCTGTCAGTAATAATACTAATATACCCAGAGTTCACAAGTATGTAAAAATAGCAATGATTTAAAAGTATAAAGTATGTATTAAAAATAAATCTTTTTATTTATTTATATTTATATACACTTTGCAGTGATGATTATGTAAATCAATATGCAAGTTCTGTACCAAAAAAGACAGATGAACAAAGCGCACTGAATCGTATTCTTCATGAGACTGCAGCGTAAGAATCTTTTTATTTATTACTATGCTAAAACTCATTAAACTTGAGTAAAATTGAAATAGGTTACAATAAGTATTACAATATTAGTTAAAAATGTATTATTACAGAAATATAATAGATGTAGGTGCATTGGATTCACATAATTTGGAACAACATGAGTATTTAGAGCGATCAAGAGCTTATGCGAAACGAATAGAAACTGTGGGAATAAGAGTACCAGAAGTCTCTTATTGCTTACTCAGGGATATTCCAGCACCAGAGAGAGTTCTTGCATCTGAACCGATAACCCAAAATGATAAAGAACTTGTAAGTCTTATTGCTTGTTATTTTATATACAATAAGTAACAGTAATCAATCATACTTTTTTCATTCTTTATTCTACAAATGATTACTTATATGAAAGATCATATAAATATCATCAACAAATAAAAAGTAAATAATATTTTTTTTTATTTTTAGATTACTGACTTTATGCAAAAATCTGTGATGGCATTAGATGAAGTTCAAGTTGAGCATAAAGAAGATTTAGTTGTCCCATTCTTATCGTGATTATCGCATTCTCCATCGAATCTCGAGGCTGGACTGATGCGAACTTCGTCAACCCAAATGTTAACAAACCAAGATGATTTAATGGAAATTTGGGTCCAGTCATATTTTACTGACTAAACCACTATATGCCTGTAATTTTTTTCATTTATAACTTCTTTGTTTCCAAAATTTACTGCATGCTGTTCATCGTTATTTATAATGTTAGTATTTTTTCAAATGGAATATTTTTCAACTCTTGTGTTTTGTAGTTATATAATAATTCAATTAATTTTAGTATTGAACGAGATTTTGCCGTAACGATTTTAAATGTATATACAGTTTAATCTTAAATCGGATATCTAATTTGAAAACCTGTGAGTTTATAATAGATCGATATTATAAATATACGATGTTTAACAATTTATACCATGTTATTTTCAAAGAAAACGTAACATTATTTTCAGCAGAAACAGTGCAAGGCATTTTGTACAAGTAGATTTGTAAAATAAAATCATGCCTTGAACACTTTGTAAAACTTGTGATTCTAAAAACATATTAATAAGAGCAGTAAATTTTGTGAATATAAAATATACATGTATAAATAATTGATATTGTGCAACAAGTGTAAAGTTAGTTCCAATATTTTTGTTGTTGTAAATTTTACTTTCATGTGAACATTGCAGTTTATGTTTAATAAATCGAAATTATTATTACGGTAAATAAGAAAGTTGCGCTTTGTAGATAGTTTTACATCAATTTGGCAAATAAGATTGATATTGATAAAAAGTTCTGATTAAATTGAAAAACAATATTAATTTTTACATGTTCAAGAGATTTAAAAATCAACGTTTGTATTTTTCCTTGTCTTTTGCTTATTCTTCTTTAATCCATTACGTAAATTTAAAGGATTTTCGTTGAAAATTAAATTTTTGTAATATTTACTTTTTACAGAGATGTATTATATTATTAAAACAATGAAAAAAAATTGAATTTGCATTATAAAGTTTCTATATAAATGTAAAAAGATTATATAAACATTTCGATTATTTGTAACATATAATATAAAAAAAAGTCGCTTACAAGAATTGAATTTTTTTGTTTGTTATCAATTTTTATTGACTTGTTCTTATAATGTAATTAAATAAATTAGTACTTTTTGAAAGAAAGTGAATTTTGCATTTTTATTTAGAAAAGAAATATGATTATGTTTGCGCTTGCCTTAAATTTGAAAGCGTATAAACGTAAGTAATAATATCCAAGTGAAACAATAAAGTGCAATAAATTATATTTCGACAGTCAAGTTGCGATTATTTTATTGATCAGTTGATCTTAATTCAGTAACAAACAATAGTTATTGACGTTTAGTTTTCGCTTTCAGACTTATTACATTTATCTGACAGTGACGAACGGCTCTTATCTGTAAACGCTCGAACTTGATAAAACTGCTAGGAACTACAGTAATTTTTTTTCTTTCGTGTTTTATCGAATTGTGACACATACAAACCCGCATGATGCTCTGCATAAATTTTTCTCATAATGGATTTCACGCAAATGAGCTTGGGCTGCATAAGCCAGAAGATTTTTTAATATTTCCAAATTAAAAAGTATTTATAAAGCGCAGGAGCTTAAAGCCAAAATCTGTTTTCTTCGACATTTTTTTTTAATTGAGCATGAAGAGTAAAATAATTTTTGCTAAAAAATTTAATCTCCATAAACCTTATTGCAGAAAAATAAGGTAATATGAGAGAATCTGCTTAATCAATCATGACGTGTTAAACGATATAAGATAGAATTTTCACGTCGACTTGAGCGGCATGAAATTGGTATCTGCGTGCCAACGCCGAATGTATCCCGCTTTGCGAGCCTCCAGTAAAAGCATATAAGATATACACGCGAGCGCACACAGGAAGGATGTCGCGTTGTTCGATTTGTGTCTCGTAGCATATCCCACGCAATCGCTTGGAGCCTCGCACGAGTGAAAGGAGGTGTGGATACCGGACCCACAAGAAAAATTCCCGTTGGCTGTATGCGCGCATATAAGATATGAACTAAAAACGAGTGAAGAAAATAAAAAAGGACTATCGCGGTTTAGAGCACTGTTGAGAAAGCCGTGTACTCGATAGAAACTACACGTATCGCGAACATTTTACCGAGCTCCCGTTAACTGATCTAAAGTAAATAGTCATCGATTATTGTAATGAATTTTACCATCAATGACAAAATATGATAGTATCGAGATTCCGAAGGATTCAAACATTTTCTCCTCGTTGCCGAAAATGTCTTCAGCAGAATTTTTCGCTATTTCCGGTTTATACTCCGATATTTCAAACGCGGACAAAGTATCAAATGTAACCTAGTTAGAAGCTTCTTATCCTAAATAATGATTATTTTATTAATATTCTGTGATGCGAAATGATGAATTAGAGCGTACGACTATTTTTGTATTGATAGAAGAAGAAATCTTGTTATTCTTCTTATCGGTAATTGCATGTCTACGTCGGTAATTTTTGTTTTGAAAAATCTCTCGTAAAAGGAAAAATCTTGGCGAAGACTGTTTTCGGAGCTTGCATAAAAAATTTTAAACTTTGTATGAATCTCACTAGTAATCTTGTATTTATTTCGTTCACTAAGCTTTATAACACAAAAATTTAAGATCGTCGTGTTAAGTTAGGCGGCTCGAGATTATGATTGGGCGGCCATAGCAAGGTCATAATTTGAGGATTGCGTGCATGGTATGGAGACTATACCTAGGCTGTATAAATGACTTATTACTGATGCTATATAACTATACATATATATATATTTCACAACTTAAAGATCTTTGATTTGTCACCGACACCAGATGGTTCCATAAGAAATTTGAGGTAATTATCCAGTTTTAATTGAAAATGCTAAACTGAACTAAACCCATTGATATATGGATTTATTATATTTGGTTATTAAGAAATAAACATGAAAACAAAAGCACGTGCAGTGCTCTCTATTCTCGAATTGTCATAATTATGGCAGTATGAGATAAATCTAAAAAAAGTAATCACTTCATCTGCAAATTAAAATGAACGGATTAAAGCATAAAAAATGTTATATTCATACTCAATTATTCTGTCTTCAAAGATTTATCACTGTTTAAAGATTATTGCTATGAATTTCTTACTTTGATCAGTTGTGTATATAAAAAAAGTGATCGATTGGATCTTGGATTGGCGAACCTTTTCAAATATAAACGAGCTTAAAATATAATCCTGTCGAAAATAATATATGCCTAAAATTATAATAAATAGAAATCATTAGTTAGTAACATTTGCTAGCAGTTATTTATAATTTATAACCATTTATGAACGTCAGATTTTGGACATATATACCAATTATCAACATTTCTTTTCTGTTAAAAAACGGTCACTAGTAAATAATAATAGATTTTTTCAGTTACTAACGGTTATTTTCAATTATATTAACGAAAACAAATTTATTTTGAGAAATAATAGATGCAAATAACTATAAATAACTGCAAATAAAAGTTATCACTAATTACGTATTGAAGTAAAAAATTAGTAATTATTATTTGCAGTTAATTTTAATGATTAATTTTCCAATACTAGACACGAAAAAAGTACTTTTTAGCGAAAAAAATTAAATGATAATAACAATATATAAGTGTTTAAAATAATTCTTAATCATCGCATATTATAACTAACTATTTATTACAGTTGTAAACAATTATTTATATTTTTTAAATTAATTTAAAATATGTTCATAACTGCTATCGATAGCGAATTTCTTTTAAAATAAAAAGGTGCATTTCCGAAATTGCCTGTAACTGTTAATAACTGTATATAATTATTACTCACAGAAGAAAACTGTTAATAACTGTTATACTTTTCTAAAATCTGACGATTCTAAACTCTAAATAACTATGTGCAACAGTTTTACACAAAAATTACTTCGAACAGGGAAATTATGGAATTTATTTAAACCACGATATAAAATTATTGTAATGCAAACGATATGCATTAAAGCAAGTTTAACTCCAAAGTTTTCACATTTCCACTAATTCAATTTTATAATCGAGAAGTTTTAGGAGAGGCAACGAAGTATTTCCTTGTAGCGTTTAAAGTAAATTATGAAATTATTTTATTTGTCTATTTTCTGTAATCTTTTATTGCTATTTTGTAACATGACTGATAATGCGATACTTTGAACACATTTTTTATTGTATCTCAAATAGTTTATTCAAGAAATTATTGATTTGAGCATATCTCTGTAGCAGACATTTCATTTGATAAATAATTAAAAGTATAGTATTGTAATTGGTTATAATCAATTAATTATTTTAGAGCATGACAAATTTGATAAATTAACAGAATACTTAGATTATGACACACTATTAATAAAATAGCTAAAAATATAAAAGAAAAAAACAAATAATTAAAACATACTGTACCACAAATTTTTACTGCTCTTTCGTAGTTTATTCTTTTTAATAACAGGTATTTTATCATAGCTAAAAAATATCTATTATCGACTCATTTAATAATGATTTCGAACAAATTTTTGTCGAAAAAATTATACAAACACTGCGAAAATAAACGGAAAAAGTAAGCGAAAAAATGGAAAGTAAAAAGAAGAATATATATCAAAGTCGCATGCAATTTTGAGCATGCGTTGTTGCATAAGTGGTCTAATTCGTGTGCCTATTTAATTTAAATGTCTTCTTGGATCAGTTCATATACTAAAAAAGAGAGAAAAAAATCGACCGTCGACATGTTTTAAGCGCTCTGGAGAAAAACGAGTGCTCGATAGAAACTGAATACGATAATGTTTTAAACAACTGAGTTTTTGTTATTACGAGTAGGAATTAGTACATAAAAATGTTCCTTCTGCCAATTAGGCTTGAAGCACCTGTAATTGGTTGAAAAATGTGCAGATCTATCAGTTGTATTCAAGAATTAGACTGAATGATTTGTGTGTTATGATGTCGCCATGATAATAGTTTTTCGTAAAAAACTTGAAATTCAACTCTTGCTGGAATGCATTAGACAGGTGCATCCAAAATCTAATCTGGCATTATTATCTCCGAAAAGTAGTGTAGTGGAGAGCGGTGAATTGTCACAAAGTACCACAAGAAGCTTGGTTATTCGGTCGAATGGTGGGAGAGTACGGAGTATGGAGTAGGGCTCATTCGCTCTGTCTTTCTATACGAGCATTGGAGCGAGAGTAACGGATTGGATTCAAAGTGCGCGCGCGGCGCAGTCGTAGTTGTGCTCGTGGCGCTTGTTGGCCGGAGGTGATCGACCTAGCAGAGGCGCATGGCGTTGGCAGTTCCCCACTACGTACCGCCGCCAATGCACGCCAGGCTTGCTTGCCCAGCCTCGACACGACCATTGGTCCTCGATTGCGCCCGACCAATCATCGGCACGTAGCACGCCCGAGGAAAGTATCCAATGTAAGTCCACAAATTAATATCAAACTCAAAGCCCGCCACTCTACTCGGCCACCAGCTAACTCGTGCACACACTGATCCAACCACCTGGCACCCACGCACAACACACTCTTCACTTTGCGATTTGACTACCTCTTTCAATTTACCTACTACTGCGTGTATGCTTCGTTCCACCGAAAACGCCACGACGCCTCTCGAACTCCACGCTACTTAGGCTTATGCACACGTCCGTTGATATGGACAAATTCTACATGGTATGCATACGCTCTCTCTTGGATCCCACCGTCATGCATTGTTGTGCGGTTTTGCGTGTCTCCGCGGCGCGTTGTTTTGTCTACAAACCGTAACATTGTGCCTTAAGCTGTACTTGTTCGCTTCTCTGTCGGGGCCTCCCGTTCTCTCTCAGGCACCCGCTTCGTGCTACGAACGAATATCCACATTCATTGGTAGCACGGATATCTATATTCGTTGATGCTACTTTAGTGCGTGACTGTGCGGTAGGGACACCTTTGCATCAACCGTTTTATTACATAACTATCCATCATACACGTCCAGTCTACTTTTTCAACTTATTTGACAGTGTTTCTGCGTGAAAACAATGTCTCCAATAGCTTACAAAGTACGTTTCAGCCTGTATGTTATCCCATATTGCCTATGGGCAAGAGGCTATAATTTACCTTTTTATCAGTCATCGAATGGAAACTTATCAAACTTGAGTGCTATTGTAAGTTCAAGTTTCCTTGTTCTATCATGAAATGCCATTATTTGTCTCCAAGATACCTAATTGGCTACTGATTCCAACTCAATTTCGAGTGAATGTCAACAACAAAACATAACAATGTTTTTGATTTCAACATTTCAGAGCATAAGCCAAAATGGACCAGCTTGGAGATGGCCAAGCAGTTATGGTTGGAGGAGCTGGTGGGACACTTCAGGTTGTTCAAATGGGTCAAGGTGGTCAAGCAATGATGCTTCCACAGACCATTCAAGTAGCAGCCCCCAACGGAGGAATTCAAGTCGTTCCTGTCTCAAGTTTGGCTGGAGCTGGTCAGCAAATAGTCATTCAACAACCACAAACACCTCAAATCATTCAAACACCCGATGGACAGACATATATTTATCAGCCAGTGCAACTTGAAGGACAAGTTCAACAACAAACTCAACCTACAGGTAATTATATATTGATATTTGTATAGGATAATTATAACAATGATGTTACATATTTTTTTATTTTTCAGTCATAAATCTAAATGGTAATCTTATGCAAATTGCAAGTCCAACGACACAAACTGCGACTACAGCGTCGAGTCCAGTTCAACAGATAACTGCACCAGCAGCCGCAGCAACACAGGCAGGAAACATTGTCATGGTAATTACAACAAAGTCTCTTTCACTTGCACAGTTTGCGTATAGCCATTATGCAGACTTGTAGTGATAATAGAGCAACAATGCTTGCAATTTATTGTAATGAGTCAGTGTACAATTAACAATACTCTACAATGCACAATGATCTATATACTTTAGTTGTGATATTTGTTGCTATATAGTAACTTTGGAAAATGGACATAATTTGAATAATTTGTGTGGTAGATGGTTCCTGGTAATAGTGGACAACCAGCATTCCAGCGAGTTGCTCTACCTAATGCAGAGTTTCTTGAAGAAGAGCCACTCTATGTAAACGCCAAGCAATACAGACGTATTTTAAAAAGACGACAAGCAAGAGCGAAACTGGAGGCTGAAGGAAAAATTCCGAAAGAAAGACCTGTAAGTTCTTATTATAACCTAGAGAGAAATATTAGAATATTATTATTCTGAGACTGACGAAGCTGATTTTCCGTGGGAAATTTTTCAGAAATATCTCCACGAATCACGTCATCGACATGCCATGAATAGAATTCGAGGGGAAGGAGGACGTTTTCATTCTGGTCAAGTAAAAAAGAGATCGTAAGTTACTTCTTTTTGCTCTCTTAATTAGGTAATATTGTAATTCGACGACGTATGCATAATACGTAGTGTTCGCAGGAGTAAAGCAAATAATGGAGTTATGGCTCAGCATATAGCTGCTGCAACTGGTAACAATACTATCCGAACTATCACGATACCTGCATCGAGTACGGGATTGCAACACAATGCTGATAATATGACATCTACAATAATCATTGAAGTGAGTTATTGAACTACTTTGAGTAATGTCTTACTTTGGAGCATAATTATAAAACTTTTTTTTATGTACAGAATGGGAGTGCAGGTGAATTACCAGATATCATCAGTGATGGGACTTTAGTTGATATTAAGTAATACTAAGTGAAATTAAAGTACTAAGATTTTTCACAATAAGTTTGTATGCAAGGCTTCTGAATATTTACCAAGGAGTCTGTGATCAATTTGAAAGTTTGAGAGAGATTAGTTTTATTACCACAAAAAACAAAATGTTAGTTATATCGAGAATGTAAATATTCATTCAAAAGCGCAAGGCGCTTTTCTCTTGCTGACATTGATGGTATCAATTCTAGTTAGAAACGTTAAAAAAAACTAGCTATAAAATAACTTTTGCGAACTTTATTACAGGCCAGAATAGTTCAATAGAAGTCATTAAAGAATAGTTTTGTTCTATAAATTTGATGCCAGATTATAGCAAATTATATATGTTTTTTATACATTTCCAAATTCACTAAGCAATATATTATATCGAAAAGTAACTTATTAATTGTTTTTGCATCGTAAATAAGTTTTAGTTTGGATTTTGTAGTTAATTTGTGTATTTTTTTATAGAACAAAAAATCGACCGTATCACAGATGAATGAATGAGTGACTAATGTATAGTTTTTTTAATGTTTGGCGCATAGCTACTTTATATGTAAAAATTTCAGTTCTTAGGTCAAAATCAAATAATGAAGAATGTAAGTACAATTATTACAAGCCAATGTTAGGCAAATTAAAACTTCTATTAACATTGCCATGTAGAAAAGAATAGGTTTCGAATCTGTTTTTGTATTTATCTAATAATACATCCGTTCTAGTGCTCAAAGAGTCAGATTAAATAGAAGATGTGTCATAACAATAAGATTTTTACTGTAGTTTGTCTAATGAAAATAGCTTATTGATTTCTTTTATAATTTACGTTATTCAATAAATTGTGACTCTTTGCCACTTATGTAAATAAACGAGCGTGTATGATTTTACGAATGATTGATTTTGAGAACGAGAATGAGCAAATATAATTATATAAAATCTTAGAGAATCGAAGTGTTGAAGCTAACAAATCTTGGTTAAAAAAATTTTATAAAACAATTTACATGATATGAATTATTAGTTAGTCAAGTAATTACTGTACATTTACAACACAAATCTAAAAAGTCATTATATTGTAATCGATTTTTAATCCCTATTAAAGAATTTACAATATTATGTGTCTTTTCGACGCAATCATTAAGATGAACGAGCAGTTATTTTGAACTATCAGGATTTTTTATGTTCCTCGGGTGGTTCTATGGGGATCGCTGGTCCGTGAAATTGTTTTTTTTCATGATTCGGTGACCTGCGCGACCAATAATCTCTTGGTACTCGCTGTCTCCGGTTCTTAAATTCAAACACAGTACAAATTTCATAACAATTTCAAAAAGTGATACGTTCTTAGCGATTTAAATTCAATTTTAATGTATACCTTACACGGAGAATTTCACGTTCTTTCTCATTGACACCTAGATTATTCGATGGACCATTGTACTTGCGTGATACCAAGTTACCAGTACAAAATTGACGTGGATCTCGATAAGATTTTTTCTGTATTGTCTCCGGTATCAAACTGTCATTTGACAAAATAATCTGTTGAGAACGGGGCTTTTTCTGGCCGAGCGAACCATGATCACCTGCACATGTATTGTTACACAACACGCTAACCAAGACTTTGTGTAGCGTTGTTATAAAGATAACACTTATGTTTACTTATATAAGGAAAAAAGAAATAAATAAGGTCGTATGTATAATCGACAGACTGAAAGCCGCATGGAGGTGCGTGTAGTAAAGCTTTATATAAATATATATTGTAAACAAGTGACCCTTCCAAGTACATATACATAACCACCAAGTTACCTCACACAATACTTTTGTACGTGCCGATAACCAAGTGTACTTTTTCCGACTCTTTAGCAAAGAAAAGCAATCAAAACGTTGTAGTTAGTAGCACGTTGTGCTTGGAAGGGGCTTTTTAATTATTTTTTGTCTTTAGTTGAGCAGCACCGAGTAATAGTGTAGTTTTCTTGCCTAAGTTTTTCGCGAAATACTCGAGTTGGTAAGTGCTCTTTAGCAATTTCTCTTTATCCAGCTCGATAAGTGTTTCGTTTAGCGGTTCCATACGAGATAGAAACTTCAAGTGCGGCCGCTCGCTTTGCAACTGTGTACGATGTATGTAAACGCAAATGAAGAACAATAAAATTATTTTGTTTATATAATTTGGTTTGTTATAACATTACCTTTTGTAAATTTTTCGTGGCTGTCTCTGTACGGAGATGGACAGGTAGACTGTTATTTTTCTGTTCAGTGTTTAGATACTCTTTGTATGCTTCGATGATTGGATTTGGATTTATATACTCTGGGTAGAAAGGTTTGGCCTTGAAAAGATTGCAAATTTTTTTTGGACCAAATTCTTTTTTCTGTTCTGTTGCAAAATCGCGGGTCTCATCTTCTATTTCAAATAACATCTTAAATTGGAGTTTAACTATTTACGTTGGATTAATATTGTGAAGGTTAACGTTAAAGTTGACAGTCTAGATATTTCAATATTATTTTTTTTTAAAACACTGACACTTAGAAAATTTGTTGATCTAATAATGTTTGATCTATAATACATTTATTTGAATTATTGTCATATAGAGAATAACTAGAAATATACCTGAACAAAATTTACAATTTATGTAAATTGCTATTTAGATGCAATGGAGATACACAACGATTTGCTTCAAGTTTTGTTAGAATCATTCTCTTGCGTTTGGCAATGATGACCTTTTGAAGATTTCGAAGAATAATTTTGCCACCCGAACGTCCGTGAACGTCTTGGTAGGTAGATAATTGGCAGTGTAGAGTTTGCGGACTTACGTAGCCAAAAACTAAAAGAAAATTTCCAAAGAAATGCTTGACATATCCTTTTATTCATAAAATCTATTGAATCTTTACTTCTTGTCGTTGAATATGGAACTCTCGACACTTCTTCCATATGAGGATTATTGTACAAATTTTTTATGTAATTTACCAGCTCGCTTCCAAGATCTTTTTCCTCTTTCTCTCGTGCGTATCTCTCGAGTATTTCTTTATCAAATTCAATTTGATAGGCAGTTTTATATCGATCCAAAATCAATTTTCTAGCAAGATCTTCAGATTTGTCAGTCAACAGTTTTGATTTATCGGCGAGTGTGATTTCGTAATCTTCTACTGGACGTATTCTAAATTTACAAAATCAATTGTAAAAGATACAATTTGTAACAAACTAATATTCAATTATAATCAGTTTGATCAATTCTTGGATGAACGTTCTTATATAAAGCCGTTCGTGTACCTAAGTAACATCGTATTGTAATTTAATACATTGCGGTCGTTCTAATTTCATATCGACATAATAAGTCTAATAGGTAATGTATAGTCTAACTAATACCGCACATTTGTCTACGAAAAAAATGTTAACAACAAGCTTATTTCTTATACCTATTGAGTATGTAGTCTCAAATAATTTCAAGCTTTATTATGTTGTTAAAGATCATTAAAATTTTATGTTAAAATAGGACGATGTCCAATATATCCGAAACTTACGGTTCCAACTTATTAATTTTCTTCGCCGTAAATTCATGTTGATATTCCGTGGGAAAAGGTGTGCAAAGATTTCGCATTTTTCTTCCGATCGCAAAGGAAACTTATAATTTGAACAGTGCTTTCGGCTAAATAGCCAATGCGACTGCGGGCTTTTGAAAACTAGCGCTGCACTTGCAGTGCCGATGACCTAACCTTAAAACCCAAACAAATATGTATATAAATTTATATATATATAGTTATAATAGTATGTGACGATGGCTGTTTCTAATTCTTTATTTTTGCAATTAGCAATGTTTAGAAATATTGTTAAGTCTTCTAACATCAGATCTAACTTATTTAGAAGAATTACTAATCGTCTGGTAAGAATAAAAATAGAAATGTTATTCTTATATTCTTGAAGAAAAATTGAATCAACGTTTGTAATACTCCTAACCTTTTTCTAATAATTTTATTTCTAAATTTATAAATGATAAGTGATTCGCAGTGAAAATAGATTATTTTTTATTTCATTAGATTTCTATTGGAAATATTAATGTTCTAGAAAAACTTTCATACAATTTTATATTTTTTTTACTTATATCATTTACACTTTGTTCTTCAAAATATAAATTGTGCTGTTTTTAAAGTGATTGTATTTTTCTATATAGGACAATGTGTCCTTATATTCCATTGCTACTAATCCAGCAGAAAAATCTGCTAGTGAAAAACCTATTGAAAAAACACCAAGAAAAATGAGTAAAGCTATGTTGGCATATTTGGAGCGTGCTAGAGCTCATGGTATGTTGACTGTTGTTCAATTGAAAACTTTTTCTTTACTGTTACAATTAATTTTGTTATTTATTTTTTTCCATTAGATGAATTTATAAAGAATGAAAGAGAAAAGTATCAGATAGGAAAAAGGCATTTAGCAAATATGATGGGAGAAGATCCTGATCTTTTCACACAAAATGATATTGAGGTAAATTTATATATCACCAACTTATTTTTTATTTCATTAATCCAAATATTAATACTTTTGTTTTTTTGCAGAGATCTATTGAGTATCTTTTTCCATCAGGGCTGTATGACAAAGCGGCAAGGCCTGTGATGAAACCTCCGGAAGAAATGTTTCCACCTAGAAAAGCAGCTGAATTTGATGAATTGGGAAAACCATTCCACACAATGTTTTATACTGCACAACCAAACTATTATAAATCACTTTATGTATGTTAGGAATGTGTTTTTCTGAAGTAATAGTATTTTGATTATATACTAATATTTTATTTGTAAACATTAGGATATAGTAGAAGAAATGCAGAAGTTGAATGAGATTGAGGATAGCATGACAAGAAAAGGTGTTGCTCCAGATAAAAATATTAGCATGTAAGCATTCTGAAATATTATGAAAAACTTTTTAAAATGTATCAGACCTTATTAATAGTAATATAAAAGTGATGAGTATTATAATATAAAAAAAAATTTTCAGAGATTTGAGTGGCTCTGACTGGTTAGATAAAAAAGAATTAGAAAAACTTTTTTTAGAAAATATGTCAGATGATAACGTAAGTTACATGTGTATTAATATTTCATTGATTAGTTAGAAACTTTGATGATTCATTTCATTCATTTAAATAAAATATTTTTAGTATGAATATATACAAGCAACATTAGATAGATTAATCAATCATCCATATTCTCACATGGTACAGAATTTCGTTATGAAATTTAGAAAAAAAATAAAATCACATGCAGAATCACTAATAGTGCCACAGGTAATCTACGTTTTATATTTTAAATTTCTTACTATTCTCAAGTTCTTTATACATTTTTCTTTTTCCACTTAGTTGGAGATTGATGAAAATGGTAGACCTTATATAACAGTACCAGGTATAATAATTAATAACCGACTTTAGTTAATATTCACGTTAAAATATTAATGGTTTTTCTGTTATCTTTTAGATTGTATGAGAAAAAGTGCTCGAGGAAGCGTTACCTTAAGAGGTAAAGGTACGGGAAAAATAATAGTTAATGGTATACCGGTTGAGAACTACTTCACTAGACATCAAGATCTTGAACAGGTATGATTAGTTTTAATCTAATAACGTTATTCATAATTCGTAAAGTAAAGTATTGAATTACAAGTAAATTAAATGCTTTATTAGCATTGCAACAGTGACATCGGTGGTGAAATAACCCTTTCTTTCGTTTTTTTTTATTTTATCAACATTGCTATCGTTTTGACCTAGACCTAATTATATCTTTTTGAGAGAATTCAAAGTAATATCCGTATGTTGATTTCATTTAAAAACATAAAATTTTTTCAAAAAGCACGATTAGGTCATAAACGATTTACTAGTAGAAAATATATCAGCAAGATTGAAAGTTTCAATTACAGTTTTAAGTAGTCGTGCTCTAGTTAAAGTTAATCTATTGCGCATTTCTGTATTTGATGAAAGATCTCAATAACCGAAAAAAGTAAATCCTTATCCAATGAATAGCACTGCATTTCTATCATTATAATTATTTATCGTCAAAAAAGATTCAACTATTATTTCTTTCTGCAATGGTTTAATCCTTCACGAAGTGGTAACTTTAAATCATGATGATATTATTAATCAAAGATTGAACTTTTCCTTCTACATAAGGTAAAAAAATGCCTAGTAAACAAGGTAAGTAATCTTTACTTTTTTCTATCTATATAAATTCCAGTGAACTTATTCCGAATAAATTATCTTATTAACGGACTGAAAAATTAAACTATGAAAAAATTAACTGTTATCCGGTGCCGTGATTAAATTCAAAGAATAAAAACACTTTGATCAGCAGTGAACTAGCAGTGAAGTAGTAGGAAGATGTGTTTTTTTTTTATCTGCGATCAGGGAATCCCGCTGTTAAGCTACATGAACAAGTGCCGACTATCCTCTGACGAGAGAGTATTAAAAGCCTTCATCCGAATCGGGGACTTTCTAAACTCTTCGAGTCCTCCTTTCGCCTGCTTAAATGAAATGTGTAAGTGTGGGTAGCTGAAAGTTACATATTTATATTTTGAATGAAATTTCAGATGATGTAACGTTAAATCAGCCATATCTATCATTCAAATTCACTAATGTTTGTTTATAATTTCTTTTTGCAACCGACAATACATCTTATCGAACGATGAAACATAATGCAATAACATTCAACTAGAAAATGTAGCCATGTTTATGTGAATTTTATAAATTTCGAAACGGTAAGCAGGGACTTTAATCAAGAGACGCAGCCCGATATTCATTCAAAGTACTTTCTCCAGTCGAAAAGAAAGGGAAATCGCCGGGTGTACGCTAACCTTTTGTTCCTCTTACAAACGGTGAAAGTTGCATGGTTGAATGAATCATCACGGATACGCGGTTCACCTTGGTATATGATTCACGCGAGATGCACATTCGTTATTTTTCAACGACACTTACGCAAGTTTTCGTCTTGTTGTTTTTCTTTTCATTCTTTTAGTTTATCAAATTTTATTATTGATTTGGTTATTGTTAGATTTTGTAAGTTTTATTTTCCCGATACTAAATGAAAAAATAACTTTCAACTCGCAATTTAAAAAATGAAGCTTGCATCTAACAAGTAATTTCGTATCGGAAATTTCGTATGAGCTTTAAATTTAATTATATATTCACGAAAAAAAAAACTGCGCAATTTCAACTAGTCGCGCTATCAATCTCAATAAGCTGCAGTCACATACGGGCAAAAAGCTCAGCGAGCGCTCGAAATTCATACAGGTTGAAATAGAACCCGTCAATGTGCGCAACGATTTCATTGAGATGCTTGTATTCATTTAAGGTGCTTCAATTGTTACATAGAGTTCAAAATGCTCTTGCTCAACTTGACATTTAAGCTTTTTTCTCTTCTCACTTCTTTTTTATCGAATCAATTCTTATTCTCAATGCATTAATATGTTTTTAGAATTTTGCTGGATTTTTAAAAGAATAACTTTTTTTAATGAATTCTTACCGATGATAAAGAATGAACACATGGTGTCATTCGTCAAAAGCATAACGAGCAATCATCGTTGAAATTTAAACAGGTGCGAGCTAATGATTTATTGCAAAGGGGAAAAGGAGTCCAATTGAGCTTTGAGTATGTAGATCAGTACACTGGGACGGTGCAATCGAGTCATCTGTAGTTTTACTTCTGGAATAGTCGCTTTATAGTTTTTAAAACTGTCTAGACATTTCTTATTTCACATTCGTGCAATTTTGCTCATTAAATATTTCCTCATATCAGTACAAGACGTAACTATACAACAAATTCGAGTGGCAACCGATCAACTTTTTCAATCCTAAAAGCAACGGTAGCATAGATGTAAGTGACGGAGTGTAATAGTTCAAACATTTTATCAAAAGTATTCAATGCACATCTCTCTCTCTCTCTCGCTCTCTCTCTCACTCTCTCTCTCTCTCCCAGTTCGAGTACATCCCTCTACTTCTCGTTCGCAGCGCGACTAACTGGTCGGTCGACTGCTGCGGGCCGTCGATTCAGTTACAACGCGCACGCCGGCGGATAAACAAGCAACTTTGTTACTGCTTGTCTTGTTCACATAATGACTGCTTGCAGTTCGTTGATACTTCCACCCCCAAGGAAGCTTCCACTGCACTACTACCATGATCTTCGCTCGACAGCTTGCTTGAAGGTGACTCTCCAACCGTCATCCAGTCTGTGTGTGTGTTTGAGAGTGTGATAGGTGCTTGAATGGCCCTTTGTTAGCTCATTTATTGCTGCGCACTGAATTTTATACATTTAGTGTGTGAACGATAAAATCGGTTGTTTCTCGTTGGTGAGTCTTCCACGTTCAGAGAGAAAGTTCAAGTGGCAATCGCGATCGAAGTGTGCGACTTTTTACCGTTTCGCGCTCGTTTATCTTACGCGTGTATCGTTGTGTTATATATAGCTGGAATTAGTGCGGTGAGTACTTCAAGGTTGTCAGTAGCGCATTTTTGATGGGTTACGCGCAACAGTAGTTATATGTGTGTTTTACGACTACTAGAGAACTTTTCTCAAGCCTTTCTCATCGCACGCGGAGTCCGCATGATTGTAACGCTGCTAATTTCATCGGTCGATTATCGAGTTATGAATCTTGATATTTTGATGTATTTTTTTCTATAAAATACGTTGAGATAATTTTTTGATTAACGCGTTCAAAAACGCATTGATTTAATATCTGATCTCTGTTTGGTTTTAACATCAATGATTTATATAGCCGAAGAAATACATTTTTTCTCCAAATGACGGCTTAATTAAATCCACTAATTTACAAGAGTCTCTATTCAAGAAACTATCCAAGATTGACCGCATAGATAACAATTGATTGGAAGTGTGCAACGTCCACAAAAGACTACTTACTATCGCGAGACGTGCGTAAATCTCGTCTTTGATAATTAATCGAATCTTCGTTAATGAAAAAAAAAATCACACGGCAAGTGGAATTAGCGTCAGCAAAGCTGCTTATTGCGGGAAAATGAAAAGCACCTTCGTGTCTCGTTGTTATCATGATACGGAAACACTGTGCGCTTATTGCAATTTCTTCGAATTCTCATTTGCAATTTCCATTTGACAGCGGCGATCGATTACTGTACAGTCTTGTAATTTGTTTTGAATTGTCGGAAAAAACGTTATTCAACAATTAAACTTGACTCATAAACAGACAATTTTCCGTCGCGTAAACACACATCGAAGAAATACCTTGGCAGGCATACAGAATTCAATTCAGAAAAATGTATCGCTGTCATAGCGTGGTTTTCTCTTCTTTGCTTGTATATCATATGTCGCTTGTATATTGCGGGTACAGTAGCGTGTAGCTTTTGCTTATTAGTAGCTTTAGTGTATCTTCTCAATGGAGATTAAATGATTACCTTCTAAATTTTAAAGTTGAAACGAGCAGGGTCCAGCTCGGGAAAAAAATTTGTTTTCATGCACGCACACTTTTCTCTTTTATGATTGCTTAACGTTTTGGTCGATACCTCGACGTGTTCGAGAAATACTTTAATTTTTCATTTCGTCTTTCAAATTAAAAAAAAAAAATTGAAAGATCGGTAGCGCGACGGCACTTAATCGCGTATATAGCTGAAAGCATAACGAGAACGGTATATATATAGACGGAAAGACAGTAGAGACATAACTATATGGCCCCACGATTTTCCAATTGACATTCGCTTGGCTGAGAGAAAAAGTGACGTATACATCGCGTGTGTAGTCCGCGCACGATGGATTCACGGAGGACGATCCAATTTTTGCAATCAAACCGGTTTATATTGCTCTTTTCTTTTTACTCGCGTCGAGTTGATCGTTCGTTTACATACGATTGTGTGTGCAGCGCTCGAATTGCCGTTTTTCTTGACACTTATTACTTTGGTTTTGATGCTAACTAATTGATACAAGCTTTAGTGCTTTACGTAAACGAATACCGAATATGAATGCGCAGTCGCAAGTAGGCGCATAGCGATCGGCAAATAACAGTTTCGTAGCGAGATAATCGCGGTGCAGGAGATGTTACCTGTCGCTACGTTATATACGACGCGCTCATCTCTGTGTACACGATGACCTTGGCATTGCGCGACTTTCAAAACTGCTCTGAACTCGAAATATTTAGTATCGTGATTCTTTCTGCACATCCTTTTACATTTGTGATGATTATTTGACTATATAGTTTACATCACCGCACTATGTCTGTTACATAAAGTCAATGTGCACTATAGCGTTTAATCCGTGGTTCTTATTGCGCTAACAATAATTATTCCACATTTCCCTGCAAACAGTAAACACTTTATAAGAAATATCTAAACGATTGCTTATAGTAACCCAATCGCAAGAGAATATAGAAGGAATTATTAAATGTTGACGTCAGTGCTTTTTTGACGACGGGTTCCATATAATATTTTGTTCCTTTTTATACGTGCATGATTCGATGGCTGTGTGTAAGCGGTGCTTTGAGATTTCTCCCCTTTTTTTCAAACTTGTTTACCTTTGATAACGTTTCATTCAAACAGGTACTCGTTAAGCTGACTCGTTCAAATCGCCGTGCTGTCGTACAGTGGGTTTATCGAGAAGTAAAACGCGTGGAATTTTCTGTTGGATTACATGTTTCTACATCCAATTCGAATTATTCCGATACAATAGAATTAGATAATCGGTATATTAATCGGCAGGAATAATGAATCAATCGTCGAAATTAACAATTTTTTTCGTTATATTAATTGAATGAGAGTTGGGTTCAGGTTAAAAGTTTAACGAACAGTTTCGACTAAAGATTTATTTTCTTTCAGTAAGTCTACATGTACCGGATCTTAACTTATCATCATCATGACGAGCAACAACGTCATCAACCACTTTGACAAAACCTTTCCGATTCTCTCGCCGCCAGTATCAGCGCGACCAAACAAACGCGTACAATTGGAACGGAGCTCGAGCAGCATACAATTTCCAGCCTCGGCCATGTCATTAGTCCACAAATCCAAAACCTCATCGTCATTACTTCTAAGTCGATGTCTTCGTGGCGGAGATCGACGCAGTTCGATGCCAACTGATCCGGATGATCAATCGTCCACATGGACACCCGATGAAGATCGTTGTATGGAATACGGAACACCGCCACCGATCGAAGAGCCACATTGTTACTCCATGTGCTTGAGTGAAAGTTCAACTTCTGACGAGAACAGTTGTGCCGTACAGGTGACCAGAGATTATGTGAAGACTCTGTTGATTGAACACACGAGAGCGTTAGGTTGTAGGATGCACATCTTGGAAGACTTGGAGAACGGCAAGATTGAGCTCGGTTCTTTAGGAAACTATTTAGATTCGTGCAAACCTCAAGAGATCAACGCGATACTATTGTACTCGAGTTTTCTTGGTTACGGAGAATTTATACCAGTAATCCACAGTCGCGGAGCAGATTTATACCACGTGGAACTTGAACTCGGTATGACGTCTCTTCATTTATGTGCCTTCAGCAACAGTCTCATTGGAGTTCGGTACCTTCTTGAGCAGGGCGTCACCATTAACTCTCGAAAACCACATACACCTTTTCATTTTGCGGCTTTCGGTAACGCGTCCGATGTGGCACAATATTTTTTGAAACTCAACTGGAGTCAAGAGTCACCACTTGGCGAAGAGACAGTTCTTCATGCAGCTTCGAGAAATAGTGCAATAGACGTATTGCGAATCATCGCTCCGAAGAATCTTGCATTGAATAGAATCGACAGTGCTGGTTACGCAGCAATACATTACACAGCTGAAAGAGGTGATTCTAATTGTCTGAAAGTTCTTCTGGACGCAGGTTGTCTGGTGGACATAGCCACGAGGAAAGGTGAGACGGCGTTGCATCTAACAGCGGAAGCTGGTTGCGTCGAAAGTCTCGAGATGTTACTAGCTAAAGGAGCTAATCCAGCTTTGAAAAATAGAAGATGTCAAACGGCATTACATCTTGCAGCGAGAACACATTCGCTCGAGTGCGTCGAATCATTACTACAACATTCAGGCAGTGACCCGAATGTGGATGATAATGACGGCAGAACTGCGCTACACATGGCACTTGGTAGGTCATTGTTAGCCTACGACGTTACGGAAATGCTGATCAGCTGGAAGGCACAGGTAAACAAGGCTGACAAGTACGGTTACACGCCTCTTCACGTGGCTGCTCTTAACGAGTTGTCACAGTGCGTTGACATACTGATTCAACACGGTGCTGATTTGAGCGCGAGAACCAAAGGCGGTACTAGTGCTCTGTCAATCATCCTCAGGAAAACACCATCGTCGTTGAATTGCTTTAAGCATAGACTAGATGCGTCTGTTAGTCTTCACCAGCATGGATCTGCCGCTGGAGAGGTTGAATTAAGATTAGACTTTCATCCTTTATTGCAACATCAACAGCAAGGCGAGATCGGTTATCTGGGTACTTTTGTTAAAGAAGGTTACAAGGAAATCTTGGAACATCCATTGTGTCAGTCATTTCTGCATCTCAAATGGCAGAAGATTCGGAAATACTACGTTGGCAGATTACTGTTCTATCTACTATACGTCTTGGTTCTCACTGCTTGGGTTATCACGGCTCTTGCGCATAATTGTTACAACGAATCTCATGGTCAATTAGACAATTCAAGCAAACCTTTGTGTGCCAATTCTACCGGCCTCAACGGCTTTCTTTATAGACACCCGGTTGTATTGGAAATCGAGTGGTACGCTCTGGTTGTGCTTACAGTATTAGAAGGTCTGAGAAAGCTAATGGGTATTTTAACATATTCGAGCTTGAGGCAATTCTTCACTCAGGCAGAAAATATGGTCGAGTGGTGTGTGATCGTCAGCGTATTTGCTACCTCGTTTGTATTCACCGGGAGAACCTATACTTGGCAGAGTCACGTCGGTGCCTTCGCTGTTCTCTGCGGCTGGAGTAATCTCATGCTTATGATTGGTCAGTTGCCAATGTTTGGTGCTTACGTTGCCATGTTTACTAGCGTCCAAGCTCAGGTTTTCAAACTGCTGTTAGCCTACGCTTGCTTGTTGGTCGGTTTTACCGCGAGCTTCTGCGTCATATTTCCGAGATCCAAGTCCTTCAGTAGTCCACACACAGGTCTCATCAAAGTACTGGTAATGATGACTGGCGAGCTGGACTTTGAGGAATTGTTCTTCCCTGGCGAAGAGGAAGGTGGCAGACCCGTCGACGTTGGTGGCACATCTTGGATACTATTGCAAGTCTCGGCTCAACTGTCCTTTGTACTGTTTTTACTCTTCGTTACCATCGTTTTGATGAATCTTCTGGTAGGTATCGCTGTACACGATATCAAGGGTCTACAGAAAACAGCCGGTCTGGCTAAACTTGTACGCCAGACAAAACTCATCTGTGATTTGGAGGCTGCGTTATTTCTTGGTCTTCTACCACAATGCCTTATGAAACTATTACGTTGGACAGCTCTGGTACTTCCTTCACCACTGAAGGCTGTGTTGACTGTACGACCGTTAAATCCGCGAGAAAAACGATTACCACGCGATGTTCTTACTTGCGCTTATAAGGTTGCTCGCGAACGTAAGGGCCATAATTTTTCGTCTACTCTACAGAGTAAAAGGAGTAATAGCACTATCTACGAGTATCAGAAGTTTGACTTCAATTCGTCGTGTAGAAGAAGAAATACGGCGATGATAGATGATGAATCGACTTTGGAAGAAGCGGCGAGATTGAAAGAAGAAGTAGCAGAGTTGAGGAAGATTTGCGAGAATAATAATTTGCTGATACAAGAGCTAGTCAAGAATTTTATGGGCGGTAAGTGACTTTGAAGGAGATTTTGTGATAATAAAGGGTATTGCTGTTCGAAGAAAAAAATATTAATAAATACTCAGTCGAGAGTCTCACTTTTATTGAGATAAAATATTGCTTGCGCTAAGTAGCTGAGTAACAAACGCATATATTTACTACTCCTGTTGTAACATTTTTAGATATAGCGATCCATTGTACAGTGTAAATATCTATCGATCGTCAATTAAAGAATATTCACCACATTTTAAATATTTTTGTAATCATTGATAAAAATATTATTTTTTATACGATTGATCTAAATGTAGCTTTTAATTTGTTTACTTCGTAAAGTTCATTTTATAAGATTTGAAATCTGCGTACACTGATTTAAGTCTAAGCTTTTCAAAGTTTTTATAATAATTAAATCGCATTGTAATATAACATAGAAAACTCGATTAAATATAGCGATATTTGTTGTTTTTTATGGTAGCCATTGCGATCCAATAAGCTTTAATAATTAAAACATAGTAAAATCAACCCATTAGTTTTCAATTTTAAGTTTTTTTTTTTTGTAGAGTTTTCAAAACATTTTTATGGTTTTTATCATTCCATTATATAATAAAATGCAATAAAATTAAAGTGCAACGGTACACTGACAAATCAATTAGATGAACATTGTTTTGATAGTATGACTCATAAAGTAACGTTGTTAATTAGTGTAATAACAAAGCATAAAGCCAAATATGAAGTTTGATGATGTATACACGTACTTTGAGATTCTTTGTATGAACTGTTCAATTCTTTGGTCGTTTCAAAAAATGTTTTTTGACAAAATATTGTTGATAGATATGTTAAGAAATGAAATATATTTGTATTATTGTGGACAATACGAAAAAATCTGATTATTTGCATTTAGTTAGCATCCATTTTTCATGAAGTCTACATTATTTATAAATAAATTGTAGTTATAGAATTTTTTCAAAGATTCTTTATTGATCCTTTATTCATATTAACAGCATTATTTTATTCATCATTCTTAACTAATATATTAAGTAGAAGTAAAAAGTTATTTATTGAAAAAATGTTATTATTCTTTGAGTTATGCAAAAAATTACAATAATCAGTAATCTAATAAAAAGTATTTATTATATAAGCACGTACAAAGAATATAAACAAAACTCAGTATCTCAAATAAAAAATGCAATTTTTATCGCACATAAGGTATGAACAATGAAAATAACTTATTTTCATGACGACAAAATTATTAAAAAATTATAACGCAAAATAAATTAAATATAAATCAATGCTCGTGCATTATCAAACAAACATTTAATTAGAAACATTTCTACAAAGATTTCACAAACAACAGAAATTAATCACATCGTTTAAATTTCTAAAATCCATTATTAACCAAGAAAATATAAAAAATCAGATTTTTATCAATCCCATCGTTCCAAGTAGAGGATATACATATACATTCACACACACACACACACACACACGTATGTGGTCTTAAGAACACAGGTCAGTCGTCCTCCCCCAGCACCTTCTTATTTTTAGGTTATTTTGGTGATATTTTTAGGATTTTCTCCCGACTCCTTAATGCTCTTCTCCTTTTTTAAATTTTATCCATAAAAATGAAATTATAATAAATACAAATAATAGTGTGCACTGTGGGTATTGAGGTTTTCATTTATAATTTTAAGTATTATTACAATGTTGATTATTCTGTATCTTAAAAATAAAAATGATGTTAGTATAAATATTTCACAATCAATAATTCACTGAAAATCAAATCGTTAAGAATGGTACGAAATTCTAGAAACTCTAAAAGTTTTCATGATAAAATTATAAAATTATAACTGAAAACTCTTATTTTTCAAAGGATTTGAGATTTTATTGAAAAATCATAGAAGCCAATGTAATGTATATACTTAAACAATAGTTGATAAAGAATTTTTCGATTTAGTTTTCATGCTCTTCATAATTAATTCTTATACAAATTACTGTGTTTTCAATACCAATAACTATACCGTTACCAATTAATCACTGATTTCGATACCAATCTCTGTGATACCAATGCCAATGATTGCGATACCATTATCAACCATTGTGATACCATTATCAATCACTGTGACTCCAATACCAAACACTATGAAACCAATACCAACCACTTTAATGCTATTACTAATCACTGTGATTCCAATGTCAAAGACTAAGATACCATTGACAATGATCATAACTTCATCACCAATCACTGTCATACCGTTATGAAGTACCATGATTCAGAAAATGTTATAATTACTATTTATGTGAAAAATTATGCTTAATCTATAAATATAACTTTTTCCTTATCTGGTGGGGTTAACGAACGGAGCCCTATTAGTGCGTGCGTGCGCGCGTGTGTGTGTGGGTGTGCGCGTGTGTGCGTGCGTGTGTTCCATATACTATTATTCGCATTCAGTCCAAAGACCAGCATTTTTAAATAGGAAATTCGAATTTCGTTCACATTTACTTATAATTCGTGCTTGCTCGTGAGAGATGATTATAAAATAAAAAAATAAAAAGTGTGTCGAGAAAGACACGTTTGAAATTTTGTGCAACCATCGTATCGCTTGACTTATTGTTAAACATTCAACATATACTCAACCAAGGCCATTATATTGTACGAAGGTTTGGTTTTTAATTTTATTTTAGATATATGAACTTTACTTGAATATTTAAAAAATATTCCTAGACGTGTTTGATGTGTAGTTTTTTCAAGTTTACTTTTTTACACAATTGTAGAGTTATAATCGAAAAAACAGACGGATCAATTTTAATTTATAAACCATTATTGATAATAAAAAAAGAGAGATAGTTTTATTCTGTAGTTTTATTTGAAGAGCTGGTCATGCTTATTATTAAAAATTTATCTCTTAAAGCGTGGCCCTCTTTTTCAAACAACACACGTGAAAAAATGTCACCTATAAATCGTAAAGTAATGGTGCAGGGTATTCTAATTTTTAATGTCTTTAAAACAAACATATACCGTCCAATTTATTAGAAAGGGTACCTGAAATTTTATTAAGCTGAATGGAAAGAAAAGACGCCAGGACTTTTTCTGAAGATGTAAGTGATCTTGTATTTACGAGTGATAATTGAGTCATTGTATTTTTATTTAATTTAAATTGAGTACCGTTTTATACTTTGAGAGCATTCAAGTAGTGTGGTCACTAAAATATATCAAACTATTTGATATTTTACTTTTGAATAAATTATTCATTGATTCTCAAAAAAAAAGCTTCACATTGTCGCCACTTGCATAGGATTGTCAATAAAACCGTGGATATAGCACGTTTTGACATTAAAGTCGTAGGCATTAGGAAAATAAAACGTTATAACGCATGTTTATCCCAACAGGTACATAATTCAAGGCTATTGAACCGCAAAGAATCGTATGACAAAGTAATTCCCGTTAAATTCGGTTGTGCTCCGTGATATTTTGCCGAACACGAATTTATATTCGGAAGTGTTGCGCATCCGAAAGGTCACACGGAAATTCGGATTTTCGAGGCGTGTATCCGTTTCATTCTCAAGCGTAGACTATACAGTATACTTTTAAATCATTTAATTAAGAGACTGTGATTGGTATCGCACAATAGCAATCAAACAATGATTACAGTTTTTATAAGCCGTGAGATAATATATCGAGCTTATCAGCAGTAAAAAAGCTGCGCGTGTATATTGACACTTAGATAACAATGTAGAATGATTGGACTATAAAAAATTTTTAATTTATTGACGTTGACGAAATCTATAATTTATTGATTTCAAGTTTTGATTAGACATATCTATTCGAAGCGATGTTGACCTTTCTATTTTTTGGTAATCTATTTTATTGCTAGGTTTTAAATCTGGTCAAGTTATGCATGTAAAAGCCAATATTTTGTACCTAATAATAGCAATTATCTGAAATGTAAATGATCTTTGATATTCTTTCCGAAGTCAATATTATCTTTCGTACGTGTTGGAGTTCAGTAATTTATTAATCGTATGATAATCAAAAATGATTTGTTATTGAATTCTCAGAATTTCTGTTTAATATGAAATAAATCTCATTTCAAATAGAAAACAAATTTTAATGTCAATGGTTTTATTCGACTACAATAATACATTAACTATAACATAATACATTTAACGAATTAATAGAGATGTGAAGACGCAGAGTACTTCACAACTAGATCAAGTTCGTTATATACCTACTCAAAATTCACATAACCTTTAGCAAACGCATTTTCACTTCATGAAAAATTAATGTGAATTCTAAGAAAAAGCAAATCTGCACTATAATCGTCAATCATTACACAAAGCTCGTTTAGTAAAATAAACAAAACGTCGAGCGCATAACAAAGAATATCGTACATATAAAAAGTCAAAGTCAGTATGAAAATTTCGTGAGCTAATCTGTCAAGTTCAGTGTACAGGCGATCCTCGACAAGGCCGCGAACCCGCGTCGCATCGTCTCGCATCGTTGACTTTCGTGGGGAGTACACACACGGAAGAAGACCAAGGAACTATAGATAGTACTCGACGTGGTTATACGTTGCAGATTCTTTATGCATAACAAATACTTTTGCGGTTTGAATGCGTGTACGTTGTGAATACATTAATATTTAGTAATCTGAATATTTTATTAGTATTTTACTTTTTGCTTCCAATTTGGAAATTCAAGCTATTGACAAGCCTCTTCGTGTCTTGTTTATTTCTTTTATACTTGAATAATTGAACGATTGTCATACACACACACATATAAACACATCGAAAATTATTTTCTACAAAGTAATTCTACAAGTTTTTACGAAACGATTTATACTTTTCAACATCCGACCATCAGCTGTCGAAAAAAATCATTCATTACTGTTATTACAGAATAAAAGTATATTTTCAACTAAATCCTAATCTCTCAATGATACTTGTCACTCGAGTCAAAATTGCAATTACGATACATTTCCGCAAACGTATTTTAAGTCATTCATCGAAACATCAAGAAAAGCAACGTAGCTACACATAGGCGTGACACAACTGATCGTGTATGCGGGTAGCCGAAATGAAGTCGCGTCGCGCTTACTAATAAACTCTCGCACAGGGCCGTTACTTACGCATGGGTCCTTGCCATTATCTCCCACCTGCACGTTTGACAATTTTTTTGTCTTCATATATATAAGCATCTCGATTGTACTGGCAGTGCCAGAGTGAATCCTTGACAGTAGACTGTTAGTGCGATCATTATACTCAGTGGAAACGTGGTGACACCGAGTGTCTGATTAGTGATTTTTTCTCGAGTGCAAAGGATGAAAATTTTTTTTTGTTCTTCATAGAATTTTCGCATTTTATCAGAAAAATAACAAGTTTCGTTTGGTCATTGAGAAAAATAGGCAGTGCAAGACATTGGAAATCAATCAAATCAAGCTTATCACCGTAACATCAAAAGCTTAAAAGCTGATGATTAATTTGTGAGCATGCATTGTTGTACATGCCTACGTCATACCTCAATTCTTCACACGATAAAATACTTTCATTTCATTTTTAGCAAAATCGAACTGAGTATCGTAAAGCTTCAAAATCTTCCGTTTCAGATATCATGAAACAAAGTCCAAAATTGTCCCAAACATTAAACTTCTTTTCGGAAGTGAAAACAAAAGCGTGTACAACCCCCTAAAAACAGGAGAGAGAGAGAGAGAGAGAGAGAGAGAGAGAGAGAGAGAGAGAGAGAGAGGGCAGTGGCAACATTGAATCGGCGCATCTAAGCACTTCTGCGTGTGTTCTTCAGTCAGCGACGAGCCAGCGGCGCAAGCGGACGTGAGTAAAATCAGCGAGCTAAAGTGGCTCAAACAAGCGCACAGTGAACGATCATCATCATGACGATCCTCGGACACAAGTACTACGTCACCCGACGAGGTGACATTTTCGTAGAATAATCTGCGTGATTTAACTCCGCTTGTTGGCTACTGCGCAAGATGTTGTAGAGAGAGACTTATATTTTTTCAGTGACAAGGTTTGTTATATTTTATTTAAATTTCATTAGAGCTGGGGTTGCTCGTGTGTGTAGTATTAATTTACCCTAACTGATACTAATCGATTATGCACTATTTTTATATTGGATTAGTCTATTTTTATATTGGAACTTTCGTTAGTATCTTCCTTACGAATTCTTTTTTCTCGTGTAAAAAAAAATGATAATATGTAATGTTTTCCTATTCTTTCAATACAAATTTTACTGTCGGTAAATTAACCACAAGCAATCCTCCATGCACTTGACACTTGTAATTTTGATGATGTGGAGAAAATATTATTCGTAATAGTGACGTCAATACTTTAACGTGGTGATTTTTTATTCAAAGGTCGCTCGCGCGTGTGTGCATGATGCGTAAAACTATGTAAGGAAGTCGATTGAACTCATTTTTCGCTTTATATTATCTTTTGCCAATAGAGATCGAATTGTCTTTCTGTATGTATATTCAAACGGTAAGCTTATCGAATATATTATGGAACGATGAAAGTATCAAGAAGTAACAAATCATGATTGGATTAAAAGCTTACAGTCAGCGAAAAACTGCAAGTTTCGAGTGTAGAGTTTGAATCGAACATCAAAAAATAAAGTTATTCTCTAAATTTCAATGACTCAAAATAATTTAAAGTAAATTTATCAGAATCTATCATCATTATAAAGCTAACCGTTTGTTAAATTTGCCAGTATTTACCCGTGTACGAGATACAACAAAAAATTGATTTTACTTTTACCAACAACAACATTTCAAGCAAAATACAGTTTTCCTTATCAATTTTTGATTGGAAAAGGGAAAGCATCTTATCCACGAGAGTATTTTTCGTATGCGTTTTAAAAGAGGCCATTGTAGTGATTTGAACACCTAAGCTCTCATTCTGTTCGTCATTGAATTCTCTATACTCCCTCTGTCAGATTTTTTTATCAAGGATATAATTATCTTTTATGGAACCATAAAGAAAACTAGAAACTTTAGTAAATTAACTAATATTCGGATAATAATAAAAATAATTCTATGACTGTATCACTAGTCGTCTTTATTAAATATTGATAACCTCAGTTCCAGTAATTTTTACGAATCGTGCACAGAATAAAAGTATTATTTTCTTGTTAAAAATAGATGGTATCGGCATATTTTCACTGACTATGAGACCTTGATACTGAATTTTCAATTGATTAAATATTGTTAAGTAAAATGTGTGCATCGTTGAAAACAAGAAAACAAAATCAAAGAGAAATTTACAATGACTAGATTAAAATCTTTCAGCAGCAGACGAAGAATGTCCCGCTCGTGGAAGCTAAACGGTTTACCGGAGGAGCCGGAAATCATCATGAACGAGCGACCACAAGTCAACATGCCACCAAGATCACCGCGTACCGAATATAGAAAGCCACGACATTACTCGTTAGGCTGCATTTATGAGCGCCGTACCTCCAAGGACTATTTTCGCGGACGACTGGCATCCATCTACAAATCTCGTCGTAACTTACGACCGTCGATCTTCCTAGAAAAAATCGAATCGCAAGACAACGGCGAACACGTAGAAATAGACGCCGGCACTCCACCCCCAGTCGACGATTCGCTATTTTTCGACCGTGAAATCGAGGCACTCAAACACGTGAAGGTCGATGGTACAAGCTTAAAGACAGCAATGTGGGCAGCGGTTAATGTCGTCGAGATGAAAGATCTTCTGGAGATGGAAAAAGGTAATTTGATGAAAGGTCCGGATGGTAAAATACTACCGAACGCTGATCAGAGGTTCAAGAACATTGCCTTTCTCTGGGCATGCTTTCGTGGCTTGGCTCACTTATTGCCGAAATTGGAAGAGGCGGGTGCTGATATCGACTACGTTGAATCTTGTACCGGCATGAACTCCATACTCGTTGCGTCGCTGTCAAGTAGCATCACATGCTTGGAGTATTTAATTAAACGAGGCGCCGATGTTAATTACGCTAACACCGCGTTGTATTACACTCCTCTGCATTTCGCAGCTTTTGGGAGTTCAGTCGAAGCTGCCGAATTGCTGATCAACAACGGCGCAAAATTCAATTCGTCAAGTTACACGGAAGTCGAGCCCGTGTTGCATTGTGCTGTGAGAGCCAGAGCCGACAAAGTCGTAAAACTCCTGCTAGATAAGGGAGCCAGCGTGGTGCAGAAGAACAGTCAAGGCGAGACGGCTCTGCACGTCGCTTGTTTTGTACAGTGCATCAGCTGTGCCGAACTTTTGCTGTCAACAGATGGTACAGATCCAAATGCCGTCAATCAAAATCACAGAACGCCACTTCACTACGCTGTTATGAACACATGTTCGTCGCCGGAACTCGTAGAATTGTTGATCAAACACGGCGCCTCGGTAAATGTCAAGGACAAACAAGAATTGACACCACTGCACATCGCCTCGTTAAACGAACAATCGCAGTGCGTCGATGCGTTGATTTGGGCTGGTGCGGACGTAAGCGCCACTACGAAAACTGGTCTAACAGCTCTAAACATCATCTTGAGAAAGATACCAGAATCTCTGCAAGTTTTTCGACAAAGACTCGACGCATCGATTAGACTGAAACGACCTGTGCCTCACAATCGTGAGTTTGAGATGAGGCTACACTTCGACTTGTTGTTCCCCAGTAATAATCAGTGTGAGACAAGCTTCATCAACACATTCGTGCAGGAACACCAGAAGGATTTATTGTCGCATCCTCTAGTCATGGCATTCCTTCATCTCAAGTGGGAGAAGATACGCAAGTTTTATCTTATGAGGATTTTTTTATACGCCCTTACCGTTATAGTCATGACTACCTACGTACTCACGGCTCTCGCTTACAGATGTTACAATGTTGGCGAAAGCAACAGTTCGAAGATTTGTAATAATAAGAGACTTTCAGGTTTTTTGTTCAGGCGGCATATCATCGAAATCGAGTGGTATGTTTCGTTGATTCTTACCTGTGTCACTATACCTAGAAAAGTATTTGGCTTCATGGTATACAAGTCGTACAGACAGTACTTCATGAATATCGACAATGTACTGGACGCAATCGTGATCATCAGTGTTTTTGTGACATCTTTTATTTACACTGGAAGAACGTACGATTGGCAGAATTACGTTGGTGCTTTCGCTATTCTTTGTGCCTGGACAAACCTCATGCTGATGGTTGGTCAATTGCCTGCTTTCGGCACCTATGTTGCCATGTTCACTCACATTCAGTTTGAGTTCGCGAAGCTACTTCTAGCTTACTCTGGCTTATTGATTGGGTTTACCATAAGCTTTTGTGTAATATTCGTGGGTGAACCGTCGTTTGGCAATCCGTTTACTGGATTAATTAAGGTACTCGCGATGATGGCTGGTGAATTGGACTTTGAAGGTCTCATCAATCAGGATGATATATTGCACGATGGTTCATTTGTTCTTTATCATCCTTTATCGGTTTGCTCGCAGATATTGTTTACTCTCTTTATTGTATTTGTCACGGTTATATTGATGAATTTGTTGGTTGGTATTGCTGTACATGACATTCAAGGATTGAGAAATCATGCTGGCCTTACCAAATTAGTTAGGCAGACCAAGTTGATTTTGTTTACGGAGATGGTGCTGTACAATGGAAGAATACCTTATACTTTTAAGAAGTGGATGTCCGACCACAAGATCGATGTCGATAACCGTAAGAGAGTATTGGTTGTCAAACCGCTGAATCCTTTAGAAAAAAGACTTCCGAAAGATATATTGAAGTCTGCTTATGAAATTGCCCAGAGAAATGCACCACTTGCTGATGAGGATGATGTGAGTCTTAGTGAACATGAGGCTTGGATGAAACAACAGAGTGAAGAAGGACAGGATTCTATTCTACATTCAACTCTCGACCAGTTGTCGACACAAATTAAATCCACGGAGAGTGATATCAAAGATATTAAAGAGCAGTTATTGGATACTAACAAGATGTTGAAAAGTCTCGTTTCGAGAACGCAGAGGAGATTTTAGAGATATGATTTTAAAATCGAGCATTTATTACGATCTGATTATTGTAAAATTCTCAAAGGTATTTATATTTTTCATAAAAGTGATTTTTGAAATATTTCTTTTGATGGATACGTTTTTGTTTAATGTTGATAATATTAAGTGTCTGTACTATGACAACATGCTGTGAAATATGTATGTTTATATTAAGGTTGTGAGATTCATGTAATGACATTTGTAAAAATTAGCACACCTAGACAATTTCTTTCTCTTTAAATTTACATATATAAGTATAGTAGTAATATGTTAGAAACTAAAAATGTCGACTTTTATAATGTTTACTCATATACACGTGTTGTTATATTCATTAATGCTAATATTAATCATATAACGTGAACTGTTTTTTTTTACTTTGTTGTATACACAGTTTTTAACCAATAAATTAAAAACGAGAGAGTTTGAAATAGAACTTTACATATTTAAAATTTTATTTAGAACATTTATTAGTACAAATTAACATTTTTATAGAATAACTTAAAATGTAAGCTGCGTTCTTTGCGTAAACATGTGCATTTTGTCCGAAAGCATTGATCACATCGATTATAAATAAAATCAGTTTTCGTAAGATTTATCTATATTCTGAAATAAATTTCATGTATAATTCGTAAAAGCTGGAAAGTTTGTATGTGCAATAAAATATAATTTATAAAATTACCATTACCTAATCTATGCATTCTATAATTTATGACTGATACAACATTTATTCTATCAAATTTTTACAGAAAACATTAATTTTCTAATCATCAATTAATAAACGACGTACATATGGCAATATTTCAATCACGAAATAAATCATGTAGGCTAACCGGATCCGTAGCATGAAAGGAAATTCCACATTCTTTTAATTGTATACGACTTAAATGATTAAAAACAATTTTACAAAGTAAGAACTTGAATAAATAATAAAAAAGAAGAACTTGAGTAATAAAAAAAGTTAAGAAAAACGCATTATTTCAAATAAAAACGTCAATTATAAGTTTATATACGGAATCCGCTGATTCATCTTGTCGCATTGCATAATTGATCAAGGCAGAAATACGCGTACAAATGACAATTCGTAAGCAAAAACAAAAAAGATATTTTTGGCTTATAAGCGATTTGCTCTACTGAAACAATGAGATTCATTCTTAAATAATACTTTAGCAAAAAAATATTAACACGATACAGCTGTAGGATAATACATTTATGTACACAAAGTCTTTGTCACTTTTTGATTGATGATGCAGTTCTTGCTTAGGCTTTGTTTGTTTTTGTTTCATTATAATGACGTCTCGAAAATTATCTTCTAAATCGCTCATATATATACGTATAAACTTATTCGTTGACATCTTGGAAATAATAATGTGTACCCACCAGACCGTCGTACCTTCATTTCCCAACTGTTAAATATTCGCTTGGTTATTGAGATTATTTTGTCAAATTAAAGATATTCTACTCTAATTTAGTGACATTTCTTATAATCAAAACGCATTACCAATTGACATCACAGAAATGATAAATGATTGAGCACTAAAACTGAAAACTATTAAATTTACAATTTTTGCAAACTGCCAATTTTACAAAATAAGAATATTAAAAAAAATAAGAGAATATTATAAATTGTAACAATTTTGAACTTTTTAATGTTTTATCTTATAGATAGTATTCCCGCTGACATTCACAGGTTTGCTAGATTCCATAGATGTGGAAGCGCAGGTGCGTGATGGTGGCCCCACGGGTCAGTCTGGTTGTATTCGTTGGGGAATCTCCTGGGGTTTACGTAGTTTCGTCGATCTCGACATGATCGAAAAAATGAGACTAGGTAAGTCGACATAAATGTTTTTATCATGTTGAAGTTGGCTATATCTAGATTTTGTAGATTTATTGATCGATAAGTTAATTAAAAAAAACATAAGTTTTCTAAAACTTGAATTAATTTTGTTGATCTAAATTAGTGTAAAATATTTTATTTTCCTTTGTCTTTTTGTCAGTATATTTAATTATTTATTAACAATAGTAATGCTTCTAACACTACGTAGTTAAGCAAAACTTTCTTTTACTTTTAGCTGGATTGCTGACAAGAGATTGGCGTAGACGCGAAAGGAAGAAGTGGGGTCAAGAAGGTGCTAGAAGAAAATTCACATGGAAGAAACGTTAATTTATAGCCAAATTTTATTTATACATGTCATAGATGCATTCTTTGCTATTATATTTCTGAAGTCTCGTCGTTATAACGTTATAATATAAAATCTTTACAAAATATTATTTTTATTTCCGATTAAATTACATTTTATCGAGAGGTGTAATTCCTAGTAATGTCATACCGTGGCCAAGTACTTTTCGAGCAGTGTGAGTCAATAAGAGCCTTTGGTTAGCTAGATCGGCTGGTTGATCCTTTATTTTTAGATCTTTAAAACATAAATTAATATGATACCTGAAAAATTTATTTAACATCTAATTAGTAGTTGTTCTTTTATGAAAAAATTGATCTTTTTCTATTTATTCATTTATTATTACTGAAAATAGTATAAATTTTACTCACACAAGATCAAACAGATAGTTTACCAGAATGCATGGCTCTAATTGCAAGTAAGATTCAATCAAAGCTTCGTCATACTTTAACAATCGTAGCATCAAGTTATCAGCTACTGCTTCTTTGAGTAATTCAGGCCTGCACTCATCAGCAATAGTGGCTGTTGAATACAGTTCTAGACTGTTGAGTCTGCAATGTGTATACTGCAACTTCACACCAGAATGAATCTCAGACTAAAATAAGATGGTATTTGGAATTATATAAAACTCATGCAAAAAATTAATTTTCATTAAGCTTCAATTATATATGCAGGAATTTACGTCTAAAGCTTTATCCCAACTAAAGTCATAGTCTTGATTTCTCTTATGCCTCAAGTCATTAATAATCATGGCAGAAAGTCCAAGTATCTCTGTACTTGGATCATTACTATCTAACGTAGCTTTTGTGTCTGAAAAAATATTTTAATTTAATACTTATTAAATCATTTCAAATAAAGAAGAAAGAATTTAACCATATAATAACTATGGTTAAAATTAGTGAAATATAAAACATACGTGGATTTTTTAATTGCTTCTCTCTCATAACATCATGCATTTCATCTAAAATATCTTGTAAAAATATTGCAGTCCCCTTTCTGGTACTCATTCCTTTGATTTTACCAAATTTAACATGCAGCAGTCTATCTGCCCATGGATACTTCATAGCTTTCAAAATATTTATTAAATTTCTAAAATGATCTATTTGTGCATTATCAACAACATAATACATAGCATCGAACTGATGCTTTTCGAATCGATTTATTGCAGCTGCAATATCTCTGGTAATGTACAAGGATGAACCATCACTTTTAATTATTGGTATAGTTCTATTATTGGTATTTACAACTTGTCTACCTTCACTATCTGTTTTTAGTAAACTATGTTTGTACAGTTCAGATATTACTGTAGTTATTTTATCTATACGATACATAGACTCCCATTCATATTCATCAAATTTAATCCCTATTCTATCATAAGTTTTTTCTAACTCTTCCAATGTGTATTTTCTGAAAGATTCCCATTCCCCAGCATTACTTCTGTCACCTTTTTCTAGTTTGTTAAAAATATCTTTAGCTTTTTCAGCTACAGTGTGATCCTCTTCTGCAAGTTTGTTAGCTTGAACATATGCATTATACAGTGTCTTTATGGGATTACTTTTTAAATCATCCTCTGTTACTTTAGCTAAAGAGAGACCTAACTGAACAAAACCAAACTGTGTACCCCAATCACCAAGGTAATTAATCCTTTTAACGTTGTGTTTGAAGAATTGATTTAAATTAGAAATATAATTTCCTATGACTGTAGATCGTAAGTGTCCAACATGGAATGGTTTTGCAATATTTGGAGAGCTAAATTCAACAATAACATTATTCAACTTTTCATCAAGAAGATTAGGAGGTTTTATATCCTTTTTCATATCATTAAACAGCCCTCGAACCAATCTATCTCTCTCAACATAAAAGAATAAAGCATTCGATTTTTCACTGATTTCAACTTTTTCAAGAAAGTCATCTGATCCTTTTTCCATTAATTTAGGTGCTATTTCACAAATATCATACTGATTAGTTTTCAATGGAAGTGTAAAATGAAAATGTCGACTAAATTTCATAATGTTTAGTTTTAGTTGTGCACTGACAGTGCTTGATTTGACACTTGATTTATCATTTTGTAGTGCTTGTGAGATCTAAAATATAAGAAGCTCGATAAACTACAAATATTTTAGAATGTTTATATGTATACTCGTTTTAGTAACATACCTTTTTATGTAACATATATCTTAAATTATTACTCATTTTTTTTGGAGTTCTTTAAAAATGTATATATTATTCTTTTTTATAAATAATTTTCATTAATATTCATCATTTTTTTAAATTATTTTCGGCATTTTTAGGAATCTTTATTTATAGGTTAGATCATATGGGTGCAGACGACCAATTACTATTACTATACCGACTACACGTGCTTCCGGCATTATATTTGAAAATTTAATATATGATGATGATTTTGAAAGTATGAATGTATTGTAAGGTAAAGAATAAGTATATTTCGATACAAATGTGAGAAATGATTTGAGCCTTATGTAAACGTTTGCGCTTGAGCGAAACAACGGTGAAAACACTTTCTCGCACATGCAGTATCCTAATTTTATTGTTCGATTTGACGTACACTTGTTTTCTCAAACAATCAAGTCCTCGCGACACTGACTGTGAATATTAAATAGCAAATTCTAGCCCTTTAAGTATTTTGAATTAAATGTATAATAACTGAACTAATGAAAGTAGAAGTAATTAATTAACATAAAATTTACCTATATTTATTATTTATATATCACGTTATTATATTTTAATAGTGGCAAGTTCACTTGAAAATACATCGGTGATAATTCCATTTCATTATTGACTTGACTGAAGTATAACTTTGCGAATCACAAAAATCAACTTTGACGTCAATTTTTTTTAAATTAATTTTGTATCGCTTCATTTTGAAGAATCCATTTAAACATCGTTGTTTACAGATCTTGATCATTAGTTTTTGCAAGAATAATGAATATAAAAATAGGAATACGAGTCCAATATGTGGTTTGTAATTCACAGACTTTCAAATCTTTTGCAACGATTTAGAGCTTTTCCAATTAACTTTGGCTTATAAAAGCTCTAGTTATGACTTGCGTAGTAATTAAAAAAAACTGCGCCCTCTATAGTATTTAATTCATATTAGTTTCACGTTATCGCATTATCTGAACTCTACGGCTCAAGAAAACACCTGCAGCTACCTGCAGCGCTACTCCTGAGAAAGTGCTGCTACCGCAACAGCACGAGAAGAGAAGTGAAGGGGGCAGATATTAGATAGAGTGATACCGGGAGAGCCGTCGCCATTTTGCTCCGGAACGACACACCAACACACATACGTATTACCCGCGAGAATTTCCCTTCCCTTATTATACACACACGAGCAAGAGCTTTCAGTCAGAAAATCTTCTCGGTATAACCTCAAAAAACTGTTACGTCTGTAGATATTAATGCAGAAAGTTCGTCGTCATAACGAAATCAACTCGCCGGCGAGGAGACAGCGAGAGAGAGGAGTCACGCGTGCCTTAACGTCAGTGTGTGTGCGTGTATATGTGCGCGTTAGCGTTTGCGAATATGTAAGCGGGAGAAAGATAGAG